AAATCAAAGAATAGGCTCGAAGGCAGAGCATTGGCATCATAGACTGATAGAATCGACTGCTATAAGTCTTATCCGTTCCCCCCCAGTGACCACAACCTCTGCTGTTCAGTTCCTGTGGTAAGTTAGTCAATATATCTATAGACGGTATCGAATAAAGTTCATATTTATATCATTTTAATTCAAGTTCGCAGTCACATCCAAGATTTTGTTTTTACCTTTTTCAGCCATGTCTTTGAGATTTCTTGTTTGCTTGCTCTCAGTTCTTATTCTATATTTTTGTGTATGCAGTTCAGTTCTGGGTGGTTCAACGGAAGGCAGCAGTATTGCTTTTGTGTCAAGAAGCTCGCTGGTCTTACTGTATAGAGGGATCCTCGAAAAGCTGGTATCTTTTATCAAACAGTCACCATTATGTTCAGTCAATGATACATGTTCCTCTCTTATCGTTAACTCTGTGGATATAGAGTTTGATTTGAGCAGTTCCGTAGATGTGATCAGCGTGGCTAAGTTTGCAGCAGAAGTTATTGATCGTAGTTTCTTCAGTTTAAAGGCTCTGAATCAGGATGCCACTCTACTTTCAAGTATTTTGTCTTCTATCTTTATCATTGACTTGGAGAGCAGAATATCATCCTTAGTGGACAATACACTATATGAGTTGAAAGAGAAGAAAGTGGATCGGAATCTTGTGTATGATTTTGTTAATGATGTTTGCTCTAAGATGAATAATCAGTTCTGGAAATCCATAAACTATGATGTCAGGAAGAGTTCAGCAAATATTTTGGTTCAGTCCATAAGGTCAGTTGTCCTTCTCGAGGATGATCTGCAACCTTGCCAACTTACAATATTGTGTGCTTCATGGATGGCCAAGGTGTTTGAATATCTTTCATTGGATCAAACGGACGAAGATAATATATGTGGCCTGCTCCTGGTTGAGAGTGATGTATGGCCTATGTGGATCAGCCCCAGCACGTCAGCTAGCATTAATACGCATGGTCTGCCTGCTCATTTGTGCGAGTTGAGGACATCCAAGAGTCAAAGATTTGTTTCTTTCATTGACAGCCTGCTCATGAAAATGGGGATTCATCGATTTCTTGCTGGCCACAGAGATGAAGGGTCTTCCCCTCAAGCTTGGCTTTCCGCAGAAATACTCTGCACGTGGGAATGGCCAGGGGGTAGTGTGCAAACTTCTTTCCTGCCAGCACTCGTCTCATTTTGTAAGAGTGAACCATCGAATGGGGGTTTGCTAAACTCCATTTTTGACATTCTACTCAATGGTGCTCTTGTGCACGGTGGGGATGAGAGAGAGAGCTCCGGGAACATGTGGGTTGACTTGAATAATCACATAGAGGACGTCGAAGAACCATTTTTGAGGGCCCTTGTGTCATTGATTTTCACTTTGTTTAAAGAGGACCTTTGGAGAGAAGAAGAAGCCATGGCTGCTTTCAAAATGCTCACAGATAAACTCTTCATAGGTGAAGAGACAAGTAAAAACTGTCTAAGAATCATTCCTTTCATTATGGGCATAATAATTTCACCACTACGTACAAAAACCAAATCTGGTGTATCCGGTGACAATACTGTGCTGCCACTGGAAGCTTTCCTTGGAGGTTGGCTGGAGAGGTCTTTGTCGTTTCCTCCTCTGGTCCTCTGGCAAAGTGGGGAAGGTGAGGCCCTATTTAATTTTCATATATTTTTTATTGGTCGTGGCTAGTGATGTCATTGTGATTTTCTATACACATTGCTTAGATTTAAATCAATGATTAGGCTGTGGCTGGATATACTGTATTTACTTCTGACAAAACATTGATTTAGTGATATTGCTGAGTCCTCACCTGACAAGTGGTGAGAGTTGGCATTAGATGGACATTCTAGAAAAAAAATTACGACACAGATTTCGTTCTTTAGCTTTTGGTTTGCCTGCCTAGCTGATTGTTGTTTTCGTTGTGTCTATCAGATATGCAGGACTGGTTTCAGCTTGTTATCTCTTGTTATCCCGTGAGCGAAATAGCTGAAGAAGCAAAGGCACTACAGAGGCATGTGAGCAATGAAGAGAGAACACTCCTACTTGACTTGTTCCGCAAACAAAAGCAAGTTCCTGGTGCATCAACCGTAATTACCCAACTTCCAGGTGTTCAAATTCTGCTGGCAAGACTAATAGAGGTTGCAGTTAGTTACTGTGGAAACGATTTTAATGAGGAAGATTGGGATTTTGTCTTTTCCACTTTGAAGCGTCTAATTCAGTCTGCAGTAGTCGTGATGGAGGAAACTTCTGAGAACGTCAGTGACTTCATTAGTGGTGTTTCTTCCATGGAGAAGGAGATTGATACTCTTGAGAGACTTGGGCATATTGTTTCTATTTCTGATTCTTCTTTAGACGATGCTAAGAATGCTCTCTCAGCATTTTCCTTGCTTAATGCATTAGTAAAACATAAATCTGGTGAAGGTGAAGACGGTTTGAATTCCTTGACTGATGAAATATGGGATCCGGTTAAAGATCGGATACTTGAGGGTGTTCTGCGTCTTTTCTTCTGCACCGGTCTTGCTGAGGCTATTGCTGCTTCATATTCCCCAGAGGCAGCATTTCTTGTTGCTTCATTTCGAGTTGATCATTTGCAGTTTTGGGAGTTGGTGGCTCATCTTGTAGTTGACTCTTCTCCACGTGCAAGAGATAGAGCTGTCAGAGCCGTGGAGTTTTGGGGTCTAAGCAAGGGAGCCATAAGCTCTTTGTATGCGATAATGTTCTCTTCCAAACCAATCCCGTCGTTGCATTTTGCTGCATACACTGTTTTGTCTACCGAACCTATTTCCAGGCTGGCCATAGTTGCTGATGGGAATGCGTCACCCAGTGATGAGTCTCCCAATGATCAGGACTCCAGCAACGCGGGCTTGCCATCTGAAGAAACGCTAACGCTAAGAGATGAAATATCTTGTATGGTTGAGAAGTTAAATTACGAGCTTCTTGATACGGATTTAACTGCGCCAGAAAGGGTAAAGTTTACTTTTAAAAGTTTTTTTTTTTGTTTATTTATCCGTCTTCAGACAAATCATTTACTGTAACAACCACTTGTAATGGCAGGTGCAAACATTCCTGGCATGGTCTTTGTTACTCTCGCATGTTAACTCTTTACCTTCACTAACACAAGAACGGGAGAGACTGGTGCAGCATATAGAGAGAACTGCAAATCCGTTGATATTAGATAGTCTTTTCCAGCACATTCCTTTAGAACAATACATGGCACAGAGCTTGAAGAAAAAAGACGCGGATATTCCGTATGATTTATCTGTGGTAGCATCTGCAGCAACTCGTGCGATTACGACGGGTTCGTCCCTGTCAACCGTTGAGTCGCTTTGGCCTATTGAAGCCGGAAATATGGCTCCGCTTGCTGGGGCAATATATGGTCTGATGCTAGGTGTCCTTCCCGCTTATGTTAGAGAATGGTTTAGCGGAATGCGTGATCGATCTGCATCATCTTTGATTGAAGCATTCACAAGATCGTGGTGCAGCCCTTCTCTAATCAAGAACGAGCTGTCTCAGGTATGTCCAGTAAAATCTTTTTTTCTTATCTCTGAGAGCTGCGGTGAAGATCAACTAAATTCGGTCCATTGTTTATGTGAGCTGCAGATAAAGAAGGCAGACTTCAAAGATGAGAGCTTTTCAGTGAGCGTAAGTAAATCGGCAAATGAAGTGGTTGCTACATATACAAAGGACGAAACCGGGATGGATCTGATGATCCGTGTTCCAGTTTCTTACCCACTCAGGCCTGTTGATGTGAGTTGCTCAAAAAGTATTGGAATAAGCGACGCGAAGCAGAGGAAGTGGTTGATGTCTATGCTACTGTTTGTTCGTAGTCAGGTACTGTAATTTTATGCAGACCCTTTGTTATCCTGCGTGATATGATTAACTTAGTGCATGTTTTGGCTGAACGTTTCCTTCTTTTTCATTTTGAATGTGTTGTTGGAAGCAGAACGGGGCTTTGGCGGAGGCGATAAGGATATGGAAGCGGAACTCGGACAAGGAGTTTGAAGGAGTAGAGGACTGCCCTATATGTTACAGTGTGATTCACACATTGAATCACAGCCTCCCAAGGCGGGCTTGCGTGACATGCAAATACAAGTTTCACAAAGCATGTTTAGAGAAGTGGTTTAGCACATCAGCTAAGAAAGTCTGCCCCTTGTGTCAATCTCCTTGCTGATTGAGAGGATACCTTTTGTGACAATATTAGTCTGAGTTTTAATTTTTTTTTAACTTAACACTCTTAGTATTTGAAACGTAGGCATTGTTATACATATATATTTGTGAGAGTTTTGTTTGTTCGAATGATACATGAAAGATAATCAAAGGGGTAATAACAGAGAAGTTTTTACTTCTCTCCCTCTTTTTTTTTTTTTGGGAGCAAAACTTCCCTCCCTCTTAATAGTTGTTGTGCATGAATAGTGAGTGTATGAATATACTTACTTTCACTCTATACATATTTGCAAACATAAACGACTACATCTTTTTGAACAACTCACTATTCAAATCTATGCAATCAAAGTTAAAATACTATCTTGTAGCACTCCATAACATGACAACTAAAGGCTGGAAGCTCTCGACATGTCATCATCGTCTGGATGGAAACAGCCTGATCTTCCATGGCATTAGCAGGAAGGTTAGCTACAAAACTAACCTTATATGTGTAGTACATATAAAACGCATGATTTATCAGAAAGACAGAAACTAATCAAACTACATAAATGGGGAAAAAAGTATGTATGCGAAAATAAAAAAAATACTCCTGTTTTATTTTAATTGATTTTTAAGGTAGAAAATATTATATTTATGTAAATGTAATATTTTGATTTTGAAATCGTGTTCTCTCGATATAGGTATAAGTGGGATCCAATTTTAAAAAGGGCTCATCATCGTTCATTAAGGCCATTAGCCAGAAAACAAAACAAATAACGCCCAAACAAATAGATATAGAGAAATGGGCCGAATTTTATGAGCCCATAAAAATCCCTAACACTATGTAGAGAGGGTGGATGGTATTTAAATGTAATTAGGGTTTTGCTCGTTTTCTCTTCCTACTTCACCAGTCGTTCTAAGGTGAACGAGAAAAATCGTCTGGATCGGAGCTACACTTGCAAACTCCAAACATGGTTCGTCATCCTCTCTCTCTCTCTCTTTATCTCTGTTCTGATTTTAGCTGATTGCTTACATCTAGTTGTTTCTTGACTCGATTTTGGGGGTTTGTGTTAGTGATATAGATAATAGTTAACTTAGGCTCAGAGGAATTGGATTGATTCTGTAATTTGTGGTCATTTATTGTTCAAACATACATCACAACGAGTTTCCTTAGATCTGTGACTTATTTAGATCTCAGATGTGTTGCTGCTCTCGGTCACGATGGAATATGTCGCACTGGCAATTCCATTTCTACACTCTTTAACATACATGTTTGTTTGGTTATTATACAGGCGAGAGGTTTGAAGAAGCATTTGAAGAGGCTCAATGCGCCCAAGCATTGGGGTCTTGACAAGCTTAGTGGTGCATTTGTAAGTTTTTTCTTCGCTCAGTTTTGATTCAATATATATATATATATATATATATATGCTTCCTTGTCATGTGTGAATGACGATACTTGTATTGTTTCACACAGGCCCCAAAGCCATCTTCTGGACCCCATAAGGCGAGGGAGTGCCTTCCCCTCGTCCTTATCATCAGGAACAGGTTGAAGTATGCTCTTACCTACCGTGAAGTGATTTCCATCTTGATGCAACGGCATATCCAGGTTGATGGGAAAGTGAGGACTGACAAGACCTACCCTGCTGGTTTCATGGATGTTGTGTCTATCCCAAAGACCAACGAGAACTTCCGCCTTCTCTATGATACCAAGGGACGTTTCCGTCTTCACTCCCTCAGGGATGAGGAAGCAAAGGTTGGCTTCTCTCGTCTCTTGATTGTCTTTAGAGTAATGCTAAAGTAAAAATCCTTGCTATGTGTTCCAATGAATATTTATTTTGGTCTTTTCTCTCTGCAGTTTAAGCTTTGCAAAGTGCGAACTATCCAGATTGGACAGAAGGGCATTCCTTACCTGAACACATACGACGGTCGTACCATCCGTTACCCCGACCCACTCATCAAGCCTAATGACACCATCAAGCTCGACCTTGAGGAGAACAAGATTGTGGAGTTCATCAAGTTTGATGTGGGCAATGTCGTGATGGTGACTGGAGGAAGAAACAGAGGGCGTGTTGGTGTGATTAAGAACCGTGAGAAGCATAAGGGTAGCTTTGAGACAATCCACATCCAGGACTCTACAGGACATGAGTTCGCAACGAGGTTGGGAAATGTGTTCACCATTGGCAAAGGAACAAAGCCGTGGATTTCTCTTCCCAAGGGTAAAGGTATTAAGCTGACCATCATTGAGGAAGCCAGGAAGAGGCTTGCCGGCCAACAAGCTGCTTAAGTTCGTGATTTCCAGTTCGGTTATTATGCTTTTTTAGACGACTTATATTCATTCCTAGACTCACTTTGCTTCTTTTGATTCTCTGCTCAATTTTGAAACATGTGCTATTTTATCTATTTTCAAGAGTTAAAAACTTCAATCATCCCCAGTCTCTCTTTTATATTTGCCCGGTTTTTTTGCTGCAACTCTTGATACCATTGTTGAATTATTGGTGATAGTAATTGTGAATATGCATAATTTTGCAACTCCTGCAGTTATGAAGAATTACAAATATGTAGAATTAAAGTCTGGTGATATCTTTGACAAAATCGCTAGAAAATTGTTAAATTTGTTTAAGTTGGAGCCTAAGAACATGTGGACTGATATGCATTACTGATAAGGAACCCCGCATGTCACTCGTTTCGTTTGTTTCTTCTTTTTATAATAACAAAACCTGATTTAATACAATACAAACATAACACAACAGAGCTGAGCTACCTGTCCAAAACGTTACATTTTACAAATCCAACCTGCAAGACTTCGACGTGGTTCGTTACAAAGATCTTACAAGTGGAGCTATCTGTGTTGTAGTTTTACATTCATTTTCTTGCGGTGGTTGTCCCTTTGAACAGCTCGTTGATACGCGCCTCTATGTCCTCAACTCCGTACTTGATGTACCTGTCCGCGTTTTTCCCTATGTCTCCAAGGTTCTGAAACCTCCCGATGAAGTTCCCGTACGCAGGCAACAACAGCCTGGCCAGTGAGATCCTCAGCTCCTCTTTCAGCTGCTCGTCAAACACAACCCACGTCGAGTGCGTCTTGCATGTCTCATCAAACTGCGTATTGAACTGCTTCAGCTTCTCTTTCATGGCTTTCCCCAATCCGTTCATGCCTGCCGCTGTATTGTCCACCTTCAGCATCCCAAGCATCTTGTTCCATGAGTTTCTCTGATAACTCAAATGGTATTGCCTTACTTTGGCGTTGTGTTTCCTGATCCAATCCTCTCCTAAGAGTAACCCTAAGTCCCCATCCTTGACCTTCTGAACAATGTATCTCCCGTTGTTCATCAGAAACACAGCGCACAACGCTGGATCTTTATACACTTTTGATTTTACTTCCAAGTTACTCTCTAAAAGCTCCATGATCCAAGACATCTGTACGGTCAACAGAGTCGAGTCTTTAGATGGCACGCCATTGCTTTCCTCAAACACTTGCTCTAAGGTTTGCCGGGATCTGCAGGCCGCGCGGAGGTAATTCATGACGTAACGAGTGATTGGGTGGAGACCACCGCCTGGAACGGCAGCTTTCGCCGGGTCTCGCCGGATCAGATTCTCAAGCTCCATGAATATACCTCTTATTGCCTCTCCCAATCGTTTCCAGATGGTCACTGCTTCATTCCTAAGAACTGAGCAAAACTGGTCCGAGAACACAGACTCGAACTCAGGCATCAAATCCCTCATCGTCTCGAACACGTCGAGCACTTTGAACAATCTCTCAGGCGAACGGCTTCCTATGGCAATGGCGTCTGCGAAATTCAGGAGTTGAATGGTAGAGCCGCGACATACCTCCATGAACGAGAGATCGGCAGCTGAGGAGAAACCGAAGAAGACACGGTCGCAGAGGCGGCGTTCGCTCGGAAAGAGGATGCGGAGAGCGACGTTAGCGGCTTTGATCCACCGGTCTATCTCATCCTCCAGCTCCTGCCACGGCATCTTATGAACTTCTTCGATACTCAGCTTCTGTAGCCCTAACCTCGTCATGCTTTCCTCCAGAAACTCTCTCCTGCAAGCACTGTAAACGTGGGAGCACGCCTTACCGAATCCGGCGGCCAGCATCCGCTTGGCCATCTCGTGCAGATCGTTGATTGTCGCCGAAGGGAGGGCGTCGATGATGAGGTCGTAGTCGGTGAGTGGCTGCGCCACTGGGATCTGGATATCGTCACCGTTCTGGAAGTCTCTGTCGTAGTCATCCTCTTCGTCGGAGTCGAAACGATTGTTCATCGCAGCGCCGTCTCCCTGCGGATTAAGGCCGAACGACTCGGCGCCGCGCTCCATAAGTGACCTGAACTCCTCCTCGATGCGGAACATAGCCTGTTGCATCATGTCGTCGGCGCGTGCGAGGCAGACGCCGACTGGCTTCTCGGAGGCCATGGGCCCCCACTCCCTGGTGATACTCACCAGCTCATCGATGGTGTCGAGGAAGGCAGCGGAATCAGCAGGATCAGCCCAGATTGGCTGATCGGCGGCGACAAAGCGGGAGATCTGACCGTCTAGCGAATTCAGAGCTCGCTCGAGTACAGCGACTCCGGATCCATCTTCCCCAGCTTGACCTTCTGCAAGCTTCTCGCGCGAAAATCTGCCGTCGAAGTTGGAAAAGATCTGTAAGATGTCATCGGCCATGGATTCATTGTGGCCAAGCGTCTTGGCTATGTGACGCGCCACAGCAAGTAACTTCTCTTCACCGTTCTCCGCCATTACTGAACAGAGGTGTGAATCAGTAGAGAGCTTTCGGTAATCTCGAGTCACTAAATAAAAAAAAGGCAACACAGCGAGATCGACGGGGAAAGCAAGGAATCGAAGACGAAGAAAGTTCCAAGCCAGGAAGAAGACTGGTGGATAGATAGGAAGCTGTACAATGACGAAAACACCCCGCTAAGACAGACGCGATCTTTGACCTGGCCGCGTTGTTTGAAAATGGCATGGACGTGTAATTTATGCTTGTCTTTTTGTGGACTCTTTCGCTTTCGCTACTATTGACGTCTCCGTGACTTTTCTGTGATTGCCTCAGTTGTGCCGCTTTTTATTGCATAGTTTCTGGGCGGGGGTATAAACCGGCCACCGGTTTGATGAAGTTAGATTGATGGAGCTGGCACAGATAATTCAATGGTTCAACTTCTCACTTGATCACTTCAGTAAAACGAATTCGTTTTCCTGGATTTTAGCTTTTGTTGTATGGAGGGCATTGCAAAAACGGAAGATGCTTATGGTTATGGAGAACCAATTTTACAGTAACTTGTAAAAACAAAGAAGAACGTTTACCAAACTCTATCGGATAGATATACAACGTAGATAAAAAAACAAGACACTACACTTTTCTGACACCCATTATTAGTTTATTACGCATTATGATTCTGTGCCAAACATGGAATTGGTATGGTTATATGCCAAAACGAACATCATTCACTCTTTTTTTTCTGTGTTTGTTAGCTGCTCTGCTTCTCTCTATCGTATTGGCTCGTTTCTTCAGCAACCTTTGCCCAAACGTTGCTGATTTTCTCTGCGTATCCAACCTGCATCCACAATCGAAGAACACAACTCAATCTTGTACAATCTCGACTCTATTCCTTTACTAACAAAAATATGAATTCATATTTCCTCTTCTCCGGCATTCATTCAAAGCACTCACCACGAACTAGCCAACAAGACACATAAACGACTTCTTTTTAATCTATTTTTTCTCCACTCTCCACTCTTGAAAGCTCACTAAGAATGAAAACGCATACTTTGTGCTTAACCTAAACCATCTCCTTATCATTCCCTCACTCATTCTACATAGACAAACTTTCACCGAGAAATAAGTGAAGGCTTAAGGCTACACCCTTCTAATGCTAAAATGTGCTGAATAATCATAACGTACCTGGTTAACAACAAAACCCTTCATCATGTTTATGAAGTCTGCACGCCTTTCTCCATCCAACCTCTCAACCTCAGATCGGTTGTTATCCTGCAATGAACACAAATTTAGACAAGAGCGTGACCAAAAACTTCATATCGTGTTGGTACATCAGCACAAGCTGTGATATGCCATGCTTATAAGTTATAACTGAATACCTTGATCCGTTCATACTCTCTGATGGCAACATTTTTTGCATCCTCAGTGACCTTGATGGTTTCTTTTAACTCTTCTATCTTCCGGATCCTTGATTTGTCACCACCAAATACCTTTGATGATGCAGCCTCTAGCTTTTCGGCTCTTGCTTGCAGCGAAGAAAGCTCTGATAGAAGCGTCTGCACTGTCAGTAAAGCACTGGATCTATCTGCGAATGCGCCTTGGACAGCCATCATCATGCCAAGGTACTCATGTAGTGTGTCCTGACATGAACAATTCAGATAAAATAATAGCTCTTAGTAAAGATAAAAGTCCAGCACAATCTTCCTTATATAAGCCGACAAAATGTCAAGAATCCACTAGTTAATAACGAGAGGATATACGCTAAGCATGAGGAGATTTCAGAAATCATAATGTCCATTGCTTGTATAAAAATAGATCATTTTTTTTTTCAGATGAGAAAAGAAAACAACTTTTTTTTTATTCACAGTAAGAAGGCAACTATGTATTCTGTAGGTTCTTTACCAAATGTTTGACAGTCTGGGAATTCAGCTCCCTATAAAATCTGCTTGCTTTTACAGCCGCAGTGGCTAAATTCTTCATATCAGTAGCACGAGTTCTTTGGGAGTTAAAAACAGCTTCTTCGTTCTCGAACTTCGTCAGCTTAATGAATGCTAATCCCAGTTCACCCATGGTTTCCCCCATGTCTTGCTGTGCCTTCACAAGAGACTCTGCCTACAAATAGGTACCACAAAAGGGTTTGTTCCAAACAGAATACTACATTCTGACATAATGATGCATACATCAACTAACGAGGATAAAAATTTACCTGCTGCGAGGAATTAACAATTTGCTGCTCAAGATCATGCATCTTCTCCTTCTTTTCCAAGAATTCTTTATCTTCTTCAACAACGGGAGGTTTTGATCCACCCCAGTCATTAGAAACTGACTGCCTCAGCTCCTTGAATAATCGCAGCAGATCCCTACCTCCTCTGGCAGGCTGAACCACCTCGTGCACTGGCACTGCGGAGGCTCCGCCTTCACCAAACAACTGTTTCGGAAGCTTCACCGCGCCATCCAACATCCTAGAGGCCACATCAGTGCTCGTCGGCAGTGGCAACTTCCCTTGCACCTGAAGAAACACTTTCAGCTCGTCGCTGTTCCTGATAACAGGGTGTGCACTGAGCCTGCGCAAGTATTTCTCCAATGCAACCCTTCTCTGCTCCACGAACTCTTGCTTCTGCATTACTTGGCTCTCCACGACGCTCTTGTCTGGCCGCGGTGGTATGCAGAACCCTCTGTACGACTCCGCCAATCGATCTGCCAATGTGACAACATCTCTGAACCTTCTTCGCACGCTGAACTCCGACGGACCGAAGTCAGGGAGATTCGTTCTGGTCGTAATTTGGTAGGTGATGTAAGTGTTTCCTCCAGGAACAATGGAATTTGAAGCCTCCTGCTCTTTCTGAGGGTTCGACACAGTGATCTTGATGTAGTCCGAGCTTGAAGAAGAAGGAGATCTCGATAGCGACTCTGAAGATAGACTCTGACGGCTGCTATCCTCGCCGCCGTTGATCTCGCTGTCCGAGTTTTCATCAAAAGGGCTGAAGATAACATCTGCATAAGACGGAGGCTCGATGTAGGAGTTATCGCTGCTGTTGAGCTTGGAGCCGAGGCTGCGGACATCGCTGTAAGAGGATGGCGCAAAAAGTGGATCAGAATCAGCCGGAGTCAGAACGGTCGGGAGCGGCGAGAGCGGGTCGTGCACGTTGGAAAGTGTTGACATGGCGCTACGATAACCAGAGTTCGATGAATCGCCGTTGACATCGCTTTTCGTCAGAGGACCGTCACCGCCGGCTGCGTCGCCATTTACCCCTAGGACGAGATTCTCCATCTCCTCCCTCGGAGCATTGAGATTGGTCTCTTCGAACCCATCGGCATTCTCCGAGCCCATCATACTTGTCTTCTCCGGGTAAAAAGTCGATGAACGAAGCTAATTGAAATAAGAATTTACAGAAAACTAGGGTTTGACGATTTGGGAAGAAACGGAGATTCCCTGAATGTGACGATTCGACCGGTGGCTAATCGCATTAAAAGACACCGGAGTAGCTAAGATGCGCAGGTGTGGGGGGGGGGGGGGGGGGGCTATGGGGCAGAAGACTAACGTGCACAACCGTGGCGGATCAGGGATGGCACGTGAAGTAGCTTAAAGTCTTGTCATTTGACAATTGCCAATGCGTAACATGTGATGTGAAGAATCTGATTCATCTTTGAAGTTACGTGAAGTCACCGATGGGCTTACTTTCGTATGAACTGATATGGCCTTCTTAAGCCCATTAAGAAACCCAATCTTTAATTCCTGACCGAAACAGCCAGATCGCCGCATCCAAACGGGTTGATTAGGTTTCGTTCGGTTATAATTTGCAGCTGTACGGCTCCCTTGATCGTTGTCGAATCCTGTGTTAATTGCAACTTCGTCTCGGTCAACTCATAAGACACTTGAAACAGGTTTCTTTTCGGACAGAGACTCTTATCTTTGAACCTCTTTAACTCTTGTCGGATGGCTTCCAAATTCGGGTTGGCTGGGGGAATACCGGAGCGCCGTGTCCGACCAATCTGGGATGCCATCGATTCCCGTCAGTTTAAAAACGCTCTCAAGCTCGTCACTTCGCTTCTCTCCAAGTACCCAAAATCACCTTATGCTTTAGTAAGTGTCATTCAATAATTGGTTTCGTTTTGTCACTTTTTCTCCAATTCGTAAAAAGCGGAAACGTAATGCTGTTGCATTAACAGGCGCTTAAAGCTCTGATTCATGAGAGAATGGGGAAAACAGATGAGGCATTATCAGTGTGCTTGGTAGCCAAAGAGCTTTTGTACAAGGACGATTCGTCGTTGATGGATGATCTCACTCTCAGCACATTGCAAATTGTCTTGCAGAGACTCGATCACTGTAAGTACACTCGTATATAGATAAGAATTCGGAAGCTGGTGTATAACTTCTTGGTTATATCTAATTCAGTTTCTTTTTTATGTGATTAGTGGACTTGGCCACTAGTTGTTATGCTCATGCCTGTGGCAAATTCCCCAGTAATCTGGAGCTTATGATGGGGCTCTTCAATTGCTATGTTCGTGAATATTCTTTTGTGAGGCAGCAGCAGGTTGGTCTTTCTGTTGGATGAAAAAGTTTCTGTGTTCTGTTATATCAGTCTCTGTTTCCCTTTTCTTATGTCTTGCTTTGTGACAGATAGCCATCAAAATGTACAAACTTGCCGGAGAAGAAAGGTTCTTACTTTGGGCAGTTTGTAGCATCCAATTACAAGTACTGTCACCGTTTCTACCCTCCTTTTTGTAGCAGTTTGGTGTTCTTTTGCTTACAATTGGGAATACTTTTTTACAGGTTCTATGCGATAAGAGTGGGGAGAAGCTGTTGCTTCTGGCTGAGAGTTTACTTAAGAAGCACATTGCCTCTCATAGTATGCATGAGCCAGAAGGTTTTAATTCTCTTCTACTACACCAATGTCTTCTCTTGTACAAGTTGTGGAGCTATTTTGAGATTTCTTCGTCTTTTCTTCTACTAATGAAAGTCTGGTCTTCTCAGCTCTCATGGTGTATATCTCATTGCTGGAACAACAATCCAAATACAAGGATGCTTTAGAAGTCCTTTCTGGAGATTTGGGTTCTCTTTTGATGATTGAAGTCGATAAGCTACGGATACAGGTAGGTTACAAGGCGTTCTGGGAGATAGATCTAGACTTCATGCTCCTGCATTATATTCTAGATTTCCAATATTCTGAAAATAATGCATACAGAGTCTGTCTAATTTCTGTATGCTCATACGATCTCTCTCACTTTAAGCTGACAGGGGAGACTCCTTGCTAGGGCAAATGACTATTCTGCTGCTGTTGATGTCTATAAAAAAATCTTAGAATTGAGGTACGTTGTCATCGAGTGATTGCTGATTGCTCTTCTGATTGTTTCTGTAACTTAGGCCTGTGCATATCATGTCCGTATGCTGACATTGTGTTTCTGTTCGCTTGGCAGTCCAGATGATTGGGAGTGTTTTCTACACTATCTTGGCTGTCTGCTTGAAGACAACAGCATCTGGAAGTACTTTGACAATATTGATCAAATTCATCCAACAAAACACGTAGAGTGCAACTTTTCTCACCTTACCGAAGAGATGGTGAGAGATTAAGCACTTGCCAGACTTGAAGTCTTCGTTCGTGTTTCCTTTTCTTTCTTCCTAAATCAGGCATATATATTTAACCCAATTTCTTTTCCTAAATGCAGTTTGATACTCGTATATCAAGTGCTTCAGATCTGGTACAGAAATTACAGAGAGACACTGAGAATACTAACTTACGGGGTCCACACTTGGCAGAAATTGAAATTGAGAGGAGAAAGTTGTTGTATGGAAAGAAGAACGACAATCAGTTACTAGAATCGTTGCTGCAATATTTTCTCAAGTATGTCCTTGTGAACCCTTTCTTGTTGATCATGGATGCTATAAACTCTGACTTGTACAAATAAAGCTCTCTGGTTCTTGTATCCCTCTGAGCTTGTGTCGCTCTCTGTATGCAGATTTGGTCATTTAGCTTGCTTTGCCTCCGACGTTGAAGCATGCCTACAAGTATTATCCCCAAATAAAAAGGCAGAGTTTGTTGAAATGTTGGTGAAAAGTTCTGACTCCGTTTCTGCGTCAGCAACCAAAGTGCTTGGTCAAACAACAACGATTCTTAAAGTTCAAGAAATGACGGGAAACATTTTTGCGCTCCCTCTCAGTGGTGTGTTCTCTTTGCTCGTCTTACCCTTTTCTGCAGTTTTCCGTATTTTCTGCTTACTAAAAAAATTTAATATTGAATCTGCAAGCTGTGTCACTCTTGTGTCCATATGGCAACTCTCTGTTTTGGTGTGCAGTATGATGAATCCTTTTCCAGCATAGTTTCCTGCTTTCTCCACTGTAGCTTCTCTAAATGTGTTCTTATGTTATATTTACAATTCCATCTTTCCTTCCCGTATGTAGAGATTAAAGCCTCTGCTGTCAAACTGGCAAAGCTATACTGTCAAAACCTTCCTCTTTCTAAGGACTTGGATCCTCAAGAAAGCATGTTTGGGGAAGAACTTCTATCTTTGATTAGCAACATGTTGGTCCAGGTACCTTGGTTGTCTTTTGAATACATGTGCTTCCCTCATAGTGCATAACCCATTGTTGTTTGTTAACTAATTCTACTGTTCGTTCTAGTTATTCTGGCGAACTCGAGATTTTGGCTATCTTGCTGAGGCTATCATGGTTCTTGAGTTGGGCTTGACCATCAGAGGGTCAGTAACTAATTCTTATAGCTAGATTAAATGTCGATTTGATGACTTTTATATTTCAGTAGAGTGAGATTCTTCAGTTGATAGGTCTCAGCTGAATGATAACTTTCTGTTTCCACAGACATGTCTGGCAATACAAGATCTTGCTGTTGCACATATATTCATATATCGGTGCTCTTCCGCGTGCATTTGAATGGTATTCATAGCCTTTTCTTGTTTTTCCCTGGAAAGGAAAAAAACTCTTCTTCAACTCGTTTTGCTGAACCCCTTGTTTATTACCTTCTGTAAGGTATAAAGCTCTTGATGTGAAGAACATATTGACCGAAACGGTTTCACACCATATTCTGCGTCAGATGGTGGAATCTCCCATGTGGGTGAACTTAAGCGACCTCCTAAAAGACTATCTCAGGTTTATGGATGACCATTTGAGAGAGTCCGCAGACCTTACATTTCTTGCCTACCGCCATAGAAATTACTCTAAAGTAAACAGTTTGACTTCTCTCCCAGATTTGTCATTTACCATCTTCCCGTGTGCTACTGGTAGACTGACTTATCTCGATGATCTAATCTCAGGTTATCGAATTTGTCCTATTCAAAGAACGATTACAGTACTCAAACCAGTACCAAGCTGCGAGGGTTGAAGCGTCTGTCCTGCAATTGAAGCAGAACGCAGACAGCATCGAGGAAGAAGAGGTGATTCATCCACACCCTTGCCGCGTAAATTTCCTTACCGTCCATGTATTTTGATCCTCTCATATATCTAACGCTATTTTGTATTGTTGTTGTTCTAGCGCGTTCTTGAAAACCTGAAATCCGGAGTTCAACTTGTGGAGCTCTCGAGCGAAGTTGGATCCAAGACACTGAGGTTCAATGAAGATATGCAAACACGGCCATGGTGGACACCTTCTCCTGAGGAAAACTATCTACTAGGTCAGTAATTAACCTTCGCATTAGTAGTTGCGTATTATTGTGGTCTTATTCTTAATATCAATCAACAACGTGTGTAGGTCCGTTTGAAGAAATATCTTACTCTCCCAAAGAGAATGTGGTACGTCTGTGTTTAACTATACATCTTTTTTCTTGGGACCAATACAATCTAACAGTGTTTTGTACATGTTGGCTGTGTGTAGAAGAAAGATCGTGAAGAGAATATGAAACGTGCCATACAGAGAAAGTCCCTTCTACCTCGGATGATATATCTCTCTATTCAGCGTTCGTCAACGGCGTTAAAGGAGAGTGTTGAAACCAATGGCTCTGGAGGTGACCTCAAAATCTGCGAAGAACTGAAGTTTTTACTGGAGGAATACACAAATTTGCTGGGATGTTCTCTCAGTGACGCTGTAGATATGATCACAGGGATCTCACAGGGTGCAAGGACTTCCGAGGTTAGCTTTTCTACTCCTTTCTCCTTCTACCTGCAGGCAGGCAACTGGTCTTACTGTTATTAACCTAGTGGGGACGTCTCTGCAGAGCCTCGGTTCAGATTTGGTGGACTGGTTGAATTTTGCGGTGTTTTGGAATGCTTGGAGCCTGAGTTCCCACGAGCACTGGCGTGTGTTGAACTCGCTATTCGAGAGGCTTATTCTGGACAGAATCAGGTCAATGGGATCTTCAGACATGAGTTCTTGCTATTCTGATGTCCAGGTCTTGGTTCAGATCATCACTGAACCGTTGGCGTGGCACAGTCTTATAATCCAGGCCTGCACCCGCTCGTCTCTCCCATCTGGGAAAAAGAAGAAGAAAACTCAACATTCAGATCAATTACCTTCATCCCCTATGTCTCAAGCAATCAAAGACTCTATACAGTCCTTATGCAGCACAGTACAAGAAGTTTCTAACTGGCTACTGAGTCAAATGAACAACCCAGAAGATGATCAAGTGGAGAAATTTATGTCAACTCTGAAGAGAAATGAAGACGCAGGAGGACCGGGACAGGTTCTTGGGGTTCTAGAGAGTTTAATCGCATCCAGCGAAGAATCAGTGGTCGGAAACCGCATCTTTGAAGCACTGAAATCATGGAGCACCGCAGATACAGCTCGGAAAACATTCATGGCGCAACAGAGTCTCCTCCATGAGTTTCTCCAGATCTGTGAATCTAAGAGAAAGCTAATGGAAACACTCAAACAACAGATGTCCCATGTTTGATCTCCAATCAATAGAGAAACGAAACGTCGCTGCTCTTTTTTTTTATTGGCAATTTCATTTTGAGAGAAACACATTCATGATAGAAACAGAGAGATTTGATGTTTCAGTACATTTTTTTGTTGAAAAATGTTTTACATTGATTCTACTCTTTCCCTATGCAACAAACTTCTGACAACGAGTGTCCTTGTGAATGTTTTGGCAACGAATAGAACAAAAACGCATCCCACATAAGCAGCAATTGTAGCCTGCGATGTATCCACAAACTGTGCAGAAATGGCGACGAGAAGACGAACTCGGAGGTCCCACGGCTGCTTTCAGGTAAGTTGGCACATGCGACGGTAAAGCTTCCAAATTTGCCTCCTGCAAGAGCTCAACGAAGGATTTAGGAGCTTTACGAGCTTCCAAAGCTTTTGCCTGTCGAGTTTTACGCTTTGATCCCTTGGGTTGCTTCTTCTGTACGAATCCTGCAACAACCAAAACATGATTAGAAACTAGAAACTACACATCACGGAGAGATATATTTGTCAATGTAAAGAAAGATTTATTCACCGTGATCATCGTCTTCGTCCATAGAGGCTTCTTCGTCATCGTTCATATCCACAACCTCGATGGCGCCATTGTCATTCTCTAAAGCCTCAAGCCGAGCTACAGCGGCCTAGAATTAACCATTCGAGAAAGGACTGAAGTTTTCCATACACAGAATCAAAAAGAGATTTCGAAATCAACGACGCACCTGAGTTCGATTGTCGGTGCTCGTAAGAGCCGCCGCCATCTTCGAGGCAACCTTACGAGTCCGGCCCGACACTCGGCGATTCGACATCTCTTCCTCCATCGCAGATATTAAGCAGATTACCGGCGACGATGGAAGCGCAGCGGCGGTAGAATGGAAACCGGCGTATTCGCGTGGAATCGACGGCGGTCACTCTTTTAGGTGTTATTTTCTCCCAAATACAAGTCTGATTTACTACTGGCCCATTGGGCCTTTTACTTTAACAATTAACAAAGCCCTACTATTCTTGATTTCTTAGATTGCAAGAAAGAATCATAAGCCCTAATTAAGCTGCTTCTATATTGGAATTTATTCGCTCTCTCGTACATGAATTTGGACCCACACGTACAAAAAAAATGGGCAAAACCATCCCAATAATACAGATTGTACAACTCGGAATTAATCAAATTAAAAGAAGCCTAATCAATGAAGAAATCGCACTAATTAATCAATTATGACACGACCAGAGAGACACTAAACTCTTGTAATCAAACTTGCCGTTCAAGAAACCATCACCACCCTTCTGATTCCTCACCTGTTGCTGAACCACCAACACCGATCCCTCTGAGGCAAAAACGCTCCCAACCAAGGTGTCTCCGATGACTCCAAGCTGGTGGTCCTTGCTCCACGTGGACAGCCCTTCTAGAATCTTTGGGTTGATCCCTTCTCTCCTCCCCGTTATCCAAAGATCGTAGTCGTTCACGTTCATTGCCTGGATCGCAGCGAGAGTCTCCGCACCGTTCTTGACCACAACCTCTTTGTAACTTACCCTATCCTTGCCTTCGTTCTTGACCCAGAACCACGTCACCACCCCATCGTCCAGCTTCTTCTCGCTCTCTTCCTCTCCTTCGTGGTTGTGAGACAAAAACCTGATCACCGTCATATTTATATCCGGGTTCGCCGTCATCCTATCGGCCAAATGCAGAGCTTCTCTGTTATCAGCTCCTCCTAGGAACAGAACCACGAAACGGTATGTTTCTTGCCTCATGCGGCTCGAGTTGGTCGACTGGTCAACCGAGGACCGAACCACGGCGTTTCTAAGCCGTCCCTTGTCATGATAGATACATACAGAGCAAGGTGTGTGGGCCAAGACGTCGGTGTTCACAGATAGCATGCCAGAGTCACGTAGCTCGGTAGGTGCATCGTCGTCAAGGCGCTCCTGCTGATAAGGTAAGAGAATGAAAGCTGTTTTCCTGCATAAGGCCAGCTCGCAAATGTCTTGGTACATTAGACGCTTTGGAGCATGAGCAGTGTAGGCACGCAGCGTCACACACCCATCTCTTTTCTCCCTGTACATCCTAAAGCCGCTCTGCACCTGGTCTACTCGCCTGTTCCGGGTACGTTCAGGCTCTTCCTCTTCCTCCTCATCGTCGTCTTCCTCCTCGTCCTCCCTTTTCTGTTCGTGGTCAATAAACAACGGCGTGGCTCGCCCCATCAGTTCCACCAGCTGGACGGCGTATATAGAAAAGGGGCTAGTTGAAGTGGGATAGGCGAAGTCTAGGAAGGTGATCAAACCGGACAAGGCTTCGTGGTCGGAGACGGCAAGAACCAGACCCATCTCGGTGGAGGGGGGAGAGTGCTGGATGGTGCGGTGCTTGCTGATCCTGTAAGGGCGATTTGGATCGTAGAGGAAGCTGATGAGCGGTGTTGATACAGCCGTAACCACAACCGTATGCAAAACCAAGATAGTGAAACCGGGTAAACCGATAATAAGTTTGTCGATCCAATGCAAGTAGAGCAAGATATCGATCTGGCCTTTCAAGTTCATCATGAGGCCAAGCGTGAGACTGTCTCTGGTGGGGACTTTAAAGAAGAGAGCAGCGGAAACGACGGAGATAAACTTGGTGATGAGGCCAACGATGGACATGTAGAAGAGAGGGGAGAGCTTTTGCGGCCAGTTCTCGTCGTTAAGTAAGTGTACATTGGTGTTGAGTCCGACCAAACCGAAGGTGAAAGGCATCAAGAATTCAAGGACAAAGGTCTCGCTCCGAACAGCCAACGTCGAACTCAACGGTGGACCATGAGGGACAAGCAGCCCTAGCCAGATGGGTCCCACGCCTATAGACAAACCGAGCATGTCCGTGAGAAAACTGGCGACAAGGACACCCATGAGAATCATGACGATGTAGTTTTGGTCCACGAGTTTTCCCTCTGGCGTTTGGGCGACCACCCACTTAAAGCCTCGTCTCACAACCAAAACCATAAAAGCTGTGAGGATGACCCCCGAGACAAAGTACCATACTGCGGCCATGGATCCTCCTTCGTCTTCTTGCATCATGGCCTCGAACACAATAAGAACGACGAGCGCTGCCATGTCTCCAAGGAGAGCCACCGACATGGCGAACTTGCCCACCTCCGAGTTGAGAAGGTTCATGTCCCTTAAGATGGTGTAGATGACAGGGAAAGAACTGAAAGCCAATCCAAACGCAACCCCTCCGATGGAAGTCATCTTCTGCATGTTTTTATCCATTTGGTCTCGCATGGCCATCCCCGTGCCCCACACGCAGAGCATCGGGATTATAACGCCGATGGCAGCAATGTACTTGTGCTTTCTTGGCGACTTTGCGATGGCCGCAACGTCCGTCTTGGCCGCCGTGAGGAAGAAGAAGTAAAAGAATCCCATCAGTCCCAAGTTTGCACATAGATAATTCGCAATCGGTGGGAACAAGTAGTAGTTGAACTTTCTGCTTCCTCCAAGCATCGATGGTCCAACCATCATTCCACCCTATTCAAACACACAAACCATATTTGTTTTTTCAATATTTCCAAATATCAAATATCAAACTATATATTATTAACAAAAAGAGTGTAAGATCAATGACGAACAAGAATCTCGCAGACGATACGAGGTTGACGTAGAGGCCGAAGGAGGAAACAAAAGGATTTGATGAAGAATATGATGATAACCGCTTCGAGCAAAAAGGTGGAAAATGCATAGTTCATCGCATTTTCGCCTCTGAACATTCCGAACGGTTGCTTACTATGGATCTGCCGGCAAACAACCGGAAGTCTGGATGAGAATACTCGAGCAGTGACCTCACCGGCGGTGTTTGGGTTCCCCGGTGAGAACCCAAAGTGGGTTGGTAAGGCACTCTGATCATTGCTTGGGAAATACCTAACCATGAAAACTATTTTCTCAAATCAGGATTTGTTTTACATAAAGCAAAACAATGATGATCATCGATAGAGATAGAGAGAGAGAGAAAGAAGACGATAGATCCAAATTTGATGTTTTTTCTTCTTCTTTTTCCAATAGATGTGGACATGCGTCATTTTGGGAACAATTGTAGTTTTACATTTTTTTCTTTTTTATAATCAGTTTTTCACTTGGAACCTAATCGCAGTCAATCCCTCATCTCTTCTTTAAAAACGCATAATTAAAAGAATTCATCGAAAATGCACCTTTTGAAGTTGTTTACGTACCCATGTTTTTTAAACTATTTACGCTCCTTTTTTTTTAATATTTTGACAGAACTCAGCTTAAATTATTTATAATTGTTATATATACTGATATGAAATGCAGGGTAAATTTGAGAAACTGAAACGTGGGAATAGAGATTATACGTACCATCAGGGTTTCCGAATTCCGATCCTAACTTTTTTACAATTTTTTTTTACAGTGTTAAGAATCACATGTGAGGTTAAATATGTTGGAAAGTTATATAATGCGCTTCAACCCTTAAATTTTCTGCAATAAATGGTTTCCTTCTTCATTATTTGATAAAATACAAATAGAAAATTTTGGTAGATGAATTTAGAAGCAATAACATAAGGGACCGGGACGTGCAAGGTACGGCCGTGGTAGCTGGCTAACACAAACTCCCATGCATCTATTTCCTCATTATTATTTTTCACTAGATTATTTTCAATCTTTTTATTTTCCTAATTATACACATACTTACACCAAAACACTTTTCGATATTATAAATCAACAGTAATTCAGTATTAAACTATTAAACCTTCGTCACATAGTAAAACGTTGAATTGGTTATATTATCTGAAGTGTTTTGCTGTATATATTAAAAAGGTATATGTATAATTTTAGGTAACTCCCTCAAAGCCATGGCAGCAAACGCAGAAAACCTTACGTTAACTGCAGATTATACAGTTCTAATTACAACTACCTCAGCTTGGAGTGGATCACTTTCAAAATAATTTGTGTTTTAAATTGCAACTAAATACATGTTCAAAAACAAATCAAAAATTACAACTTAACTGCAGATGATACAGTTCTAATTCACATTTCATTGATCTTATCACCCTGCTTGAAGCTGAGTGAGACGAAACTTTCTTGAGATAAGACATTGTTTTGTCTTATGGTGTAGAGCCCATGTTAGTATATCAAAAGATTTAGAAAAAAGCAGTTTTTAAAAAAAAATTGGAGAGATAATTTTGTTCCTTTCTGGACAGAACATTACTCAATTGTCATAAACAATATTTTGAAATGAAAGAGGAATGGAGATCCCATCTACATCCAATATTGAATGCATCCCCGCTCTTTGCGTTCTTCCACATACAGACATACTCAATTACTTATTTCATTTATCCTTTTATCTTCCAACATTTACATTAAGCATTAAACATTTATTATCTATATACATATATATATATATTTATATGGTTTTGGCGTTTGCGTCGTGGAGAAAATAAAAAAAAAAACTTTCGCTACGAAACCGGATTTCGTCTTCTTACTCAGTCGCACTGAGCCACTGACTATACCTTTAGGCTTTAGGTTACTCAGTGGTTAACGCTCTCCACCATTCGCCTTATAAATAATACATATGTATGTGTATATTTATACATTTATTATATCTTCTGTCAGGTTCTTACTATTTTTTTTAGCAATTAAAAGAAAAATTTACAATTTATTGTGGGTATGGGAATGCATTAAAAGTGCCGAATATATATATATATATTTTTAAATGGCACTGGTACTCTCTATTGGAGTCACTTCAGACTATAAATACAGCAATGTAATTCAAGCTGCTCAAGCTTCTCTCTAACATAGACATAAGTAGTTAACATAACATATACATAAAACACACATATGTAGAGGAAGATGCATATGCATGGTGGAGTAGTAGAGAAGTAGCTATAAAGCTCAGGAGGGATAGCGCCACCATGCCTCAAATATTGTTTGTATATATTGTTGGCGCTATCCATCCTGAGTTCCATGGCTTCTTCTTGCTTTTTTGTCTATGTATGTTCGCCTTCATTCCCAGCTTCGGTGAGCATCTATACCATTTTGTATGGAATTACGTATTGTTTTTTTTTTTTTTTTTTTTTGTTAAAAGAGGATGGATAAATCAAATCTATTCAAAATATATATTTCCGGATGTTACGTAAGCTGACTTAAATTCAGATCGTATGTAAATGACTGTGACTTTTTAATTGTGTATTACAAATTGACCAATCATGTGTTCTTAAAATCACAGTTTTGTTCTTACATAAATTTGGATTTTAATCAAAAACACATGATTGGTTAGTTTTACACATTTAAAAAGTCACAGGTTTTGTCTTCAAAATTTGATCTGAAGGACACATGATCTTTTTTAACTTGTAAAGCCAGATCTTAAATTGGAGTTTGGTACTTACACGTGAATTTAACTTGTAAAGGCATTTTTTTTTAACTACAAAAATTTGGATGTACACATTGAAAAAGTCATCCACTTGTAAGAATTATATTGTTGCAGGTTTAAGATTTGAACCGACTCTTTAGTCACAACAGTTCATAAGGTTGTGTACAATTTGCACCGACTCTTTACAACAGTTCACAACTCTGCTGTATTATAACATCCGATTTTGTACCCAAACTGTGTTTAAGAGAGTGGTGTAGATGAAGCCAGCCAGCGATTGAACTGGTAAACATACAACATTCAGGAGCGGGATCCTAGTCGAATTGATAAAAAAGGAAACCTCGAAGCATTCCAAAATTGCTGGCTTTTTTATCAGAGTTCCATACTTTCTATATTACCTTCCCCTTTATTATTATATATACTCTCTCTTTTTGAGGAATTTTTATGGCATCAATCCTTTGTTCATTAACAAAATCAAACTGAAAAAGGTTATGAAGACGTCCAGAAACCAAAAATCGATTCACATGTCTCTTAAAACCATTATATTCCACACAAAAATAAACAAAGGATCTTCGAGTGAACCTTACAAAGTTAAAGTTATGGAAACCTCATCTCAAAAATTGGACGATGAACTCTTTATTAACCTAAAAATACTCATGCCCAACACGACCTAGTTAGCACTAAAATCATCTAGTTGGCCTTTACAATTTCATTGCAAAACTTCAGGTCGACAGATCAGACACAAGTGCCTATGGGTACATATGTTCGCTAAAAAGGAAAAAAAGAGTAGTAATAATAACTCTGCGAATAAATGTCTAGGGTCTAAAGTGTGTTTGCCCAAATGAGTATATTAGAAGATGATACATCGGTTTGTTTGTGCACAACAGAGTCAGAAAAAGAAAGAAGAGAAACAAGAACAGGGGGTTTTGTAGTAGAAAGGGGAAGTGAAACAAGTAAGCAAGATGAATGCACTCACCTGAAATCATCATGAGAAACCCTACCTTACCCACCAAATTTGCAATGCATTTTGGAGTTAATTATCCACTTCCTTCTATAAAACAAAAACAAAAATTTCACATTGTGAAAAACCACACAAACCACACATGCATAAATAATAGATCCCCAAAGAAACAGAACAAAGCGAACACTAGTGAAATAAAAGGGGCAATTTTGCTCAAGGTCAAAGTGAACAAAAAACCTACCTTCTTTTTTTTTTGGTATCCCCAATATGATGATTCATAGAACATTTTCCCCCATCAACGCAACATTTTAATAAAATTCCTCCCCTCCCTCAACACACACAAACTCTTAGAACACATAACAGCTGATTCATTGATTCCTCTCTTTCTCTCAATATGGACGAGACCGGTTTCCCCCGTGGTAGTTTCTGTCTGGCCCTGAACCGTAGTTATCTCTTCTTCTGTCTCCCCCACCACCACCACCATAGCTACCTCCTCCTCCTCTACCACCGCCACCTCTGCACCATACACAAGTTTTGCAACCACCACATTATTACCAACTAATTAAAACCAGGTTACTGATTAAGATGAAATTGACTCAAAACACAACAAGGTCGAGTCTTATAAAAGCATGGAAGACCAACTGAAGAACCATTTAATATGTGGAAATAAACATGAACAAATGAAAACCTCTTCAAAAACCAAAAGCAGCCACAGCTAAAAGTTACAAGATTTGTTTAATTACGTAGATATTTCCTATGGAAAAAACATAGACCCAAGGTTAAGTTTGGTGGCATAAAACAGCTAGAGGACAGAAACCTATAAGATGAAGTGCCTAAGGCGGCAGCTAAAATGGTCACCAAAACGAAAACGATAGAGAATCAGGGCAGATACCTCTGGTCAAAGGCAGGAGGACGGGGCGCAGACTTCGCTGCCATCACTACACTGATCTTGTTCCCTCTCATTTCATAATCTGCAAAAGAATTCACCATCGTTCATAAGATCGTTCATTAGAGAGAGCTAATATAAGTGATTCCATATACTAGACAACAATTCAATACTACATACTGTTGAAAAATCCGCCTGCGGAGTGAGCGGCGCTAGGATCTTCATAAGTCAGACAGGCGTCATCTTTATTTTTTCCCTTCTCATCAGTGTATATCTTGATGTTATAGGGCCACTGATCTTTGTAACCCCGCTTCTGCTTAATTCTCCCAACCTATAATAGATCCAACAGGAAGTACACTCCCAATCAGCACACCAATAAACAAATACAGAAACAAGAATCCTTGAGCCTATTCCCAAAAAAGTAAAAACACAACAGAATAAAAGAGACCAGTGTTATTACTTGGCCAATGCCACCAAAGAGATCCTTGAGTTCATCGATGGTCACATCCGAAGGTAAATTAGAGATGTATATTCTGGTATTATCACAAGTATCATCACAATCCGCATCGCACTGCTTGACTTTCTCAGCAGGTGCATCTCCATAGCTAGCTTCCTGACGTCGAGGAGCACTACCACCATCATAGCCACCGCCTCTACCACCCCGACCACCACTGCTAGGTGCATCACCGCCGCCATAACCCCCTGTGGGACCACCATATGACGGGGGCCCACCAGCATAGCTTGAAGGAGGGGGAACTGCTTCCATTCCATAGCCCGAGGGTGGAGGGTAACTGCCAGAACCATCATAGGATGGAATCGCTGCAGCAGCAGGTGGAGGAGGAGCCTGACCATATGAACCATTGTCCCTATGTTGACTATTACTACCATAAGAGCCACCACCACTGCTCCTACTGCCACCATCATATCTACTACTCTCATAGCTCCTACCACTATCGGTTCTACCTCCACGACCACCACCACCGCGATCACTGCCACCTCCTCCTCGGCTATACCCACTACCTCCTCGATCACCAGTACCAGAAGGAGCAGGTGCACCACACTTGTTACATTCAACTCTTCTCGCAAAGTTCACGTTCCCACAACTATATACAAACAGTTTCCAGGGTAAAACTACTTCAAATATACTTCCAGAAAGCAGCGAATCCAATTTAATTTCATTACACAAGCAGAAGAATGGATTCCATATATAAATCAAAGTTTAATGCAATTATTACCTTGGGTTAGGACAACGCCAATCACCATCTCTTCCGCCTCCATCTCTGCCGCCGCCACCACCTCTTCCGCCGCCTCCGCCTCCTTGGTATCCACCACCGCCACCTCCTGAATCAGATTAAATCATTAACAGCTGAAAATAAAGCAAGAGATTCAACAGAAGAAACCAATCAAGGAATGGAGAAATCTAAAGATTCGCAAGGTCAAATCCGTCAGATCTGGAGCAATCTAAATCACATACCTCGATTTCCTCTACCGCCGCCGCCGTAACCGCCGCGTCCACCGTATCCACCTCCGCCAGAGGCACCGCGTCCACCGTATCCAGCATCACCGCCTCCATAACCTCCACCTCCGCCGTATCCATCACCACCGTATGACGGAATAGGCGCACCTCCGGCGCCGTCTTGATTGTACATCCCAGCCATGACCTAGGGTTTGCGATAGACAACAGAGCAAACTCTTAGCTGATTGTGAGCCTTTTCAGACGTTAAAAAACTGTCGCGTTTTTGCTATTTATATTTTCTCTCACGAATGAAACGTAGATCTTCTTTTTAACTGCATTCAACTTAAATTCTTTATAATCTTATCTTTATAAAAACGCGCGGTCCTCAAGGCCCATTATCATCAAACCTTATTGTAGAAACATAGCCCAATAACAACTTCACTGGTACAGTGGTACATCATATACTCAAGCCTCAAGGAGAGAGGCAAAATCAAAAAAAATTGGGTAACTACAACTACAACTTCAATTCAGCACAGATAGTAAGAATAATAAGAGGAGAGACCAACTCCGAAAAAAAATTGGTATGTGAGAAGATGAACGAGAAGTGTCAAGTTGAATCCAGAATCTGCAATTATCCTCAGAAGGATCAACGGTAGTGATCAAACCAAGTCCACCAAAGTCACAGCTTTCTGCCCTGTGATCATCTTGCTGATACAGGCTATTGAACGCGTATGACACGTTGCCTGGCCATCCGATGCCTGAACACGACCCACCGGGAAGTATGGAGGTGCAGTCCGAGACAGCACAAGCCTCTAACGCTTTTGCTGAAGCGTTCGACAAGTCCCTGTTATTGTTCACCACGCACCACTTTGGAGGAAGGTACTGAACGTTCTGGGCGTTCACCAGTTTCTTTGAGTTATGGTTGAAACTGAAACTGTATTTGGCTTGGCCATCGAACGTGAAGACTCCCCAGTGCCTCTCAAAGTTCCCAGAAGATACGTTTCTCTGATCTTCGTCTAAGAGCCCTTCAATGTAGGTTTCAACCGGTGGATGCGGCAGAGAACCAGACTTCTTCTCCAAGTGACCCATCAGTCCTTTCAAGAACGCCTCAGCAGTCGGTGATGTGGCATTGGCTGCTCCATCTGTAGGCCAACCGATCTTTGACACGACGATATCCATCTCCGGGAACCCAATACTGGACAATGCTGAGACAAGTGTGTCGTAGCTCAGATCAAAGCTGTTTCTGTAGGCTTTACGCCCGTCTTCGTGAGCTTTTGCTGTTTCTTTGAAGAGGCTAAAGTCGAGGGAGATGTTCTTGTTCTGGTGGAAGCTTAGGAAAGGAGAGATTGTCACAAAGAAGGGAGAGTGATGCTTTGTAAGGAAGGAGACGAGTTCGATCATTGTCTTGTTGAGGTCAGCCCTGAAGTGTCCTGAAGAAGGTCGACCGGTTTCAGAGAGAAAGGAGTCAAAGCTTGTGGGGACTACGACCTTCACTTCACTTGCCAAGCTCGCCTTAGCCAAAGCATTTTGGATGTTCATGGCTGCTCCAATGACAAAAGGCCTGTACAGATTGCCATAGCTCTGCAGAAATGGCTCATCTCCTACTGCTACGTACCTGCAAACCAATCCAAGTGAGGAACCATCCTTATAAGTTCACCATAAGAAGATCGGCATTGAAACAAATCCCACTGAGCAATTTCTATATGTGAGTATAAAAAAACGCACCAAGACTGTCATTTAATTTAATAGAATTTGAGTGTTTCTCAATTTGAGTTTCAAAAACATTCTATAAGAAAGGATTCCTCTTTTGTGCTGCTGCCTGTTAATTCTCTCTCCTAAATAAAAAAAAACTAGAGGAGAATCAAACATATGCTCTTGTTAAGCCAACTAAACATTAAACTAAAGGATTATCCATTTCCTGTCCGTTCTGCTACAAAAAAAATTCTGCAATATCATTGCACGGACGAAATGAAGCTTAAAGATACTAACTTTGAGAGAAAAACGAGAAGATACAAAGCATAAACGTGGAAAGAAAAACTTTATTTAGCAAGAAACTGTTCTAAAAAAGGAAATTTCCAGCTTGAGAACCCAGAATTTATAGATATCTAAACTTGCGAAACAAAAATAACATTTGGGTGGCTATTTGGAAAGCGGAAGAGAAGGAGAAAGAAGATACTCGATTCGAACTCTGTTTCCGCCGTCGAAGTAACGAGTGACATTGTCATGGACCCAGCTCTCTGCTACCTTTCTGGACGCATTCAAGCTCTTAATCATGAAATTAGGGATTCCTACAGTGATACCAATATTGGAACCAGAGAGAGCTCGGAGAACTTCTGGGTCGGCATCGACGAGCTTCACCTTGGCAATGCCGTTGGATTTCAGAAGCTCTACAACCTTGGAAGGCGGAAGAGGGTGCGACGAATCCATCCCCCAGTTCACTCCGACCGCTGCGTCGGTGAATCTCGTCAGGCTCAACTCCGCCGTAACGGCGAGGAGGAGGAGAAACAGCCGACGATCCATCAATTCACTGAAGCTCCTCGACTGGCGATAATGTCGGGCCAAGAAGTTCCATGTTAAAAACAAATACACGACTACGTGCCGTTTTATGACTGAGCCAGTGCACTTGACCCTGTTATTTATTTACCAAAATGGCTTCAATGTTTAGATTTGGGCTTTATACTTTACTATTGGGCTTCACATGTCATCAGCAGCCATTAACCATCTCACCCATAAACGAATTATCCCCCATAGCACGTGGCGTTACTAGATTCTCGAGTTTCAGACAGGCAAAGAGAAAGACAGTACTGTCTGAACTACTGTGTGTGTGTGTGTCTGAAACAGAAATTGTCTGAAACTGAGAAAGAGAGAGAGAGAGCTCTAATCAATCAAAATCATAATGTCGACGGAACGAGAAGTAGTCTGCGTCACCGGCGCCAGTGGCTGCATCGGCTCGTGGCTCGTCCATCTGCTCCTCCAGCGTGGCTACGCCGTCCACGCCACCGTGAAAAATCTCCGTAATTAATTCATCTCGTCGATTACGCCTCCGGTAACCGTATCTCATCCTAATTACCATGAATTTTGCTAAAATTTGTGTTGCAGAGGACGAGAAAGAGACGAAACATCTGGAAGCCCTCGAAGGTGCATCCACGCGCCTCCATCTATTCGAGATGGATCTCCTGCAATACGACACCGTTTCCGCCGCCGTCAACGGATGTGCCGGCGTGTTCCACCTTGCATCTCCCTGTATCGTCGACGAAGTCCAAGATCCTCAGGTTCTATACCCACTCCCCAAATCATTGCTTTAAATGGACCGATGTTTAGTTCACTCACTTCATGTGTGTGTCCACAGAAGCAACTACTTGACCCGGCGGTTAAGGGGACCCTAAATGTACTGACGGCGGCGAAAGAAGCCGGCGTTAAGAGGGTTGTAGTGACGTCATCGATATCGGCGATAACTCCAAGCCCCAACTGGCCTGCCGATAAGATCAAGAACGAGGAATGTTGGGCTGACCAAGACTACTGCAAACAAAATGGAGTATGCATGTCTCTCTAATTAAAGATCCACTGATTTGCTTATTCTTGCTTAACCTTGATTCTTGTGGTTCTTGTTGGATAGTTATGGTATCCACTGTCGAAGACGCTTGCTGAGAAGGCAGCTTGGGAGTTTGCAGAGGAGAAGGGATTGGATGTGGTTGTGGTGAATCCAGGCACCGTCATGGGACCTGTCATTCCCCCATCGATCAACGCGAGCATGCTCATGCTTCTACGCCTTCTTCAGGGTATCATTCTGTTTACTTTTATGATCAAACTAATGTAATATGAATTGCTCTGAGTGACAAAAGGTCTCCGTTTTCAATGATGCATTGTGCATTAAAGGGTGCACAGAGACGTACGAGAACTTCTTCATGGGGTCGGTGCATTTCAAGGACGTGGCATTAGCCCATATCCTTGTCTACGAGAACCCATCTGCAAAAGGAAGGCACTTGTGCGTCGAGGCCATCTCTCACTACGGTGATTTTGCAGCTAAAGTAGCTGAACTCTATCCCAATTACAATGTCCCCAAGTAAGTCACAAACTCTCTCTTTTTGAAACACTCGTTATATTTTGTGTTACATAGCTCTCATGAGTAACCTGCTTTGGAAATTCTGTCTTATAGGCTACCGAGAGAGACTCAACCGGGTTTACTCCGAGCCAAGAACGCAGCAACGAAGCTGATGGAACTGGGGTTAGAGTTCAGCTCCATGGAGGAAATCATCAAGGAAGGTGTGGAGAGTCTTAAAAGCAAAGGATTTATCTCTTAACTCATCTGCTTAATTGAGCAATGAACAAAATCTGGAGTCAGCATAATCATGTAATATGATATAAGAAATTTGAAACTTATAATAAATAAGCTAGACGTGGCCTTGGTGATCCAACTAATTTTATTATCGTGTGTGAAATTGTGAATGAGATCATCAGCTCTGAGATTCTTGAAACGCGGGAGAACTCTGTTTGTCGCTGTTTTAAGAATTATTTCTTTGTCTATATACGTTTTGTGTTGCCAGTTTAACAAATCGTCGATATGTCCGAGCGGTTAAGGAGATTGACTCGAAATCAATTGGGCTTTGCCCGCGCAGGTTCGAATCCTGCTGTCGACGTTCTTTTTTAGTTTTTACTTTTAAAATTTTTTCTTCAATTTCCAAATACACGTGAAATGTGTTTTTTTCTGTTCGAACAGTTGACCAGTCTTCTCGTTTTTTATTTGTTTCAGTTTAATTGATTAATTCCAGTCTACTCAGTATTGATAAGTCCACTCATTTAAATATTTAACGCAACATTAGTTTTCTATTATATGATGTATGTTGATTGTTGAAGTTAAAATGCTTTTATTATAGCAAAAATATTGTATTGTTTTCTTGTTTTCTTTCACAATTTCAAACAACCATCAACTATACTAATTTTCAAAACTAATCTCTTTTTTTTTTTTTTTTTGCAGAGAAATGGACCAAATGGTAAAGTTTCAACATGAGTGGTCAGGATTTCAGTCAACCATCTTACGCAAAGCAATAGCCCTGGATTTATAAACATCACGATGAATTTACTATTCAATATAGTTATATAATTAGCTAACTGTTCTTTTTTGGTGTAAGTTCATTGAGTTTGATATTTATGAAATGATATGAAGATTTGTATATTGGTTACCAAGAGAATTAATGCTAAGTTGGTCACTTGTCCTTTTCGAATTTTAACTTCTATATATTTAATTAAGACCACCCACTATTGTTTTTTTTTTTTTGCTATTTCTAAGATATATGGATCTTGAGCTTGTACCATTCTTAGGGTGCAAATGGTTATAAATAAAAGGAATGGGTAGAATGAGAGTAATAATGAAGAGTTGAATAAAAACAAGTTAAAATTTTTTTTTCAGCTTAATAAATTGAATGAAATTTGTTCATTTGGTACTTTTTTTGTAAGAGTAACAAATCTGAGAGGAATTAGCAATTTTTCCTCTAATTTTATGGATCCCATTAATTTGTAGAGGAATGAAAATTTATCTTAATTAGTAAGTTTTTGGAAGAATACAGTGAAATCAATGTTTCAACTCACTTTTATTCCTCTAACATGTCAACCATTTGCACTCTTCTTATTTTGTTATCATCAAGTTGTATATAGGCTAGATATAATGTACCTATACCTAATATTTTGTTTCTCATGTAAATCCCATGACAACTGTAAAAACCAAATCCACGTTCATTTCTATGCATATCAAATGTAATTAGGTTTCTCAGTCAAAACAAATGAAGAGAACTCAAAACTTTTTCTGAGTCCTTGAATTTATTTAGAAAAAAATAAAATAAAGTGAGTTAGATGCTCATCATCATCGTTAAGGCTTTAAAAAAGAAAGCACCTGAAGATCTGTAACTTGTGAGAATAAGATTTTTCACGTGAGGCCCGAGACTTCGTATGTGCACACATCACAATTATACACTTTCGTACTGATCAATCAATCACGGTGATCAAAAATAAGTGATATATCATTTTAAATAACTAACTAAACATAATACGATCTTATTGATAATCGGCAATCGTATTTTCCATCTATACAGTTGCAATTTACATCTCAAATCATCAAATAAACAAAATATGTAATTTATAAGTAGGAATTCATAAAGCAATGAACTCAAGAATCACCACTATGTGTACCATAGTTTTTTTTTCTCTTATATATAATTGGCAGTAGGTATGTGGAATTTTACCGAATCGCCCAACTATACAGTAGTTGCAGCGGAAACAACCAAAGCAGCACCGACGTCACTTCCTCCGGCGTGGTCTCCATCACCGGCGGTGTGAGTTGCCGCGGGTGTAGTCGGCCGTTTCCGTTTTTTCTTGTCGTAGGGAATCCCTCGAGCCTTAGCCTGAGTTTCACGGACTTCCTTGAGATATATCCTAACGGCCTTGGCAGCGAAAGGGTTTGCCTCGGGAAGACCACCGCCGATTTCCTCGAACGCAGCCCTGAGACGACCGATAAGAGCATCGAGGCTTCCCCACGCTTGCCTGAGAGGGCAAGTGCACTGAGCCGGTGGGTTAGGCTCTCCGAAGAAGGGACAAGGCCCGGCGTGGACTTTGGTCTTACCAAACTGGTCGAGGTACTTAAGGAACTCGATGACGTGTGCGCCACTGCAACGAGACAGACTCAGAGGTGGCTTGTGGTTTTTTAGATACTGTAGGAAAGTGTTCCAGTCTCGTCTCTTCTGCGACTCGTAGCGGCTTGGGGAGGAGGAGGAACTCGCGGCTACCTTCGCTGCGGTTTCTCCCTCCATGTGTGTGATCTTTAGTCAGGACGTTGTTCAGATATTAGGGTTCTTGATTTTGTTTCTGATCAGTCTCTCTGTGTCTGTGTGGGTCGTGTGCCTGATAGAGAGAAGAGAGAAAGAGAGAGAGGAAGAGTTTTATGTTCAGTCACAAGTCACAAGCAACAAGTTGGATTTGATTATTCATATTGTAGTTTCTCACCTTTTTTTACGTCCCATCATGACATCATATATATTTCTTTCTCTGGGATCCAAAAAAAGGAGAGAGGGAAAATGGAAAATAAGATACATAATTTATGTTACCCACTGTGTTTTAGCTTTCACTTAAATTCCTTTAAAATGATTCTTTTTATGGGTCGTCTTGTTAAATAAGGAATCACATCTATTATATATTTGATTTTGGACTAATTAAGAAAAGAAAACAGGTGAATATGTGGATGTAGGAATCACATCTATTATATATTTGGATCAAGAAAACAAATGAATAAAGTGTCGGCAAAACTTAAGGATTTAAGTATAACAATAGCAGTTTACAAGATTATAGACTTATAGTAGTATATGGGTGTCCGTTAAATGTTGTTAAATTATCATACGACATACATGCTGCGTTTTTATCTAAAAACTACAAAAAAAATGATTATCAAGAGATTCACTCATGTACTTTATGGCTCTAAATCGTGTTTATATCATCTCACATTTACATTTCCAAACTTATCTCATTTCTAACTAACAAAAAAATAGCAAAGTAATTATTCAAATACATGCTTTGCTTACATATACTTCATCAGCTCCATTGAAAAAAAATTATGTAATGATCTTCAAAACTGACATTTCTAATGTGCACCCAAAGAAATTAACATATGAATGATATCATTAATCACGGCGTTAAGGACATCTTTTTCACGAACGTAAATGCTATGTTTTAGGGGAGCTGCGTCAACGGCGACGTTAAGGTGACTCCCAATCAAAAGTCTATAGTCGATACCTCCCGTGATTCATTTGATTTAATCTTTTTAGTATAAAATAAATCTTGTTGATACATCAAATCATATCAATAGGTCGTCGGTCCAATATTTATTCCATTATAGGAAACGCGCAACTTTGTCCCTGTACTCAGTTTCATTGGATTCTAGTTAATTTTCTTTTATCATGTTCACTCGTCGAAGTTACTAATTCGCTGATTGGTTGCTGTTAGTATCAAAGGTTGTAACTAAATGTGCATGCTGCTTAATTAGTGTTTTCTATTCACGGCATGTATAGTTTCTTGGTTTTATTTATTTTATTATAAAAGGGTGTATGTTTTCATCTGAAGAGTATCAATTAATATTAACACTTGACAAATAACAATTTAAACCCATGATAAATAGATCACCAACTACTAGTCAACTACCATATAGAAAGTAAATTCTCAATCTCTGTTTATCAGAATTTCAACTAGACGTTCTTGGTATAGTCACAACAAAAAAAGCTAAACGCAATTTCATGGAATTAATAAGAAAGCGTGGAATAAAATTGTACAAGGTCCATCATTTGAGGAAATCATGGAATCGCAATATGAATAATTGGTTCGTCTATTATATATAGATATATATATATATATGCAAGGACTTGGGGAGTTGGATTTGATAAAGCAGAAAAATGAAAAGAAATGGTGAGGAGAGTTGGTAGTGGGTCAAGAATCAATGAAGAAAGGTATTGGCCATTAAAGTTCTAATAGTCCAATTTCATCACTCACTCGCTATTTACTTAGCATTCATTAATTATTGTTATGTTCAGTGCTTAGTCTCTCATACCTATACGATCACGCCTTTTCACTTTTAAGTAATTGATGTATGCGACCTATCATACTAATTATATTGTTTCTTATGGTAATGAGATTGTAAACCATTTCTTCGTCTTCATCTATACATAGGTACAATACTTAAAAAAAAAAAAACGAAATATCATCCATCAAAGTTTTGGATAATTTTATACAGCACATATGGTTCCATCATCTTTCTTTGATGTGTATGGGTATGACTATGGCCAACCAAAGATAGATATATGGCGCACACACCATCTCTAATTTTTATATGTAGAAATTAGGATGGAGAGAGGCATGATTACTAGTAGTATTTATCAGGATCATGTCAAACATGGCAATCATTTAATTAAAGTACCTACCACCAAACTCTTCATTCTTCATCATTTTCTTTTATTCATCCAATCATCAAAAATAAAAAACAATAATATATGTCACCAATTTAATAATAAAAAATAGATTCAATTCACCGTTGCAGTACTAGTAGATCTAATAAACATTTTGTTTTCTTCTAAATCTCGTTTGAACCTATAACATAATCATACATTCATAATGGCGTACCATAATTAGATCTCATCTCCTGCAAAACAAAACAAGAAAATGATATTGATCTCATCTTGAGCTATACAGACTTTAACAAAAGAAAATCTTCAGCTATACAAACGTAATTCAATTTGTTCGTGCTTAATAAAATACATTATCTTCGTTCCTTTGCACAAATTATTTGAAAGACCACTCAATCTCATGCTTCTAGAAAGATAGTATCACATGATTACACTTTATATTACAAAAGTAAACAAAGCTAATCTTCTTTTCTCTCTAAAATTTTGGTTGCGTGTTTCGTCTTAGTGAAAATACGAATTTGTAGAATTCATTTTTAAGGAATACACGATTCAATCATTTATCAACGAAAATCAACTTAAATCGATATACATGCAGAAGAAAAAAAAGGGTCTCCCATTTCGCTTAATGTTATGTCAGAAATAATATACATACATCTATGAGATAACTTTATTTCTTGTCTTAAAAACATTACGCTTAGAAATGTTTTCATTTGCTAATTTTCTATTAGAGAACAAATGTGTTATATATCGTACGGTTAATGTAAATCAAAATGAGGAAGAATCAATCGCAGGAAGTAACAGAGAGAGCAACGCGGAGATCGTTAGAAGTTCCAGAGACGTACATACGGTGCGTCTCGATTTCTTCTCCTCTCCGGTGACTGGTGGCCGCCACGTCAGCGGCTGCCGCGTAATGGATCCCGTTGTTGACATCGTCTCCGGTGGAGAAAATGATCTCCCGAAGAATGGGTTCGTGTCCGTTTAGAAGGTTTCCCATACTCAACACTTTTCTCCATGACTGGTTCGCTGATGGCGGCGAGAACAGATTCGACACCACCTGTCTCTCTCTCAAGCTCACTTCCTGTCTACCCACTTCCATCTCCTGTGTTTCAGTGACCAAAAGGGACGTTAGATCATCCAATTCTAACATTCCTTATTGAGAGACTCTCGTCAGAGTAAACGATCACTCACCGTCCTGCTTTTGTTCTCTTCGTCATTTGAGTTTATTCCCATCACTGGAACATAAATGCCGTAGAATTCGCTGAATATAACTTGGGCAAGGCGTGATGCGTCCAGGAACTTTCTGTGAAGAGACGCTGCGACAGTTACCAACTTCTCGACGTGTTCAAAGGCCACGCAGAGACGTCTCAGGTCTTTGACGGTCTGTGCTCTATCCGGAAGATGGTTGCCTGCACATTCGGATGTCTGTTAATATATATAAACAAGAGGAAAACGTGTATATGATTAAGGAAGAAAAACAAATATTACGTTGTAGAGCCCCCAAAGTAGATTTGATGAGGAGGTAGAGTTGCTCCAATTTAGAGGTCATTTGTCTCATGTCCCCGAAGTTTGTCTGGTTAAGAGTGTCGGCTGATCCTCTGAAGGCTGTGCAGACCATTTGCTCAAGAAGCTGATGAGGCCGCACTGTTTCCAGGTAATGAAGAATCTGAGAAATTTGTCAACACAATAAGGTCAAAACTTGAACTCTCAAAGGAGGTTAGCGAATAATCTCATAAAAGACATTCACCTTTTCTCCCTCTCGGTTTGGGTCTAGGAGGGGCTTTTGGTCATCGGCTGGCAAAGAGGGTGCATCGTTCCAACTTTTTCTCCACAGATTTCCTTGATCAGACATCCGCTGAGAAAGGCGGCCACGAGGAGGCCATTTATCCTTCGAGCCTTCACTGATGGAGCCTGCCAATGGTTCAGCGGCTTCTGGCTCAGAGCTCTCCCAGTCTCCAGGTGAATGCCATCTGATAAAGTCCTCAAACACGGCATCTGGGTTTGCTGCTTTGAATGCTGACATGTCTGCAATCACCTTCGTGAGATCAGAAAAATAAGAAAGAAGAAATGAAGTGTGGGATGTCTCGTAAGTTTGCAAAACTATATGCTCCTACTATTCCCTTTAAATGGAACCAAACTTAGAAATAGATGACAGAAGTTTACTGAACAGCTCTTCTCAGTAAACATCTCAAGACAACAGAGACAGAATTTTAAAACTCACCAGATAATAAAATGTCTTTCTCCAACTGGCCAGGAACGTTCTGAAATTCAAAGGGCAAACTGAGTTCTTTAATAGCCAAATAATGAAATGAACTAAAAAGAAGCTATCTATATCATATTTTCTTCTCTAATGTCTACATATACCACAAACATGTAGAAAACAATCCATATCACAGCAAGAAAACGCATCTACACATTTGTTAAAAAACATTACGCTTATAGAAACGTTCTTAGTAGATAACCAAACCATATTCACTTGTACTGGGAAAGAAGTAGAGCTTACAAGGGAATCACCAAACGCCTCAACAGCCTGGAGTCTTTCTTCATGCATGTCTTCAGTCATAAGAGGTGGATCCTGTAATAACTCAGGAAATATGAGACTGTTAACGTCAAGATAGGAAACAGACGAGGCCAAGTCGAATACTAACCTGGGTAAATGGGGCATGGAGTCGCTGACGTGACTTCAGGAGCATCATGGTCCCCACTGGTCCAGCTGAACCCCTCCTGATGGCATCTGTTGGGCTTTGGTTCCCAGAATTTGAGCTTTCAGTTTTCCTCTCAAATCTGAGTCGATTAGATGTATCTTCTGCAATTGAACTGTATCCACGCAAAAGGGATTCAAACACTTAGCCTTGGTCAATATACTTCCTCTCTGTGAGCTTTAACTTATAATCAAGAGTTATCATCATTTAAAATTTAAAATGGAACTGGAAGAAAAGAAGAAAGAGAATAAGTACTTATATAATAATATGCAATCAGGGTTTTATCAATTCCATAACAACTAAAACCTAAGAGCTCTCACTTGCTATTTTCACCTGTCACGTTTCCTCTGTAGATCTTCTTCTGAGGGTGAATTTTTTCTCTTGTCGACCTTGTTGTGTTCCTGAGGATTGATTCAAAGAAATGTTTCAAGCCAACAACAGAGAGGCACTGCAGGAGTTAGGAACTCCAACACCTTTTTATATTTGTACTTCGGCAGCATTTGTTGATTTAATACAACACCTACTGGAAGCACATAACAACAAGTACACAAAATACAGAAAGCCTTGGCCACTAACCTCCATAGAAACAGAAGCGTCTGAACTGTCTTCACTTCCTATACAGTCTAGGAACTCTTCATTCATTTCACGCTTTTTTTCTATGCAAATTGCAAGCTGGTCAACAAAGAAGAATTGTTAGTATCTACAATAAACCTAACATTTCCGATTAAGGAATATATAGGGGATCACCAGATGCAACTTCTGGTTGATCAAACAAGTGGACAAATCAATAGAACCATCAGTTGGCATTTTTGGCAACGGCTGTGACTCTTCCCAGCACCAACGAACTTCACGGACAAACTCTATCCAGAGATAGGCAATGGCTAGAGATGGATGCAAACAAAAGAAATACAATACGCCTATTAGTCAGATAATTCCTTGCATTACGCCACTGGCAATTTGATCCACTTTGCCTATAATGATGCATGGCTGACCAGATGTGGCATGGTCTACCGGCACGTACCACGGATATTGCAGTTGCCAAACCACAGAGAGTGTAGACAGAATTGCGTAAAAAGAGATTCAAGCGGTGCAGCCTTAAGAGCTCGAGAAAGTCTGTGTTCGCCTTTAGTAAAATCTGGGAGTTTGGATCCTGCGAGATTAGAATGGAAAAGGTGAAACAATACCACGTAGCTGGTTTCTAACAATTGTTTGAGACCTAGGGGTAGATTTTCATATGATCCTGGCTACAAATTTTAAAATTCATGCATCGAATTGTAGAAGAATTTCATATCGTAAGCTATATTCTTGACCCAGCAATGATAATCAATATTTAATGTTGGGTAACAGAAACACAAGCTTATATATATGCTACCATAGACATAGATCGGCCATATCCATCTATGTCCACACAAAATATAGTGCAAGATCCACAGATAATAGAGTGGAAGAATACCCTCATGAAAGAGATCTTTAATCACCCGATCCAGAACTGTTGGAGGAGGTATGACCACTGACGTCTTCAAATTTTCAGAGCTTGGATTTTCTACTGCGAGAGATTTAAAAAAAAAAAAAACATTTGACAGTGGAAATGTCAGTAAAAGCTAATGCTGTAAAGAATATAAGAACATAAAGGAAACTAATCATCTGCTATGACTCAATCCCTTGCTAGTGGAAGTTTCTACATATATCTGAAACATGAAGAAAATATAAGAGCATACAAAATTGCACCGACCTGACACAAAATCCTCCATAAACTGAGCTGTAAAGGACATATCCAATGCTTCAACCAAGCAAAGTAGTTGGGAAGCAAAATCAATTCTTTTCCCATGTGAAGGATCACCCCTGCGAAAACAATATTTGTTGTAAAACTGCAAGGGAAGAATAATACACCACAACACATGCAAACTACTATTCTGCCCTAGAATGGGAAACTACGAGAAGCGTTTCTTACAGATATGGTGAGAGGATTGGGTGTAAAATCCACTTCTCAGCTTCATGGGGTGAAGCATTTTCAAGTTCAGCCATCTCAAGTGTGTTTTCTACAGTCTTGTCAGCCCACGAGACCACCAATTCGAATCCTGTCCATAACAGCCACAAAGTTTGATAATGAACACCTCGAATAACATATACCAACAGCCAAAACCCGCATATGCTTGAAGAATGATACAGGATTGTAATCACACATTAATTATAACTTTGTGTGCACTGGAATACAGAGGTGTATAAAAACCAGCTAGTAAATTAGATAACTTGCGTAGTATAATTACGAAAAAACACATATCCTTCACTTAATCTGTAAGACAGAGAAGTATAAAACAAATTCCAAAAGTACCGTATTGTGTAGACTATAGTCCAAACATGAGAATTTTTTTTCATGATATACCTCTAAGTGGATCTTCAGCAGAGTACCACTCACTCCAAGGACAATCATCATCCCAGTGCAATTTGTTACGTGACTCAGAACCATTGTGTTCTTCAGTGTCTGCTTTGTCACCCATAAGTTCATCCATATCATTTTCCTCATCCTCCTCGTCATATGGGAAGGTTTGGTATGTTAGCCTCATCATAAAATGGACTTTAAAATTATGCATCGAGAAGTCCACCCCTGAATAAACCTTCAAATAACAAACCGTTTTCGATAAATATAATATATAGGAACAATTCAATCATGTAAAAGAATAAGCCACGTTGGACTGGATATTCAAGATTAAAGAATGTCTTCCCTTCTAATATCAAGCTTGAAACATTCTGTCTAGTACAGAATGCGAGGAAAAAAGTACTTAATAACAACTAAACTGAAAACCCAGCTTTTCCTCAGTGATGGATTATGTTTGGTAAGTTTTCAAGTCCCCTCTGATGAGCAATTACCGTACTAATGAACTTATCTAAGTGGTAGCCACGAAGACTTACAAACTTAGAAACAAACAGCTCATATAGTCCTTCCAGGTGCATGAGCTTCACAGGGACTTGACTACCAATACGATCTGCTTCAAATCTTCTAGTAAAAACAGTTCCCATATTCTGGATTCCAATATATGCTTTGCGTGAAGGGTCATGCACAGGAACAAAGGCTGGCCACAAGCTGCATACAAAAGTCGTATAAAAATTAAATATGCACCCCAACGTTATCCTATCAGCAAAAATCTTCAGGGATAACTCATTTCTATCGACTTTGAGTTCAAGTACTTCAGAGTAGTTGGTAGGCGATTTCGTATCAACTCAAAGAAACATTGTATCGTAAGAGTAACACTTGACGATGCTAAAGCTAATGTGGTGCTACTGGCTAAGACATACCTGGCACAGTTAGACAAAGCAATCGCAACCGAACTCAGAAGCTTGCTAGACTCTGGTGTATCAAGAAGCACCCCACTGGCACTTTGTGGAGCAATCAACTAGAAGATGCAAGAATTATAGTCAAATATCGAATATGTAGAACTAGAAGGGCAGGAATCATTTGAAGTAAAAAAATGTAGATTTAAAGCGTACCAGAAAATCCTTCACCCCAAAGCAAAGCTGGAGATCATGTGAATTACTGTTCCAATTACCAATTGCAGCTGCATAAGTCAGATACCGAATCATGAAACAGAAAACGCAGTTTCTCCAAGATAAAGCGTAGTACCCTGAAATAATATACCTTGTTGGCTACCATTTTTGTCAATTTGAAAGTAGAACTCCATGCAGTAGCTCTTTGCTACATTTTTTAGGTCGCACTTGACCATAAAAAGATTCTTCGAATCCTCCACTGCAACAGCACCCTTTTCCTGCACTCACACAGTCACACACACAACGCAAGCAGCCTAAGAGGTAAAGCAGCACATAACGAAACTAGAGTAGATTTCACAATACACGTCCAAGCCTATCTTTGTATATCAAATTCCCATTCATATGATTCTAACGAGCTCAGCAAAGTCCCATTTGCACCTATAGAGCTCGATCGAAAATGGATGAAGATAATTTGGAAACGTAAACGTACCAGCAGATTTTTGGGACCATCGGCTAACCATTGACGACAAGTTGCTTCAATGTCTGAAATGAACCTAAAAAGCAACGGGATCAGTGGTGACATTCCGCACGTCGAAAAACAGAGGATTGAATCCGAGAATTCAAAATCGTAAAGGTGAAATACCTTTCCCAGGAAGAAGCTAGAGTAAAATCATCGAAATGCTGCACCTGAAAATTAATCTCTGATCCATGAATACAAAACAAACAGCAGAAGAGCACATGAAGAAAAAAGTTTAGGAGATAGCAACTGGAAGGCATACCTCTTCTTCCGCATCATCATCTTCTTCGGGAGGATTCGGTCTACCTGTAGAAGCCATATAAATTGGAGAGCGATATTCTCCCTCCCACTTCTTCTGGGTGAGGAACTCTTGCAGATCCTCCGATCACACAGATGAAGAGATCCGCTTCGGGAAAGAACAACGACGACGATGGTAAAGTTACAGAAGACGGTACACTGAGAGGAAACGTCGTCGTTCGAGGCTGATTTGGGACATTGACGAACGCTAAGAACAACGCGTGCCGTTTCGTTTAATTAGAAACGGGTTGCATTCTATCCTTTTAAATTTTGTTTTGGGAAAGAACAACGACGAAGGCCAATACAAATGGGCCTCACATTGGCCCATCACAAAACTTATTGGATATTCACATTCGTGTAAGAGTCATATGCTATATCAAATTATCAACGGAGGATTTTATTTTTTTACAGCAAATAAAATTATATCATTAAAATATTGATTCAAATAAGTTAGTATCGTGGGATAAACAATTCTAAACCACTATGTTTACATGAGAGAAAACAAAGTCTTAGGGAATAAACATTTTTTTGTAAAAGTGTCAATTCGGACACTATATATACCTAGTAAAAAAGATAGCAAAAATTCTAAAAACCCAAAATACAAATAAATAATTTTTTTTAATTCTGATATAAAATTCGACTAGTCCTCATTTTTATTAATAAGTTTAACAAGCTGTAAATAATCTGTCTAAAAATGAATATAAATACTACTCATATGTCATATGTTAGACAAACCTCATTATCCATAAAGTTATCTCCATTTTAGCATATAATGATGATTGGACTAAATTTCCTACAAAATATCCCAAATTAATGAATAAGTTATTTTGGGATATTTACCCTAAACCTCCCTCCCTGTAACAGTTTGTCTTAGGATACCTATAAGCATCAATTTGATATCAAAATTCATTATTTAGAAATTTTTATAGCAAACTCTCAAGTATTTCTATCTTCACACGCAGCATCTATCAAATTCGTCATTTCTCAATTTCTAACTTCTTAAGTTACTAATTCTAAAGTATTTAGAGAAGAAATATTCTTCCTTAAAAACTTTGTTATACCAAATGATTTAAAGTAATTTTAAGAAAAAACATTTAGCGGAACTTAACCTCATTTTAAGAAATACGCAAATTAGTTTCAACATACGAAGTTTAGTTATGTCTACTAATTTTGGTTGTAAGAGTCTAGTGATATTATTCTTTGCGAGGCTTTTGCGTTCTAGCACAGTTTGATGGATAATACCCTTGTTTAGATAAAATCATCTTTTTAGAGAAAACTAAAAATGGGGGATTGGTGATCATTTAGATAAACACAATTATGTTTGCAGGGACCACACCACAACTAAGAATTAATTATTTTCTTTTTTGGGGGGGTTCAAACAAGATTTAATTATCCCAAGGAAATTAAATGGAAACATTTGTTTTGTGTCCAACACTATAACAAAGTATTTTGCAAAAATAATGAATGAAAAAAAAGTATATACGGGAGCGTAGTGGATCGAGACAGTCTGAAAAATCGTACTGCTTACATAAATGAAGTCGTCCTCACTAACGCTCTAACGAAGATGAAATCTAAAATCCCTGAAATCTGAAGAAGCACACTCCATCTTCATCTCTCCCACCTCATAGTTATTGCCGAAGACGACCTACAATGGCTGCAGCTTTGGAATGCTGGTCTAGCCGTGCCGGAGGTGGCGCTCCCGACGACGATCTGGTGGATCAGGTCCTCATGCGCACGCACGACAGGTCCGAGTCCCTTATTACGTCTCCGCCTGGTACGAGTTTGGAGGTCGAGGGATCCACGCCGCTCTTCGATCAGAGCTCATCGGCTATGCAGAAGCGCTTCCAGCGTCTCAGCCGCAACGTGTCCGACGCGATTGCGACGCTCAAAAACTCGCTCAATCTCGATTCCGCGCGGGACAACCAGAGCGTCGGCGGGAATCCGTCGCCTAAGGCCGAAGTCAGTGGCGGCGGCAGGAAGCTCCTGTGGGCTACTGTAGTGAGGAACCTTGCTAAGATGTATCCTGGCAGCCAGTTACCAGAGAAGCTCGTATCGAATCTAAAGAAACATTACGATTCCTTGCCCTTCAGGTAAATTAGATTTGCCATTTGATGAATTTCTATGTATCGTGTGAGCTTTCACTGTTCCGATCTTCCAAACTCCGAACCAGATCAAGTTTAGCTGCTTAAGCGATGTTCCTATAGTATTCCCTCGCTGATAAACGGTTTGAATCTGGATATATTTTGATATATTTGGTAAGTCATGGAGCAATCTAGGTAATTTGATTTTGTGCTTGGTGTTGTTTCAACAGTTACAGTCAGGCTGGTTTCGATATGAAAGAAGTCTTTCTACACGTAAAGTTGATAGAGCAAGCTTCTGGAGATGACAATCCTGTGTTTATGATTCAAGAAGTCTCCGCTGGGGAAGCTCGGGGTTCAGTCCTCAGACTCACATTCGCCTGTAACTCTTCTCTTTCGTGGTCAACTATGTCAGGCGCTCTTGATGGTGCTTCGATTTGTTGCAAGAAGATACAGATCTTTGAGAAGAAGGGGTTGACTCTCGGGGTTGTTCTTCTTCTAGATCAATCTGGACAAGAGAGTGTTTTCAAAAGCCGTGTAGAAAACGCACTCAAGTGTGCAACCAGGAAGCCAAGACCGACTTCTGTTAAGCTCCCTTTTGGGCTTTGTGGCTGTCAAGAACAGAACGGCGGTGTTGGGGAACTTGGGGGTGTTGAAGAAGATTCCATTCAGCAAAGCAATAGGCTAGGGATAGAAAATTTGAATAGTACGATCCAGCTTCAGATTCCACTTCCGAGTTCTTCATTTGCTGTATCAGTAGATGAATGGCAGACCATCCAATCAGGTGGCAGTGAGATTGGAAAGTGGCTACTGAATCCCGATAGTTTTGAGTTCGGTGATCAGGTTGGACCAAATTCTTACAAAGGAATTTTCCGAGGGAAAAGAGTGGGAATCGAGAGACTAAAAGGTTATGATAAGGGAAACTCGTATGAGTTTGAGCTCCGGAAAGATTTCTTGGAGCTGATGACTTGTGGACACAAGAGCATTCTGCAATTTTATGGCGTTTGCATCGATGAGAACCACGGATTATGCGTTGTGACAAAGCTGATGGAAGGCGGGTCACTCCATGACCTGATGTTAAAGAACAAGAAGCTTCAGACCAAGCAGATACTGCGAGTTGCGATTGACATAGCTGAAGGCCTCAAGTTTGTGAATGATCATGGTGTTGCTTATAGGGATCTTAACACACAAAGAATACTTCTAGACAAACATGGCAACGCCTGCTTGGGAGATATTGGAATAGTCACCGCTTGTAAGAACTTTGGTGAGGCCGTGGAGTACGAAACTGATGGCTATCGATGGCTTGCACCTGAGGTCTGTATTCTCTTACTCTTCTTGTCTTTGTTCAACAGATTACTTGAAAAATTAGATTGTAAGCATCATAGTACTTGCCATTTCCAGATCGTTTCTTACCTCTAAGCCAAATGATACAGACAACTAGGCCCTTGAAAGTTTGCTCAGAGTTCTCTGCCCCATTATCATAAATCTCATAGAGAAGTCGCAGACCCTATATGCATCACCTCTACTGTTCCCCATATGACCCACTGCATATTGTTTCGTTTTTCCTTTGCCTTTTTCTGTTTGTCTGGACAGTTATTCGATCGTCACTTTTGGATTCATATATCGTAGACAAGTGTGGATCTAATTAGGTTCTGTCTAATCTTCACAAAAGCATCTTTGACTATCTTACACCTCCAGTTTCATCGCTTCATTAATTGAGCGTACCTACTAAACTTTTCTTTGGTTATATGATGTTACGCCTTTTAGCTTTGTCCAACTCACCTGCAATTGCAAATGGTCCACTGTGCTGAGTTACTTGATTTCATCTGACGAAATTTAATATTATGATTGTTTTTTTTTATTGTGACATGGTTGAAATCAGATAATAGCTGGTGACCCGGAGAACACAACAGAGACATGGATGAGCAATGCTTATAGCTTTGGGATGGTACTGTGGGAGATGGTCACGGGAGAGGCGGCTTATGCGTCTTGCTCGCCGGTGCAGGCGGCTGTTGGGATTGCGGCTTGTGGCCTAAGACCAGAGATCCCAAAGGAATGCCCTCAAGCCCTGAGAGCTCTAATGATCAATTGCTGGAGCAACTCGCCCACCAAACGCCCCAACTTCTCCGATATCCATTCCACGTTGCTCCGCGCCATTTCACGCTAAGTTTGGCTTTTATTTGGTAAGGATGATATTGTACATTCAGATTGTAACACTGAAAAGTCGTAATTATCTAGCATGTATTGATCAGAATGTTGTTGATATGAACTGTACTGGAAACATATAAGGACATAAAGAGGTAAGGGGTTCGTGTAGGTTGGGTTCAATACTTGTATTGTGGCTAACCGTGAGGACCCACCTCTTTTGTCTACTTTAGGCCGGAACTAAAGCCTTAAATAGAAGAAAATAGCATCTCACTAATCTTTCATACTTTCACTACTTAGTACTTACAATGACATTGTGGAGCAAATTTAACATAATTTGTGTTGTTGTTGCCACTTTACGATCAATAAACAGATTTAAAAGTAAAATTTGCATATGAGTGAGTAGAATACAGTATGATAAATACTTTCAATCATTCATTTATATGTCACCTTTCTTTTTTTCGTTTGGCCATAGGTTCTTATGATAACATGGTTTGTTAAAATACTGATTAGAATTAGAGGCCCGTCACAAATTTAGGATTTTTAGAGGCCCGTCACAAATCGAGTCCACGGGCCCATCAATACAGTATAACACAACATTTAGACCGTACATACATGTATATGTGTGAAAACGAACATGATTGAGAGGGCATATTGGGTTTCGGGGAAGAAGAAGACATTTCGTCTTTATCTTTCGTCAAAGTGGTGACACGTGATGCTTTTCAGAATCCACCACTCCACGTGCCCTTTTAGTTGCACCCCTCAATCCACAATTATTGATTTTTAGATTTTTAACTTTTTAGTTATGTACTTTTTGGTTTTTCCCCATTCCTTTTTTCCTAATCAATCTCAGTTTTAAAATATTTTGTGCGTGTGTGTAAATATCATGGAGGAGAACTTGACAAACAACAAAATTGGCCAAGAAAATTAAATAACGCTATTAAATTGGGTGGTCATCAAAAGTTGTCAAAAACGTTTTTCTTAGCACTACTACATCCTGTGTATTTACATAATAGTATCGATTTGAATATGTACAAAAATGATACTATGTAACTTTGTTTCTACTTTTCAGTGTTACCGTAATCATTTGTTCGATGGTCCCCTCTCACGTGATTATTCCTCTTTACTCTTACTTCTCTCTATCTTAACTTTAATCAATTATGTTTTCTTTTAACATGAACTGATCTTACATATAATCATATATTTCAAACTTATTACAGTAACATTCAGAAATTTACCTTGTTTATACTTGATTTTTACCTCATTAGTTTTCCCATACCTCAACAAGGATGATTCTAAAACATAAAACGATGATTATCATAACAACTTTTAACAAACTAAAGAAAATTTTGTATATTCATTCATTTGTTATTTTATATAGGATAAATGTTTAATATAATCGTAGCAATAAACTTTAGTATAAAAAATTACTTTTGCACTTTTATCCGTATAAAACACGAGATACCTCATGGTATTATAGAAGTTACTCAAATGCAACCCTAACTCAAATTATAAGCTTAATTTAGTTTACATTCATATCATTCGTCAAAATTTCTTTGGCGACTCAGCATGTATCTCTCTCTCTCTCTATATATATATATATACGATGTGGAACGAACAATTCGCCGCTTCCATCATGGTACAACTATTCTCATCTCTCTCTATCTTACACAGGATCCCAAGGCTGATTACTTGAAAACAAATCGATAGCACTTAAGAATGTAGTGTATAGACTCAAAGCATAGTGAGGCATTGATGCTTATATGGTCACGACAGTTGATTCTTCTTTAAGTCATTATTGTTGTTTGGTAAAATGTTGTGGTTCTTTGTTGTACCACTCCCTATCTTTCCCCTCCTCCCTTTAGCTGGTGTTTCTCTTTTTTTGCAATGGTGTAATGGTTATTTTTTTTTTTTGGTAATCGGTGTAATGGTTATTTTGATCTATGCTGTATGTTTCTTTTTATTTTCATGAAAGTCTTTTAGTAAAAAATATAAAGTATTGCTTTTTTAACTTATTTACCGTAAATACTACTAAAAGTTAAGAATGCAAATACAATAATCTAAAAATATAAATAAGTTCAATACAGCTGTATTAATTATACGAACATAAATCTCATGAACTATCGCCAGCTTCCTCTTTGACTTCTGCCGCAGCAGACTCATAAAAATCAATTTAGTATAGATAACAAAACATTTACTGCAATTGATTTCATTTTATTCACCTATCTCACATGTTGTGTTTTGCTTTCGAGATGAAAGGTATTAAAACGAAGATTGAACGACACACTTTCATTACTTTTTATTGTCACCAAGAGTCAGTCAGTCTTTGTTATTCGATACTAGTCCATAAAAAGTTCATTTATCCATTTCTCAAGTACAAAACTGATTGTCTAACGCGTCTTAGACCATCTCCAATGTGTTCCTCTATTTTTTTCTTTAAAATAGAGAAACTCTAAAATAAAGGTGCACTTCTCTTTAATGTGTTCCTCTATTTTTTCCTCTAAAAAGAAATATTTTAAGAATATTCTTTTTATAATTTATTATTAACACATTCTTTTCATAAAATTCACAAATTAACCTTATTTATATTATTGTTTACAAAAATTTCCATAAATAATAAAAATATATTAAATTAAACATTTATTTCATAAAACAAAATTCAAAATGACTATAGTATTTGTAATTTTCCATAATTTTCAAAACATTTATTAAATCACTATAGTATTTATCATTTTCTATAGTTTTTTGTATTTTTAAAAAATTATTGTAATTTATCATTTTATTTATAATTTAGTTTGAAATAAATGAGAATTTTTCAATTTAGTTATATTATATGTTCACAAAATTTTCTCAAACCATAACAAAAATTATTAAATTTATTTATCTATTGGGTTTTTGTATTTAATAACATACAAAACTGTAACTTTATTGACGTATTATTGTACATGTGTATACTATATTGCTATTCATGTTCATTTTTTATTGTGGATTAACCACTTTCATTTATAAATTATATAGTTAATTAAAGTAAATACTGTTTTCTGTTTTTCTATAATAATTATTGTCTGAAATAATATTAATTTTATTAAATTTTATTAAAGTTATTTAATATTTTATAATTTAATTAAATTTATATGTTAGATATATGACTATTTATTAGATATATACAAACTAGATTATGCAAATATTTAATTTAATTTTTTATTTGTTATATAAATAAAAATAAAAAGATGTAAAAGTTAAAGGACCAATTTATAAATAAAAAAGTGCATCTCTATTATAGAGGAACAAATAGAGTTCCTCCAAATATAGAGGGAAAAATAACAATCTCTATTTTAGAAGTAAAAATAGAGGTGGATTGGAGAGAATTTTCCTCTAAACTCTATTTTTTCCTCTAAAATAGAAGTAGATTGAAGATATTCTTATACTGTATATGACAACATTAATGCCTAAAAAATAAAAAATTTACTTGATTAGTTTTACTTGTAGATTACTTGAATTTAAAATTTGCAATTCTAACAATATCTCTTTATTCCGCAAGTTAAATCGGAAGATTTTTTTTTTTAAGTTTCCCCGTTATCACTTTTTTTTTGGTCAATAGTTTCTTCGTTATTCCTAAAATGCAGAAATACTAACCGGGATTAAATCTCACTTGTTTAGGTAAAATCTATGCTGACAAAAAAAAAGTATGAGGGAGAGTGTTATTATTCCTTGTTTTCTTTGAATATGTTTTGATATCATCAATCTACACATTTCGGAAATGATTAAACAGAATACCAACTATAATTAGTATCTAATTTTTTTACCTAATTATAATTGATAACGTTAAAATCACCTGTTTATCACAACCATTGCTGTTTTAACTCACAAAGCAAATGTTAAGAAAAAAAAGGGAAAATAACAAAACCAAAAGAAGGGGGAGATTTAACAATTCCTCCAATCTTCCAACCACTATTGTTAACCAGCCGTCTCCTTCCTCTCTCTCTCTCCCCCAACCCAAACTTCCATTTCTCTGCAAATCCAATTCCACAGAAAACCCTAATTTAGTCCCCCCAAATTCCAACTTATCCACCGTTCTACACCGTCAATGTGGCGGCCGTGGCGCAAATCGTCGGTTAAGATTCACGACACGTACTCTCCCACCGCCTCCTTCAAAGACATCCACCATCTCTGCTCCGACGATTCCTCTTCCTTACTTTCTTCTCCTTCTCCTTCTCCTTCCCCCTCTCCTAAAAACGTTTCTAGAGTTTTCCACCGAGTCTACGCAGCGAATCTACTCTTCCGATCCTGGCCAACTCGTCCATCGAATCAGCTCCTCCGCGCAGAGTCCGAGCCTGCTTATCCACGGCGGAATCCGGAGTCAGATTCGCGGCAGTCCAAGGCCGAGCCAGATGTACGGATTTCGCTCCCTGGCGCGGAGAGCAGCATCGTCGTCTACTTCACCAGCCTCCGCGTGGTCCGTCCCACGTTCGAGGACTGCCGAGCCGTCACAACGATCCTCCGTAGCTTCCCCGTGCGAATCGACGAACGAGATCTCTCCATGGACGCGTCATTCGCGGCCGAGCTGCAGCGGATCTTCGGCGGCCAGAAGGACCAGGACCAGAAGAAGACACAGAAGGTGCCGCGAGTCTTCATCGGTGGCCGGTACGTCGGAGGAGCGGAGGAGGTGAAGCAGCTTCACGAGATCGGAGAGCTGAAGAAGCTCGTACAGGAGTTGCCGAGGATCGAACCAGGCGTATGTGAGATGTGCGGCGGTCACAGGTTCGTGCCGTGCAACGAATGTCACGGTAGCCATAAGGTGCACACGGAGAAGTTAGGTTTCAGAACATGCTCGGTCTGCAACGAGAACGGTCTCGTCAGGTGTTCATCTTGTTCCTTTCCGCATCTCTCGCCTAATTCCTAGATTTTTTATTTTTTTTTGTTATAATTCTACACGAAAATTGGAATAATTAAATATTTGTTTTTATCTAATTCAGAAGTTTCCAATTTGTAAAATTCGAAATGGAAAGAGGTAGCATCAGCTTGTTTTTAGATAATTAGATTCGTCAAAAGGAATAATTATTAGATCACATCAGTGTGATGTGAACGTGATTAGCAGCTAAGTAGCTAACATTTGTTTATCTTAAAATGTATGATTAGTTGCTGTCAAAGGGCAAGCGAGTGTTATTTTCGAAATTTTAAACTATAGTAGATCTAAATGCGGTAAGAACGAAGAAAAAAAAAACTATAGTTCCTCTCCTCTCTCAATGGTTCAGATTGATGAATAATAGATTGGTGAATTGTTATTGTAACGTGTGATCAAAGATAGCAAAAAAGAAGAAAACCAATTTTGCAAATGTAACACATTTCTGGCCTAAGAAAGAAAATACAGCTGACATGCATATATTATTAATTCGGTGTCATTTTTTCAATTATGACATATATCATTCAGTTTATTAAAACTACGGTTCATAAATGAACGATTGATTGTCTGCGTAACATGCAAAATAGTATTGGTTATTAAATATTGTATGGTTCAATCATAACCAACAATTGTAGATGAAGTAGTATTTGTCTAACAAACATCTTCATAGTATTGATAACATCTTAATGGAAATTTGAAATCATTAGTTGGTGATTGTGAATATTGAAATCCTACTCCTAGTGTGGTGGATGAACCATCAAACGGAAAATCTAATGTTAATTGAAGTAACGTTGTTAGACTTAGATCGGTGTAGTGCATTAGTATGGGCTTAAACCCACTATTAGGTCCATTTTCAACGCACTTGTAGACATGGCCGATCTCTTCATATGGGCCGACCATTTCCATATTCTAAATATTTTAAAATTTTCTATTGACCAAGACATTTTGAATTAATGCATTAAATGAGTTTTTTCGTAGTAATTACTGGAAATAACATACATAGAGAGATATGAGATGAGATTGCTGGAGTAAACCCAGTAAAAGATTATTCATTCTCTGCGCTAATAAAGCACGGGGCTATTAAGATGGGTAAAATAAAATATCGTGATATGTTTTTCCACTAGAACAGCGCATTAATAATATTTATACAAATCGGAAAGGTTTGAGAAAATACCAATAATATATTTTCTGTTTTATTTGTCGATTGTGTTTTATATATAACTTTTTATTTATTTTTGTGCAAGTCATAATAGTTAAAGTCATGTTCAAATTTCATACTTTTAAGTTAATTCTTATAGTTTTTTTTAAATAAGAAACTACATTTTTTTCTATTTTGACTAGCAAAATAAATAACGAATTTATATTTTAATTACTACTCTCTCTGTTTTTTTTATAAGATGTTTTAGAAAAAAATTTTGTTTATAATTAGATGATGTTTTCAAAAATCAATGCAAAAAGTAATTGTTTTAATTGTTAAAATTTTGTATATTATATTTCTATTGATTTTGAAAATGATGTTTTCTTTTGGAAAAAGAGAAAATTAAATAATTTCTTAATATATGTGTAAAACTTTAAACATCTTATATAAAAAAGTAGAGGGAATAGTTGTTAAATTATATTTTTCCAAAAAAGATTTAATACATTGCACCATAGTAAACAGAAAATTAAAAGGTATTTTGTAATACCTCGCTTATCATTCTATCAAGAATTAATTTATAGAGTTTATTTCGTGTACAGCTACTCGAAGACTGATGGGAAAGAGCAACCACTGATCCCATAGAAGCCTTTTCACCATCAAGCCACTTGTGTAGCCGTGCGTAGCATTTGTTAACATGTCAGTATATAACATATTGCCATGGAACAAGTTATTAGCAAAACAAACAAACAAACAAGTTACATTACGGACAAGTTTTTGAAAATAACCAAAATATTAGTTGATCTTTTGCAAAAGAATAACTGTTGTAGACTTGTAGTAATTGACAAAATAACATATATATGTATATATAATACATTTATATCTTTCGTTAATTTTTTGAAATTATTTTTATTTTTGAAATTATAGTTAGACTAGAAAATGTATTCTGCTCTTTGCGCAATGAACATGCAAATTTGATATCTTAAAAGAATTATTAAAAATGATTAAATGTTAAGGTTGCTATATTAAATAAACTACAAATTCTTTTACTTTTAAAAAAGGGAATATGGTCGTGGGTTTATGATAATAAGAAAATAAAAATAGTGGAAAGAGTAATAAACGTTGATTAGTTGACCTTGTCTTGAAAGACGACTTCAAACTTTAACTGCTCCTCCAGCATTCTCTTCCTTCTTCCTTCTTTCAGGAAATAGCCACAGAAGCAAAGAAATCTCCCATGAGTTCCGATGGACGGTGGAGATTCAATCTCCGGGCAGCATTCTCCATCATCTTCCTCAGCTTTCTTCCTCTGAACATCAAAAGCCAAGGTACTTTCATCTATCCTCATCTCTCTATACCATCTCTTGTGTCTCTTTTTTGACTTTGACATTTCATTTCATGAAGAGATCACAGAAGTCTTTGATTCTTCCCAAGATCACTTATTGATCCATTCCGGAGCTTATCTGAACCGTCGCAGCCTGGCTGAGACACCTCTTCCAGGCACAGGTCCTGCCGTGGGTGCCTCCCCGCCATCTCCTGATCAACCGTCTCAGCCACCAGAGGCTCAAACACCACCACGAGGAGACGAACGCCCGAGCCCTCCTTCTCAAGGCGAGCCAATACAAACCCCGACCCCACCCCTTGTCACTTCCCTTCCTCTGCCTCTGCCTCAGCCTCAGCCACAACCTCAGCCTCAGCCTCAGCCTCCGCCTCCGCCTCCGCCTCCGCCTCCTCCTCCTCCTTCAGGAACTAAAAAGAAATCTCCCAAGGTTTACATGATCGTCGGCATAGTTGTTGGCGTATTCACAGTCTCGGTGGCATTAATCATCTTCTTTCTTATCCTCAGCCGAAAGATTCCAATCAAGCCTTGGACCAGCAGTGGTCAGCTTCAAGAGGCTCTTATCACAGGCAAACACACTCTTCAGTCTTCACACTCTCTCTTTCTTCTCGCTTCATAACTAAAATTCTCTCTAATATTATATTTTGCAGCAGGTGTTCGGAGGCTGCAGCTATCAGAGCTACAAGCAGCCTGTGAAGATTTCAGTAACATCATTGGCTCTTTCTCAGACGGCACTATTTACAAAGGGACTTTGTCCACTGGTGCTGAAATCGCCGTTGTGTCAGTCGCGACTGGTTCTCGTGCAGACTGGTCCACCGCTATGGAAACACAGTTGCTACAAAAGGTATCAGAAGCTCCTTTGCGCTTGTCTTGAACAGAAAACAGGCATTGCCATAGCCATTGAAGAATAAGTTCTGCTCTGTTTCTGCAGGTTCGTAACTTGTCAAAAGTGGATCACAAGAACTTTTTGAATGTGATTGGGTATTGCCATTCGGACGAGCCCTTTAACCGAAAGCTTGTTTTCGAATACGCTCCCAATGGATCCCTCTTCGAGTATCTGCACTGTGAGGACTACCTTCCCCCGCAAGAAATCATTTATAACTTAACTCAATCCAACTTTTAAACTGTTGAACTGATCTTTCATGGCAGCTCAACACGCGGAGCACTTGGACTGGCCTACCAGACTCAGAATCGCCATGGGAATAGCTTACTGTATAGAACACATGCACAATCTCAACCCACCCATCTTGCACACCAATTTGGACTCCTCTTCCGTCTACTTGGCCGAAGACTATGCCGCCAAAGTCTCTGACTTTTCTGTCCTCAACTACATCTCCCCCTCTAAGGAATGCTCCTCGAGCAAGAACCTTTTAGAAAACTCACTGCTTGATCCCCAGACCAACGTCTTAAACTTTGGCGCCCTTGTGTTCGAAATCATCAGTGGGAAGTTCCCTGACACGGATTCTTTGTTTCTCGAACCCAAGCCCGCGAGAGATCTTGTGGACCCAACCCTCAAAACGTTTCAGGAGGATACTGTTGAGAGACTGTTAGAGGTGGTCAGGCAGTGTATGAATCCATACACAGCTCAAAGGCCAACAATGAGAGAGGTTGTTGTGAAGCTGAGAGAGATCACCGGCATAGCAGCCGACGCAGCAATGCCGAGGCTATCTCGACGGTGGTGGACGGAGCTGGAGATCATCACCACAGAAGGAAACTAAAGAGAAAGAGGAGCCGTCTTATAGGTGTCCCCTGTAGATACATAAATGTCACTGTGAAATGATGATCATCTTTTACTTCCTCTGCATTATAAAATCATAAATACTGTATATATCCGAACAGTTGGTTTTGCATAGAAACCATTGGTAATATTAATAATGGTAGTTTCTTTACAGAATTGATGTATAAAAGAAGGAAATAAAAGCTAAAATATCCCAATGAAATGTACACAGGGGAAATTGCGGTTTATACCTTTAGAACTAATCTAAGCCAAGAATGGTGTTGTCAATGGAAGAAGCTTGATCCTTGGACCTGCTGTAGAGATGGAGCGTCTCGGTGTGATTCGGATCCAAACAGAGAGCAGCTTCGCAGTCTTGAGAGGCCAACGACAAGTTCCCCGTGGCCTCGTGGAATGCTGCTCTAAGATGCAGCGTTTGCAGTTCCGGTCTGAAAGCTATCGCCTTAGACAGCTCTTCCACTGCTTCTGTCTCTCTCTGATCATCCATCAGCACTGCCACACAGACAACCGCTTCTTTTAACTACTAGAATTCACAAGATGTTAATAGGGAACGGGGAAGAGTTAGTTACCAGCAGCTCGGTATCTGTAGGGATAGGTTCGCAGAGGGTCAAGTGTTGTGGCCTTGTCAAGATCCTCTTTGGCATTTTCACGTTCACAGTACTCAGACCTTTTCTCGTAGGCTGCTGCTTTGCTAAACGCCTTCTCAATAAGCTTCGTCATCTCCTCGCACGCTTCTTTACGTTGATTCTTCAGGAAATAAACTCGGGCAAGTCCTTGATGAGCACGAGTGTGTTTGATCGCTAGAGCGTTCTTGTATGCAGTCTCAGCTTGATCTAGCAACCCGCACTCGATGTAGATGCTCCCAAGATTGTTCAGAGCCTGCAGAAACATAACCAAACAAAAAAAAACGTTAATGAGAAAACAGTGCTATTAAGATTATATTAAAAGGAAAAAATATAATAATGTCAACCTGTCCTTTGCGTAGCCCGTCCGAAGGACACTTGAGGGCTTCCTCTAGAACCTGAACAACACAAGAGCTCTCGTCCGGATCGAAATTCTTGTCAGCTAGAACATAGGCTTTGAGGAAAAATGCTTCAAAGGAGCGCTGAATGGAAATTGCCTTCTCGGCTTTAGAAAGAGCTTCGTTTACATAACACATGTCGTATAAAAGCCACCCTTCGTACACCAACCTCTCGGCCTCAGAAGCAGCCAAGTTCCATGCCGTTCGCAAACACCTCATCGCGGCTCCTTGACAATTCAATCTGTCACAGATCACAACACAATGTAGCTTTTGTCAACTCCTGAAAAAAATCATTTTAATCACTGTTTGCCTGAGTAACAAGGAAAAGACCTTCTTACCTTAAGAGAAGAAGAGATTGTCTAAACCTCAGAAAGTTTTTGCTGGGATCATTCTGAAGCATCTGATGAACAACACCCAACGATCCAACATCATCCACGGCTGACCAACTCTCGTAAAGCCTCACCCAACAATCCGCTTCGCTCTCTACTTCAATACATTTTGTGGTCAGAGCCTCCGCCAAATCATCTCTCATTCTCCCACCAAACACAACATAATTCGGCTCTAAACACAACACTGCTCTGAGATCTCTCAAACAACTCTTACGGTCACCAATGGCTAAAAACAGCCAAGCCCTCAGTTCGAGAGAATCTGGAGTAAGCTTGAATTGAATTAATCTATCAACCTCTTCGAAAGCTTCTTTAATCTGCTTCTGTTCAAATTTCATCACGGCTCTGTACTTGTACGGAAAAGTCAGTGTCGGATCAAGTTCAGTGGCGGTTGCTAGATCTTTTAGTTTCTCAACCCCGACATTGTACAGAGACCTCTCCTGGTACATCCATCCATGTGGCTTGTGATTAGAGATGAGATACGCCATGAGCTTGTACGCCGAGTACCTCTGCCCTTGTTTATACTCAGTTCTTGACACCCCAGCCAATGAGTAGACATGCCCTAAGCTTGAAGCTAGTCTGAAATGAAACTGAGCTGCCTTGTAATCCTTTCTCTCAAACAGAACATATCCCATTTGATGCAAAGACACAGCCTTTTGCCAGTTTGTGCGAGCAAGCTCTCGAGTTCTCTCCAGCAAAATCAGCATAGGCTCCGTGGTGAGTTTCTCTTCCATGCCTACTTGGCTGAGGAAGTAGTACAACAGGAACAAACACTCGGAACCAAGAAAAGCCAACTGTTCTTTCGCTTCAGAGCTGCAGAAGAATCTCATCACTTTGGAATTGCGGAGAGACTGAGGGAGATCTCTCAGAAACACCTGCAAGCAAGCAGATAAGAGAAGCTTCGTGCGTTCCTCCAACGCGTACTCTACAAAGGTCAAAGCTTTATCGACGTCAGTGACAGATGAAGCCAAGCGAGACTCACACGCGGACTTCAGATCGTCACAACAGAACTTGCTGGCTAATTCAAGTAGCTCAAAGACGGTTTCAACACGAAACAAATCAACTCTTTTGATCCTGCTGTATATGTTCAGTGCCAGCATTGCCTCAATCGAGATGCCATTCTCCGAGAAATCGATCTCGGAAGTTCTTGATTCCACAAAAGAACCATACAGCATCGCTTCAAAAGGCCGCGAAAGAGCTGCAATTCGCGACCTGACGCACTTAGCCTTCTCTGAACCTAGGCAGAAGGCAAAATCGCTATCCTCGTCTAGACCAGAAAACTCATCAGCCCTAGAGATTCTAATGTCATCACTACCAATCTCTTCTTCATCAGATAGCGTAGAGCATTTACAGTGCTCGTTGACTAGATTCAGATCACAGCCATGAGTCAAACTAGTCTTTGGACATTCAATAGCAAACCCATTACAATCCATGGATTCAACTCCCACGAGCTCGTGCTCTCTCCTGTCGAATCTCAACCAAGCAGACAGAACAACCTTACAAGGGACGTCAACGGCGTGCCTCCGGGCGTTGAGCAGGCACCTGCGCAGGAGCTTGGCGTCGCCGAGGCTGCGGAGAACAGTGTACTGCTCAAGGTAGAGCATCGACCTCTCGGACTCCGAGCTTGACTCGATTCTCCGGTACAGAGTGGATAATGACTCAACCAAGTCGATGGGTTTGAGGTAAGAATCCAAGGGAGGCTCCATGAGCTCCGTCGTGGGAAACCCGTGAGGGAAACGTGAACGAGAGATCGATTTGGAACTGGATTTGGGATGGCCAAGGAACTTCGTTCGAGGGCTACCATTGTTGCTTGTAGAGGGAGAGTCCTGTGAATTAAAGGCGTGGATTTGGGTGCTCTTAAACCTCTCGAATAGTTTTAGATTGCGCATTCTTTAGAAATTGGAGAAAACGAGGTTTTGAAGAAGAAACAAATCGAGAGGAAAGGAAAATGAAGATCGAGAGGGATTCAAAGAGGGAAAGGAGAGGTCAGGTCTAGTTTGTCATAAGCTTGGGTTTCTAGTGTCTGCAATAAAAGAGAGAGAGAGTTGAAAACACACGCTCTGCACACACTGCAGAGACAAAAGGAGAGAGAGAACAAGAAGAAGACGATGAAGTGTAATTGTGAATAAAATGATTATAAAAAAAGGTCAATAATTTGGGGGAGAAAAAAGAAAAAACTGCTTTTTTTTTTTCTTTTAGAAATGGCTGACCATTTTCTCTCCCTCCATCCTCTGCATTACGAAGCTCAAACACCATTTATAAAAAAATTGGGCAAACAAACCATTTGTAGAATTTACAATATGTAATAAAAAATGGACTCATCTCATTAGCATCTTTCTTTTTTAGTTTTTTTTGTGTGTGTGGAACAGTTGCGAACAGTTGGTGGTGGGTTCTAATGGGTGCGCTACGAACCAGACCACTTTACCTTTGTTCAGATGTTTTTTCCATAAAATTTGAAGATATTATTAGTTAATAATATACTTTGGAATGTTGCAAAAAAATATGTTTATTTTAGTAAATATGCAGGCTGTTAGTTTGTGAATACTCGGTTTATTGAAGTATGTTTATAGGGTATTGCATAGTATGTAACACATTCTAAAATTCTAAAACCACCATTAAGCAGCTTTAACAATCATGAGCTGGAGTATCATTGTATCAATGAATAGTAATCATCGTTGCTATTACTATTCACTTTTGCTATAATCTCACGATCAATGTACATCTCACTATTGAGTAGAATGATTTGATTCTGATCCGTAATCCATTTTTTGGGAACCACAGATGTCAAATCATCATTCCTATAATTGAATTTAAGAATTTTAACAAAATAGTATATTTTATAAATGATGGTGTAATAATATATTGGCCCATAGACACGGTTTAAAGGATATGAATAAAAAATGATGGTTGGTTCGTTTAGTTATGATTTAAATAAGCTTCTCTGAATATCCAACGCAATGGTTCATGTGATGCCAAAATTGGTTGGTTAACTAGGTATGTGGTCCTTATCGGTGATCTCCTACATCCGTTTATCATCAATTCAGATTAACATTTTAAGAGTGTTTAGTATTTTAATTAACCAGCGCGATAAGATTAGTTGTGATTTAATTGACAAGCAAATAAGTGGTCTTGGTCGCTTGGCTTATATTAGCTAAACATGATCACTAATCATTATGATTTATGTGAATATGGTTTTACTTTCACTAACTCAGTGACATGAGCGTGTAAGTATTTGTTTGTATTTACAGTATTACACAAGAGACCATTATATTATTAAAAAAAATTATGAGAAGGATCGTAGTTTTAGCTGACCAGTTAGAGTTTTTAGTCTCTGATTTGGATTTGGACCAACAAATCTCATCAAACGATCAAAAAGGATTGGATTAAACTAAAAAGTCGGAACAAATACAAAACCAGTTCTGTTGCTAATTGCCCGCACACCTGGAAAACACATGCAAGTGTACTTTCAAATGATATACATGAATATTTTAGAAAACTATACAGGAATATTAAAAAAATATTCAACAGATAAATAATTGAGGATTAGGTTGGCATTATTCGAATCTAAAAGAAATATTGAAAAAACTCTCAAATACTGAAATAAATTAAATTTAAACCAGCATGAGCCACATATATATATATATATATAATTTTGTTGGTGTAGTTGTAAGATTAAAATAGAACAATTAACAAGGCAAGAAGAGACGTGTGGTCATGTGTCTCGGCAACCCATGTGAGGGAATCTGAATCACTTTTCTTAAAATATGCGTATTTGCAAAATAACGAAATCTGTTTTCGAAACTGAATTATCAATCCTTAAAAATGAAATGATTGTTTTAGGCAAAGAATCATGAAATATTGCCTTGATTTTCTGATTCTAAAATCCACTACCAGCCCGACAATATTTAGCAGCCCAAAAATTGGCCCACCATAATAAATCGTGGTCCGTCTGGTTGATTTAGTTTCATTCACACATGAAAGGTTGATGATATAATAATCCTTTGGCTTGGATCAGAAATGAGGATTTCAAAATAAAGTGGATTTAAGAAAAAGATTAATCTATACTATTAAAAAGAGAATTATTCTTAATAAATGTTCAAAAGTTATCATAGTATTTATAATATATGCTATTATATTTATTAGACAATTTCATTAATTCATTAAAGGTAATTTAATTATATTATTAAACTACTAAAAATACATTAAATTAAATTAAATTTTATTAGTTTGATAATAGATAATACCAATAAATTATATCTGATATTTAACAAAATTCAAATTAATTTAATTTCAATATTATTTCAAAATCTTTCATAATAATATCTTAACATAATTACCACAAAATATATATGGCACCATTAATTAATATAATTATATATCATATTATAAATTAAATATATATAATATTATAATCAATTTCTTCTTTATACAATTATAAAAGCCACTACTTTAAAATGTTTAAAAGCTAATATGATATTTATTAAATGTGACAATTTATAGTCAATGATGAATATGTATTCATTATTTTTTGGTTACATATATAAATACTATGAGAAAATATTATGTAAATAATTATTTCGTAGTTTGTTAATGATTTTTTTTCCAGAAATCATGGGTTTTACGGATTTGACAAACAAAAATTTGTAGATATTACGGGTTTTACAAGTTTTTAGCGGGTTTTATAAGTTTTAGCGGAAAATATACTTTTATGAGAAAATGCCGGTTTAACAAAACTGTGTTTTTGTAGATTTAGCAGAAACACATAATTTTAAAATTTTGGTTTTGCAGATTTTATGGGGCTTACAGGAAAACACGGGTTTACAGAATGCGAATAAAGCATATTTTACTGATTTTATGGGTTTTAGCGGGAAAATATAGTCATACAGAAAAATGCGGGTTTGTGGGTTTGGAAACTCGATTTTGCAAGTTTGGCAGAAACACATAAGTTTAGAAATTTGGTCGTAAAACATGATTTTAAGAATTTTACAAATTTATGGAAAATATGGGTTTGTGGATTTGGTCAGAAATGTGATTTTGCAGATTTTATGATGTTTACATGTTTTGGCGGAGTTTATAGGTTTGATGGAAAATGTGGTTTTATGAATTTTATTGAAAATGCAAGTTTGCGAGTTTGATGAGAAACATAATTTTGCAGGCTTGACAAAAACACGTAATTTTAAAAATTTGGCCATATAATACGGTTTTATGGTGTTGGGGAAAACAAAAATTTTGGTTTTGTTAAAATATGTATGTTTACAATTTTGGAAGGAAAATACGGTTTGATGGAAAATGCTATTTTTACAGTTTCTACGGGAATTCCTGATTTTGGTACAACAACATGATTTTAGTAATTTTTTATTTTGTTAAAAAATGTGGGTTTACAGTTTTGACAGAAAAATATTGTTTGATAGAAAATGCTATTTTTACAGTTTCTATGAGAATTCCCGATTTTGGTACAACAACGTAATTTTAGTATTTTGCAGAAAAATGCGGCTTTTTATTTCGATCGAAAACTCTGATTGTATGGTTTTGACAACGAAAAAACTTGATATTATGGTTTAAATTAAAAATGTATTTTGGTCTTTTAATTTTTGAGATTCAAATGCTGTATCCAAACTCTATTTTTTAGCATCATAAATATTCAAATTTTGAGATATTATAGATTTTGTATTCAGATATTTTAAAAAAGTATATTTGAACATTTACATCCAAATAAATATCTGAATGCAAAAACAAACAAAACCTAAGTAAATATTGAAATCTTAATTATAAACAAATAAAATATCTCTTGCATTATAAAATATAATACTTTGAAAATATTTGTTACAAAATTTAACCGGAAATTCGCTAATCAAAATATCTATTTTTTTAGAATATCAAGCCTAAATAATTTTAAGAACATAAAACCATAACGTAAAAATAATTTATATAATCTAATAAAAAATTTATGTTTAGGCCACAATTTTGAATTTAATAATATAAACTAATTTTTTTGAATAAAAGTTTAATATAAACCAATTTTTGATATGACATAAAAATATTTTATGAAAAGAAACATGCGTAAATATGCGGATCCAAAATCTAGTGACTTTTAAAACCTATGAATAAAGACCCTTGGTTTCTGTAAAAGTGATTAACGAAAAAATAGAAAAAAAAATCCAGATTCCATCCTTTCAGGAAGTAATAATATTAGCAAACCAAATTTTGTGTGCGCAACAAATACCAACCAGTACTGGTAAGCAAGTAAGTCACAAAATGCTGTGAAACATTTAATGCGAATTAAAATATCTGAAGAATGGGTGTTCGTTGGGTTTGCAGAAAATGGCTACTAGGCTCTCCGTTGTCTCCTCTTTCATTTCACCTCCTCTTGCTGTTGACTCTTCTTCGTCTCTCGCTGCTCCTTGCTTCTTCTCTCCGATTCCACGACTCCTGACTCTTCGAATCCCCACTAGCCTTAGATCAAGCCCCAGGCTCCCGCCGACTGATTTCCTCAGGTCTCCTCGGAGTCTAACGTCTTCACTCGCCGTGATGTTTCCTGGAAATTCGGTCTTATCAGATGTCTGCGCCACCGGAATCTCCGGCGTCGTCGCGTTCTCGTGCCTCGGTTTCTGGGGAGAGATTGGCAAGCGCGGCATCTTCGACCAGGTCGAAAAATTTAATTCACATACGTACATTTTTACGTAGAACACACAGGGCGTCGATCTCTTGAATCCGTTTCACTTCTTTCATTTTTGGAATTTTGCTCGAACCTGCTGTTCCTGGACTAGTTTCCTTTTGTGCTTTATCGAGAGTAATGGCATTAATGGCATAGGAAATTTCTAATGTGAACGGAGACGCATTTTTGGTAGAATAAATTTATTGATAAACTTGCACTGAAGAGAAGGGGAAACTAAACCCAAATCTGGAAAATTAGAGGGGGGAAAGTTCTCTTCAGCTAAGAAACCAAATTGGGGATGATATTTTTTTCTGAAATCCGTGCGAATAATCACAGTATCATCGTAAATTGAACCTTCAACCATTTAATTTGATATATGACATTTGTAGGATTAAATGTTGCACGATTTGTTTCCTATACTTTGAAGAGGATAGTTTCTTGGTACGAGTCTTCTTCTTCATCTATGCACATACTTAGACATGGCTTGATTTTTTTTGTTCTCTCTTATGTGTACAAATTCTCTTCAGTGACTTGTTAGGAGTATAGCTTCTTTATTATGCTGTTGGACATTGGAGTTTGAATGTACAGCAGGACATTGCTGAATACGATGAGCATTTTGCCAGTGAATAGCAAATACTCTATAAAACATTTCTTGTCTACGGCTTTGGCTACTAGATTATGTTTCTCTGACCTTATTATGAACAAGATATAACCCATAGGTTGACTAGTTCAAGACTGACATAATGTTCATGGTTTTCTGAGTAAGGAAATTGGTTTTAGCATATGTGACTGACCTACTTAAAAATCATTGGTGTCTTCTTTGCTTTTCAGAAACTCATTCGGAAGCTCGTGCATATAAATATTGGGCTAGTCTTTATGCTTTGCTGGCCACTGTTCAGGTAATACCTATCAAAAGGATCGAATTTGACTGAGCAGCTTTGGCTCCTCTGCTTAACCCAGTTCACTCAATTATTTCAGTTCTGGACTCCAAGGAGCGCTTTTTGCATCTCTTATACCTGGACTCAATATAATAAGGATGCTGCTCCTGGGGCTTGGAGTGTACCAAGACGAAGGAACGATCAAGTCAATGAGCAGACACGGAGATCGCAGGTAGCTGAATTGTATAAAATACCTGTCACATACTTGGTATTTGGCCTAAAGTTGATCACAAAAGTCTGTATAGTCGCTCGCTTAGTAAATCTTTGTTAATAGGATCAAGATTGGGTTCCTCTGTGTAGTATATCTCATTTTTTGTCACTTCACAAAGTGTCTATAGTCGCGCTCTGCATCAGGGAACTACTTAAGGGACCGCTTTATTACGCACTGTCAATTACATCGGCCTGTATCTTCTACTGGAAAACATCCCCCATCGCAATTGCAGTGATATGCAACCTCTGCGCAGGAGATGGTACGTACAATTAGCTCTGGTTTGATAGAATCACATTATCAACTTTTGTATTATGAATCTTATACGATCCTGTTCCCTCACATCATGTTAAAAGGTATGGCTGACATCGTGGGGAGGCGGCTCGGAACAGAGAAGCTTCCTTACAACAGAAACAAATCTGTAGCTGGTAGCGTTGGGATGACAATCGCCGGATTCTTAGCATCTGTTGGATACATGTACTACTTCGCTTCATTTGGTTACATCGAGAATAGTGGGGCCACTATGATTCATCGTTTCTTCATCATCTCTATAGCGTCGACTATTGTGGAATCACTCCCCATAAGCACCGACATTGACGACAATCTCACCATTTCCATAACCTCTGCCTTGGTCGGTACTCTACTCTTCTAATAATAGGACGAGCTCTCTTTGTCCTGTATCATCAAATACAGAGTCGAGCCTCTATGAAGTAAAAACTATATTCTTAGTTCCCATCTTGGTGTATATGTACTCGTTAGTGAAAAGTCTCATATATTGTTGTTGTTGATGTCCACAGTCTTATTTTTTCAGCTGCAATTGCAGTTGGGTTACAATGTTGTAATGCAGTGAGAGATATGGTAACTAAGAGACGCTTCTACAATTTTTGTACTAGAAACTAAATACATGCGTGTTTCTTGTTTGGCTTGTGGCTATTTCGAAATCGGGTATTTGCTTACAACAGGTGAGGGATTGAGTCTTCCGCTCCAGGAAGCTTCTTCTGACAGGTCAGACTCAGACTGGTGAGTGTATCGGCGTTTCAGACAAGGAAGCAACACGAGGAACAAGAGGAAGACAGCGAAGCATATGACAAGAACTATCGTCAAGATCTCACCGTGCATCGCGTAGTGTCTGTCTCTTGTGAGTTGAAGTCGCTCGCCGTCTTCAGGGCTCAAGGCCTCCACAGTCGAAGTTACCATTACAGGTTATCTCAAGTATTCTCAACTCCTTTGGCTCATCATCTTTGAAACCTTTCTTTATCTTTTGGGGTTTCTTTTCTCTCTCTAAATTACAACTTCGGAGAAAACTAAATTAAAACCGAAACTAATGTCACCACAGAAGAAAAAAGAAAAGTTATATAAATATATTTTTGGAGATAAAGCCGTATGGATTTTTGCATAAAGGCTGGTGCAGAAAGTGAGACTGCGACGTTCGTGATTGCGCTGCATATGGGGCGGACATTGGAATGATATATTAGGCGCGACGTCGTTTTCGGTGTTTTGAATAAAAAAATCGTTCTCCTGTGGCTGCCATCAACCCATCACTCAACTCTGTGACTTTCCAGGAAATTTCCTTAAGAGAGAGCCCCGTGCCTCACGTTTCTTTGCTCTTTCTTCTATACCCTGCTCCAAACAAAACAAAATTTAATTAATACTATTTGGTCCTTTTAAAATTATACTATTTCCTCACGCAATCTCGAAACAGGAATCGTTGTATACCTGTATTGTAATGAATCTATTGATTGAATGATTCTGAAATAGATATTTCATCATACTTCAGAAGGGAGAAACAAAAATGCAGACTGCGCCAAGCCAAGAAGAAGAAGCCAATCGAGATTTTAATGGGCCGTAAAAAGGGCTTTAATATCCAATATAATTCTAGGCCTAAGTAACGACTACGTGGAGTGCGGTTTTTCTTCCTTCGGGTTGAAGCGGAAAGCGTGTCGCTTTTTGGTAAAATAAGAAATGTTTGCCGTTTGACGGAATTAGCAGCCCCGATGCCGTGGCAAGCCATGGTTGGTCGTTTCTTCGCCGAGGGTAAACTTTTTATTAATCGACGATAGAGAAATCTTGATCTCCCTCCTCCTTTCACCGCCGCGACTCGGCTGTATACTGTAAGCTTTCTAATTCTATGGCGATTTCGTTTTCTGTAAATTGTTGAAATTACGAACCTCCAGAGTGAAGGCGGTGGATAGTGATCGCCTTTTTGTGACCTCTCGATTATCGGTTCGGATTTTTTCTTCTTTGAGGAAACACGATTTTCTATGGTTCGTGGTGGGGATGAAGTCCCTAATTGCAGTCACTATTTCACGATTTGGTTTTCATGTTCGTTTTGTTTCGTTATTTCGCAGACATTTTTAGTATCTCGCATTTGGAGGATTCAATGTCTGGCGCAGAGGATAATAAATCCTCCCATGATCAGGTACTTGTTCTTCCAGTCTCATCTGATATAATGAATTCATCTGCTGATTATGGATGTATCTGCCAAGTGAACACAGATTCAACATTTGACATCGTTACTAAAATGTGAATGGGACTGAGTTCAAGGATACGATCAAACTTTTTTTGTGGACAAAATAAGGGAGACAATCACCACATTATGTATTTCGTTTGCATCCTTACTTTGCTGTCTCATCTTTCATGGATCTTTGCACCTAGTGTCTCTGTTAGTGAAGAAGTTATAAACCTTTGTTGTGAGCAGCACTGCAGTTTAAATTGTGAAGCTAATATAAAAGATAACGATAGGAGAATCTTTTTGTCAAATCTGCACTCTCATTTTATAAAGCTATAAGAGTTCTCTTCCTTCTCAAAGTAACAATCCTAGTGGAAACTAAGTTGGTGTTTCGTATTTTTTTTCTTTCTCTGCAGCTTTCTTCACAGGTTTTCCTTGATCTTGTGGATTCAGTGATTGCTGATGTAGCATCTGAGTGCCACCGTATAGCACGATTAGGGCTTGACCGAGATTTGGAGGTAGTAGAAGAAGAGCTGAGGTTGTCAGTGGAAGCGCGTGCTAAGGTCGCTGATCCTAGCAACAATCTCGAAACCAACACCAAATATGTTGTTGATATATTTGGTCAGACTCACCCTCCCATAGCTAGCGAAGTGTTCAACTGCATGAACTGTGGGCGACAAGTCGTTGCAGGAAGGTTTGCTCCTCATCTAGAAAGATGCATGGGGAAGGTGATCCACTCTATTATTGCTTGCCTACTTATGGCATTGTTCCATGTTATTTCCAGTATGTGTTTGTTTAGTTGAGCCTCTGTTTCTTATTTTTGTTTCTCTTTGGCAATCACCACCTAACAGGGAAGAAAGGCTCGTACCAATGCAACAACAACAACCAGGAGCTCAACGGCTGCACAGAACCGGAACCCACGACGCAGCTCAAATCAGCGATATTCTCCTCATCCAAATTCTGGTAGCGAGAACCAGTTAGCAAGTGGATCACCTGGTGTTGCAAGTGAGGACTGCTCAAATGGCACAGTTCGAGGGAACGGGAAAGGAGATTGATGCACAACCTATATGAGAGATGCTTATGCTAAACCCGCAATGTGGCTTGTAAGTGACTCGACCAGACTGGTATAAATCTTATTGCTAGGTTTATATTCATGTTGCACAAAGAGAGGAAGAAAACGAAAAGTAAGTAGCTGAGATTCATAATGTAGCTATTTCACCATGTTAACCGCCTTGGGATGTCAATCTACAGATTGAAATGAAATGACTCTTTTGGTATCATTATATTAATACACCCTCAATCAAACAGTCCCCACTGTTATGGTTTTATGATTGTTAAAGCTAAAGATAAAGCATAGACTTCCTATCTTGCCTCATCTTGGTAAAAAATAGGTTCACCATGTTGGAAAGCTTAGCAAGCTCATCACTGACTCTATCCATTTTTGCCTTTTCTTGGTTTGTCACTGTTTGACCACTCTTATCTCTCTGCACCTTATCTTCTTTAACTGAGAGTGAATAGTTTAGCTCTTGTCTTTGGGAATAATTGGATTGAAAAGTATGAGAGGTTTCAGGGTTATGTCTACAAATACAAAGAGTGATATAGTAACAAAGGAAAAAAGTAGACTTTGAAAACAACCTCTCAGCTCATTTGATGTGAAACCAAACTTTGGTTGAACACTAAAATATCATAGGTTTATCATATGTTGTGGTCATTAGAAAGTTAGCGTTATTCTAAATGTATCACTCGTTTTCTCTCTATCTCTTAAGTTCTATGATGCATGTATATGAAAATGACTTGTCTTTATAAAACTGTAAGGAATGGTGTCCTACTGAGTATTAATGATATGGAAGCTAGAAGAAGAGGCCAAGAATAATGGGAAATACAAAAGCATAGTTTAAAGTTTGCAACAATAAGTAAAACAGTAGATGCTTTGACCCCAAATGAGATGTGAGTGATGTAGTCCTCTGAGATTCTCTATCACATTATATTGTCGCTTTCTACGCTTTTTCATTTTTTCTCTTATTTAAAAATCCTCAATTTCTTCATTTTCGCATCGCAAGAAGCTATGGGATCCAACTGAAATGAGAAGATAATTAAGATACATGAACTTAGATTTTGCCTTTTCACTTGCGCGAGTATTTGATTACACATTGACAAAAGTCACGTCGTAATCATAATCATTAGATTCAACCGAAGCTTAATCAAAATAGATTATTACCTCTTTTGTATACATCTTCTTTTTTACAGCACGAGGCTTTTGGTTATTCATATTCCATTTCCAAAATTGTTCATAAGATTTTTTAATTTTGATATATATGTAAATTGTTTACGAAGACGAATCTTGCGTCGACGACGGGAACACCTTGCTACACTCCGATCTACTTTTACTACTCAGCATCCTCTTCAACGAACTCGATGCCGATGACGCCGTTGACGACGTTGATCTCCTATCACCTCTTGATCCTCCGCCGTTGATCTCCTCCTCATCAAACACTTCAATTCTAACCTCTCCTTCTTCTGCGACGTCATGGTTACCGTCACCGTCGCCGTCGTCAACCCCTGTTTTGAAATTATCTTCCATCACAGCAAGAGACAGTGAAAATCTCCGATCACCGGCGGCGACGTTCTCATCTTCCCCGTCTGGAAACAATTGCAATCTAACCTCTGCTTCTTCTACCACGCCATTAACGGCCGGCTTGAGGTTGTCTTGATCAGAGGCGGCGAGAACAGAGGATCGACAGATAGGACAAGTAGAATGAGAAGACAACCACATATCTATACACTCTACGTGAAACCCATGTCCGCAATTTCTCAACTTTCTTCCGAAATCTCCCACTTCCCACAATCCCAGACATATCACACACTCTTCTTCTTCTTCTTCGTCTTTCTCCTCTTCTTCGTAGACGAACAGAGGAATCGAAGAAATCACTGAAGAATCCAAACCTTTGTCATCGCTTGTTGCAGCCGCAGCAGAAACTACTCCACCATCGAAACCTCCCTGTGGAACAGAAGGTATGATTCGTGTCGTTGTGATTGTTCTCCTCCGGTTTCTTCTTCTCCTCCGGCGGCTTCGAGCGGCGGAGAATTCTTGGTCGGAGTGTGACCAGAAATACCGGGCGTAGAAATGGAGAAGCAAGACGAAGAGGACGACTAGGAGAAGGAAGACGAGAGCAGCTAAGAGGACATTGGAGTTGTAAGAAGATAAGATTTTAAAGAAACTTGAGAGATTGCTATTTCCCATACTCGTTGAGCCTTCTTCTTCTTGTTGTTCGCTCATGACCTTGATGGTTTAGGAGAGTTCCTTTCTCTCTCGAATCAGCTCATGATTTCTTTATTCGTTGGAGGATTAATTATATATATGGGTGTAAAGTGAAGTGTATAGGGGAAATCAAAATTACGTATATAAATCCTATAAAAATATGCGAGAACAAAAAGAAATAGATATATTATTAGTCAATTTCATTGATTTATATACAAACCCACATAATCAGGATATTGGTCAAGAATATAATTTATAAATTCTTAAAATATCTAAAGGATTTTAACCCATTCTCGAACCAATTGTCTTTCCATTTGTCGTCTTTAAATTATATCGAATAAACCAAAAAATCGTTATGAAAAGTAAGTCGCGTGTTGTATTATTAATATGAAAATGGATTACATGCATAATCTTGGTTTGGAATATTGATGAAATGTGATGTGTAGAAGTACTTGCAGTGAAGGTTGTGTGGGCCTTTGTCTTTTAGTGTGTTGTGGTTGCAACCAAATAATAGAGTGGAGCTGTGGAAGTTGTGAGTTTAAAAGAGAGGTGGGGTTTATTCTTGTATGCAGATCTCTCTATAACTTTATACTTATGATTTCGTATAAGTGTTTAACATACAGTTTACATTTTGGGTTAAGTGTTCTGTGTTCAACACATTCATTATCATTAAACAGAATACGAAATAGTCCCAATACATCAGCAAATCTTACGTTCCAATAACATATCTCCTACATTGTCATTTAGTAGAAAAATGAATTAAATAATGCCAGTACAATATTTAGTTTCATTGTATTTGAATGAGTTGTAATTTGCTTGTGATTATTTTTTTTTTATTTCTAAAAGAGATGTTTAATATTGTTTCCTACCACGTATACTTTCCGAATAAAAACAGAAGCATCAAATAAAAATCGTGGAAGACTCGGAAAATTATTAGTTGCAATAGAAATAATTTAAATAAAATAACAGAAGAGAAGTAGGTAATAGAGGTCACATGAAAGATAGCTTAGAAAATACGGCAAGTATGGAGAGAGATCGGGAGATTTTACGTGAACATAAAGCAAAAGTAGAAGACGAGGAACGGTATGCAATTTCATCTAAACATCTTTACACGTTTCTCTATGAATCAATCTTATATATTTTCTGGTTGAATAAAAAAAGAGTATTACTATAACATATCATATATATTCGATGTTCACAGGACCTAACCACGAGGAGCTGAGAGGGGTCTTCGACGAAACTTGTTAATTAATCTTTAAAAATGACTCGTCAAGGCAAACGGAGTTTACCCCAAAAAGAACAGACCCCTATGAATTTTAAAATGATTGTTCTTTTCACTTCTCAATATTATATACTACAGAATTGTGCTTCCTGATTTTCGGTTAAATAATGGTCGAAACATGTTTCCATTTAATATCTCAGTTTTTTTTTTTTTTTTGGCAATGTTTCACATGTAAATGAATGTATAGTACCTGAGTGGCATAATAAATGTTTGCCAATAGTTGTAAGAAAATGACAATCCTAGAAAAATGGCAGTCATGGAAATAATAAGAAAGATATAAATGTAGATAGGTGAGAACTTTATTGACCAAAAAGTCACTCTTCTTCCCATAAAATAAGGGTTGCAAGCAGCAACCTACTCCTTGTTTTGAGCTTTTCTTTTTCCAACTTCCAGGCATTTTAGCCTTCTTTCTTCTTTTTCTGTTTGACCTATTTCCTTTTTAGTTATGGACATTCATTTACCCATTTGGTTTCGGATTATTGGTTTGCTACGATTTGTTTTACCTCTTACACTATAGTCTATAGTTTACGGTTTACCTCTTACATCAAACCTATAATAAACGATATCATACATCCACTTACGAGTTACGAGTAGTATTATTGAAGATAAATGCATAAAAGTGTACGTCGAAATCGGACATAAAAGATGCAATTTGATTATATTCAAGGCAGGAACAGCTCAGAAGTGGCCTATTAATACCTTTTGTGGACAGAAGAAAATTAAATGGTGAGGCGAGAGAGAAAGAGAAGGGCTTTAAAATATGGTGTGGTGGAGCCGTTCATATTTTGGGTTTAGGGTCCATACAATCTATTGGGCCCTAAATTAGGTTTATCATCCCGTTGCTTGCTGTAACACAAACACAAACCAGTTTCTTTGCTTCGACCAAAGATGTCAAATACGAGTTGGAATCAGCTGGTCAGTATTTGCAAATCAAGGTGGATATTTTTGCTCATGAAAAATAACCACGTGAACAAATTAGGACAACAGCTTTATGGTCTGAAGGAAAGTTGAAAGCGACAGTAATAATCTTGATGACAAATACGATATAGTAAAGAGACCAGATAAGTCAAACACTTGCAACAACAAATAAAAATCATAAGGGCAAAAGACTCAAGACTTTGAGAGATGACAAAGGAATTGTGACAGACATCTCATTTATTTCTGAAGGCTGTTTGTGGGTCTTCAGCGCAGAACTCATACGGTTTGTTCTATAAAAAAATTTGTGATTATTAAAATATCCATTAGAAAATTTTATTCGATGGTTATAGAGTTTGCAAGACAAGAAAATCTGACAAAACTTCACAATGAAAAACTGCTATGCATTTAAGTAAAAAAAGTTATGAAAAAAGTAATGTGTTGATTGCACGTATAATCTGACATAAGCTTATATAAAAGACAAATACTAATATATAAAGAGTTATTGTCGAAAAGAGTTAAATAATTAAAATCGACACTATAAACAAAAAATAATTAAACATTAATATTGTAATTGATACACTTGATGGATGTGCCCAGTATTGTGTCTCTTCGCTTATCTTATTGGGTGATAAGGAGATTCTATAGATATTTTTTTTTATCATAAGGTTGGGTGCTTTTTTGGGTTTAGGATCTATTTGTTTGTTTGCCTTTGTGCTACGATGCGGAGATTTTAAAAGTCTATGAAATAGATAATTTAATTGTCGATCCCGCAGTTGAAATTAAACTGTTTAAGAAATAGCGTGAGAAGGATAGAAAGTGCCGATTTTAATTAAAAATGATCTTCATTGATATATATGTTAGTTTTCTCATTTGAACTATAAATTATTGTTCCTTCTTCTTATAACTTCTACAGTGTATTTGTGTCCCGTTTAAGTTTTAGATAATATTTTCAGGAGTCGAAAATACAAGCTTCAATTGGAATTAAATACATTTACTTGTTTGAAAATCAACTTATTGAAGGTTGATGTGAGCTCTTATGTTGTTTTATAGTTAAAACTTCTAATGGTTTAACGAGTGTAGCAAGACATTCTTTTAAGCTGAAGTTCGTTACAAACACAACATTTATTCCGGTTTATGGTATTGGAGATGATTTATTTCTGTCTTTCACTGACTTTGAGGATGTTTTTGGGAGCCGTCTAGATGTCACATATTTTTCATAATAAATAATAGTACGGTTTATGTTAAACGAAAAAAGAGTTTCTAAATTTTGTCTAACTATTTTTTAGATTTTATTGGTGTTCTTGTGAATGTTAGTGAGCTCGAGGTTTTTGATGAGCATAAGATACAAGAAAATTACGCTGTTGTTCCTTTTGAGCTCCAAGATGACATATAAGAGAATTATCTATTTGTCATCATATTATCATTTTATTGGGTTGTTAGAAAGTTTTATTATGTACGAAATATATGATTGAATGTTACGTAATAGAGAAATTGGTTGAAGATTTTTTTCTTGCAATGGTCTCAGAATCGTGGTGTAGAAGTTGTTTGTATTCCGAGGTGGTGGTATTTCAATAAACAATATGATGATATTGTACTCTGTTTGTTGATTTTGATCAAGTCATATGTGTTGTCTTATAACCTACTGTTTTTTTTCTTCTTATAAGAATTATAAATGTCATTGCAAGGAAAAAGTATTGTGAGTTCCTTTTTAATGCATGTATTGTTGATGTTCATCGTTTTTGTGATAGGTGATGTTACTATACATATGATATATATCATTTAGATTATTAGTTATTATTTCTTTAATCATACTATGAATTTGATTATAGGCTACGATGGGATGAAGAGATTTTGACTGTAAAGTGTTGTACGAATGATCGGTAAATCAGTTATTTTAAGGCAATATTTGTGAAGGAGACTATGAGTACCCCATTTGTGTTATGGGAATGTCGACACATTGAAAGGCTAATCTAAGACCATTTCTAATGTGTTTCTATTTTTTACTCTAAAATAGAGGAATTCTAAAATAGACGTAGATTTTTCTTAAATGTATTCATATATTTTTTCCTTTTAAAAAGATATATATTTATTTATAATTTATTAAAAATATCTTTTATTTATAATATTCATGAATTAACTCTATTTAATTTTATTATTTATAATTTTTTATAAAATTAAAATAATATTAATATTAAAACATTTATTATATGAAAATATCACATTATAATGTCATATAAAAAGATAAAACATAATATATTTTAGTTTGTAAAAGTATCTATAACTAAATTTGAAATGTAAAAAAAACATATTTAATTATACTATATATTTTTAAAATTTTATTTTATATATTTATCCGTATTATATGTTAGAGAGATGATTTGTTTATTAAATATATGAAAAATAACTTATATAAATAATTAATTAAATCTATATATTTGTTATGTAAATAAAAATAAAAGGATTTAAATATTTGAAGACCAATTTACTAATATAAAATTTTATTTCTATGATAATGGAAAAAATAGAGTTATTCTAAATATGAAGAAAAAATATCATTTTAAAAGAAAAAAATAAAGATAGATTGGAAATAATTTTCATCTAAATTTTTGTATATATATAAAATAGAGGTAGATTTGAAATTCTCTAACCCTAATTTAGCGTCCAGTTCCAATTCTCTTCAAGATGGAAGATTTCCCCAGTAAGATGTCTCTCCATCTTTTACTTGAAATTGTTTGTTAGAGGTTTCATGTTTATTTCGTAATTTGTTTATACCTTTGTCTGTTTGTCAAGATACAATCGTCTTCTGGAACTCGGAGGACTACCCAATCCCTTGTGGTGCCCATCTTTCTTCTGCTATGCGTAATATCGAAGAAGCTCTTAATCGAAAGGGCTTTCATGGGTGCGTGGATATCCAGGCGTATGGCGACCATCTGAACCAGGTCGAGTTACGGAAGGCCCAAATCACCTACTTCGAACCAGAAAGTAAATTCCTTTACTCATAACACTCTTGTCGTTTCTACTTATGTTATGTCTGTAATCCCAAACATCTCTGCTCGTTGATATATAGCTTCACGGGGTTTGAGTTCGGCTGTTTCCAGAATGCCTATAGATATGATTCAGGACGCAGCAACGAGTGCTGAACCACCAACTTTTATGGTAATCGCAAAACACCCAGAAAGGGAGTGGCACAGGGTTCTTCAGTGTTTGCAATCGAGAAATCACACTGTTCTCGTACTAGAGCCCCCTGATGACACCGCTTTTGATGACGTAGAATCACTAGTTCAATGTACACGAGTCCCTCAAATCTTGGAACATCGCTCCAAGATCCAAGATTTCTCCGAGCCTCTCACACACGCCAAAGGGAAAAAGACAGTCGTCTTCTGGGACGTCGTGGATTGCCCATTCCCTACTCGTTGTTCCGATGCTGATGAGATCTTCAGCAAAATCGACAAAGCTCTCTCACCCTGGGGTGAGACGTCAATCTGGGCTTATGTCGATGAGGGTAACGACGGGCCATGGAGTGGTGAGTGTCTGCGTGACAAGACGTGGGATTCCAGAATCTACTTTCTTCCCGGAGGGGCCTCGAGACCTGAAAGAATGTTAAATGACATTCATTTATTGTTTTCACTGAATTCTCAGGCCGGGCGTTATACAACAAAATTGGTCGGAGTCTCAGATCAGATCACAGATGACACGTACTTCTTCGATAGGCTTGAAAGTTACAGTGATAGCTGTTTTGTTTTCTTAGTCACTCCGACTCGGAACATCAACGATCCAGATAGCACTGACTGGCCACAATTGCTAATAGATGAAGCATACTTTTTCGAACCTTCTCCCGAAACACATGAAGAGGATGCACAAGTCTTCTGGAACTTGGAGGACTACCCAATCCCTGATGGTTTCCGTCTTCCTTCTTTTCGCCGTAATATCGAAAAAGCCCTTAAGAGAATGGGCTTTGGTGGGCACACGTACTTCCAGGCGTATGGTGACCGTCTGAACCACGGCAGAGCTGCGTTGCGGAAGGCCCGAGTCGAGTACTTCTTACCCGAAGGTAAGTTCTTATACTCGTGACACTCTTGTCCTTTCTACGTATGATATTCCCTAACGTCTCTGTTGATATATATAACTTCAGGGGGTGACTATTCGGCTGTTTCCAGAGTGCCTCTGGATATGATTATGCACGCAGCCACGACGGGACCATCAACATTTTTAATAATCGCAAAACAAAGCCCAGAGAGGGAATGGCGCAGGGTTCTTCCGTGTTTGAAATCGAGAAATCACACTGCTATCGTAGTAGATGACACCGCACGATCTTTGAAATCAGTAGTAAAACGTATACGAGTGTTAGATGAAGAGAAGCCTATAAGCAAAAGCTCCAAGATCCAAGATTTCTCCGAGCCTATCACACACGCCAAAGGAGATAATACAGCCGTCTTCTGGGACGTCGTGGATTGCCCATTCCCTCCTCTTTGTTCCGATCCTGATGAGATATATCGCAGAATCGAGGAAACTCTTCGTGGAAGTGGTTGTACAGCTGAGATATCAATCTGGGCTTATGTCGATGAGGATAACGACGGGCCTTGGAGTGGTGAGTGTCTGCGTAACAAGACGTGAAAGAATGTTAAATGACATGTTTTTATGGGAAATGGACTGTCTTGTGGACCATTCTAATCCAGCAAAGATGATCCTAGTCTCAGATCAAGTCAGAGAGGGCACGGATCTCTTCCGCACATATCAAGATTTGAATGGGACATCAGGTTTCCGTGTTTGCTTAGTAACTCCGACTCGGGACGTGAACAAAGCAGAAAGCCCTGAATGGCCTCGACTACTATTAGCTGAAACAGCAACCCTTTTTGGTTCCAAAAGCCAACTCAAAGAGCATGCGGCCGAAGAAGTAATACAAGTCTTCTGGAACTCGGACGACTACCCATTCCCTGACAATTACGATTTTTGTTCTATTGTTTTGTCTATCGATGAAGATCTTGAGGAAATGGGTTTTAATGGGATTCCGGAAATCTGGGCGTATGGTGACTACCCGCACGACGGCATAGAGAGATTGAGCAAGACCGGAATAAAGTACCACTTGTCCGAAAGTAAATTACTATACTCCTTAACACTCTTGTCGTTTCCACTTATTGATATGTCTGTAATCCCCAAAGATGTCTTTTGATATATAGGTTCAAGGGGTGACTGTTCGGCAATGCCTCTGGACATGCTGTTATGCGCAGCCACGAGGGGACCATCAAAGTTTTTGGTAATCGCAAAACAGAGGCCAGAAGGGGAGTTGCAGAGGGTTCAGCAGTGTTTGAAATCCAGAAACCACACTCTTGTCCTAGTGGATGACACCGCACAAGAATGGTCAATACTATCACTAGCTGATTGTACACAAGTGTTAGGTGGAGGAGAGCTTTCACAATTTTTACGTGAAAAAATGCCTATAAGCAACACTCGTATTCTTATCTCAGGTAAGACCTCGGAAATTGTTTGTTTATGTTTCATTAAATAATGGTTAATTGTATCTTCATTTCGTAATTCGTTTATGCCTTGCACAGGGGAACACACAGCCGTCTTCTGGAACATGGAGGATGTCCCGTTCCCTCATTATTCCGATCCTGATACCATCTATTGCAGAATGGTAACTTCTCTTGGTGAAAGGGGCGTGCACTGTACAGGTGAGGTATCAATCTGGGCTTATGTTGATGAGAAGGAGGAGTCTAGGTATCTGCGTGACAAGACGTGGGATTCCAGAATCTACTTTCTTCCCGGAGGTAAATAATTTTACTTGAGCCTTCCAAATACTCTCTTGTTATGTGTATGTAATCTAATATGTCAGTTTTTTCCAGGGGTCTCGGGACGTAACAGAATGTTAAATGACATTCTTTTATGGCATATGGACTATTCTAACGAGCATTCTGATCCACCACAATTGATCGTAGTCTCAGATTATGTGTATAGCCCGTCTTGCTCCCGGATGTGGGATTATTTGCAATCGACATGTAACTACAGGGTTCGCTTCGTAACTAGTAGGCCTGGGCACGTCGCATGTAACGAAAGCGAAAGTTCAGAACCTATATCAGTTTCGTGTACTCATCTTTTTAAATGAACTTATAAATCAATTTGATCTGTGTGTAATTAACACAAATTTCTAGCAAAAAAATGAACTTGTATATCAATTTGATTCTATTTTTAAAAAAAATACAAACTTAAGACATGTATATATTTGTAAGTAGAGTCATGACATTTGATACAAAAAAGCAATAGTGAAGTTAACCAAAGAAATGCTCCGGCGGTGTTGAAGTTTTTCATCTTCCCCGATTCATTAACAAAGTTAGTACTTAACACTCACAAGACACAGCATAATAAATAAATAAAAACGGTAAAAGGTAAGAATCGAGAAAAAGAGCAGCATGATTGGTACATAGGCTCGTTTAGAATTTATCGGCTCGAAAGCATCTCGGTTTCTGCTCTTCTTCATCCCAGCAGTGAAATAGACCTTGGAGGAATCAATAATCAGATTTTTCCATTTAATATCACAGTTTTTTTTTGGCAATGTTTCACATGTAAATGGATGTATAGTACCTGAGTGGCATAATAACCTCTAAATAATGCATACAAGTGTAGTGTACGTAGAAAATATTTAACATCAAACCTCTAAAAAACGATATCATACATCCACTTACGAGTTACGACTTACGAGTAGTATTGTTGAAGATAAATGCATACAAGTGTAGTGTACGTAGAAATAAATTGGACATAAAAGATGCAATTTGATGATATTCAAGGCAGGAACAGCTCAGAAGTGGCCTATTAATAGCGTTTGTGGACAGAAGAAAATTCAATAGTGAGGCGAGAGAGAAAGAGAAGGGCTTTAAAATATGGTGTGGTGGAGCCGTTCTTTTTTTGGGTTTAGGGTCCATACAATCTATTGGGCCCTAAATTAGGTTTATCCCCTCGTTGCTGCAACAAACACAAACCAGTTTCTTTGCTTCGACCAAAGATGTGAAATACGAGCTGGAATCAGCTGGTCAGTATTTGCAAATCAAAGTGGATATTTTTACGCATGAAAAATATACACGTGAACAAATTAGGACAACAGCCTTATGGTCTGAAGGAAAGTTGAAAGCGACAGTAATAATCTTGATGACAAATACGATATAGTAAAGAGACCAGATAAGTCAAACACTTGATGACAAAGGAATGACTCCATTCGAAGCAAACATCATGTTCAGTGTCACCAAGTATATAAAATAAGATATAATAAAGCAAATCATTGTGATACCAAACAACAAAAAAAACCCATGACGAAATTTGATTTGATCAAGTGCTCGCCTCCGTTTTCTTCTCTTCCTCATGCTCCTTCTTTGTTTCCTTGTCTTCCTTTGCAGGGCTTTCTCCTTCTTCTTCCTTGGCTTTCTCTTCACTTTTCTTATCCTCAACCGAAAGATTCTTAAGTAAACCAGCAGCCTCATTGCCCTCTGTACTCTCTTTCCCTACTTGCTGGCTTTCAGCTATTTCAGTGAACTTCTCCATAAATGTTTTGCAATCTGTCGATGCAACACAATCATAAGTTAGTCAACTGAGAATCTAAAACACAAGAGACAATGCAGCCATCACAATAACTAGGAAATTCTTCTACTCTCATAGATTTTCAATCATCACAGTAAAGCAAGAGTACCAGCATAAATACGATTATGGTAGTTGTTTTAACATCTTACATATTACAGAACCATTATGTATGCAATGGCCTGATGTTAAGTGCATAAGGCTGATCAGAGAGTTAACACTTCCACAAAGTCATCGAAACAATACATCTCCTTTGAAATCATAACATGAGGCAACATTCAAGGTACTGCTACTACCAAAGCACTAGTGTTTTCATTTCAGTCACGAGCTCTCTACAAGGTTCTTCCTAATCACAAGTCACAGCTAAAGATAGTGACATCACTCATCACAAATTCACAACCAGAGTCTTAAGAGAGGCATTTCAAACCCACCTTCGCTGATTCAGTTACCAGCCTACCCCACAAATCACTACTTGAACATATAAATACCCAACACTAAAACTGACCACATTACTCCTATGGAAAAACAAGTAAGCCATGAATGATCATACAACAGGATGGTGATGGACAGTTCATTCAAAGCTTAATGAGAAAAAACCCAGGATTCTAAAAGTACACTTACTCTCAATTGATGCAAATCTAACGCAGAAAAGCTCATCCTTCAACTCTCCATCGGAAAAATCAGTAGCGTGCCACAAACACGACTTTTCATTCCCACTGTGTTCCTGAACAGTCATCCCAGACGAAACTGCAGAGAAACACACACAGATACATAAGCCAAACCCGAAACAACAAAGATCAGAGAAACGCAGATACAGCTCACTTACTGAGGTGATTGGCGCAGATCTTTAGGGTTTTGGATTGCCTCATGACAAGGCGAACTTTGCCAGTCTGCTTGTGCTTCAACAGCTTAACAGTTCCAGCTCCTCTCTCCTTCCATTGATTCCCATCTTTATCGAATCGATACAACTTCGATTTCCTATACGGATCGATATCAGAGAAGAGATGGCACAAAATCGGAGACTAGCCTAACAAGAGAGAAGGTTGCAGATAATGAGTACATACAGATCGAGGACGGCGTCTTCATCTTCCTCGCCGGTGGTGACAGCAACTTCCTCAAGCCTGACGATCGGAGCCACTTGAGCTCCGGTGTCCTCATCTTCGTTGACTTCGGCCTCCTCTTCGCGGTGCTCGTGCTCTGGCTCAGTGCTCGCCATCTCTCTGTGTAGCTGTTAAAAGTGTGTGTGCTCTGCAACTTGCTTACTCAATTTGGGAGAGAAGAAGTTTCGAGGACCAGAAAAGAAATCGGATACGAGGGTTTTTACTTTATATCAAAGTTAGTAGGCTTCAGATTATCGATTGGGCTACTTGGCCGTAGCCTCAACCATTACAGCCCACTAACGGCCCGTTAAATTAACAGCTTTTTGTTAGATTGTAGCGATGAACTTGCATGTATATATTTACAATTTTCAGATACATACAGCAGACAGATTGTATTAAAACTAGTGGTTATTGGCGTCGAAGGAGATTAATTTACTTTACTCTCTGGTCTAATGTCACCAAAGGATTAAAAGCAACTTGGTCTAATATCTTGGAAACCCAATTTTAAGGTACAAAGAAAGATTCCATATGATTCCAATGTACTTGAATAAATTTTCTTCAATAACCTCGTAGTGATCTGGTTCAAAAAATATAGATCAATCAATCATGACTTAACTTCTGTAATTTGGATTTCAAGTTCACGTTACATCGACCAAAATTGATATGGATTAGTGACTACCATATTGTAATCAGTGTGAACCATAGGAGTTGTATTTGAATACGAGATAACTGATGTTGTTGTATACAAGTGTCAACGCTTCAATTGTGTGATCCCTAAGGAAACATTATAAACCAAGTCGGAACTACGACCAGTGAAAAATCGATGAGTGCGTTGCATAGTTGGGATAAAGAAACATGATCATACTATACATATACTTTTGGTATGTGGATGAAGCTCGAAGTGAAGTCATATATAATGGTATAATATTATACAGGAGAAGAAGACCTCATGATTAAGGAATGCCACAATCTAAAACCCAAACCCATAAAGTATATCTTGTGTCCTCTATCATGTCCCGTGACTAGTTATCCATAGAGACATAAAAGCTACTATACAATATTTAAATAATATCTATTCTCTTGAGCGAACTAAAAGTGGTGAATAAAGAACAGATAGATATACACATGAATGATCTCCATCCTTGACACATTTTGCTTATCTTCATTGCCTTATGTCATGTATTCTTTTTCTATTTCACTGTATCTTGACGATTATCACTTACTTTTTTTACTACAACTTATAATTGTGTGGGTGCCATTGGGAACCTGTGTGAGTATATGAATCCAAAATAAGAACTCAATAAAACATGAGATAATCAGATAAATGAGTCCAATAATAGTTACTTTTTGAAATTACTAGTGTATAAAGTATTTAGGAATTCAGTTCTTGGTACGTAGACCCTTGTAAATTTGTCTTATGTGTATCTCATTCTCATGTATTCCCGCACAAAGCTAATATAACAAACTTTGCAGTTTTGTATGAGTGTTGCTACGATATCATAACTTGGATTAGAATTTAGAACTATTTTCGCGTGGGCGTGTAAGTTATAGAAAAAACAACAATCCTACCAAAAAAATTACCAAAATAAATAATTTTATTTATGGACATTTGGGCACGACACGTGTATAATAGTGTAGTACATGAGACTATCACCGCCAGGTCGGCCACAGCCAAATCCACGTTTTGAGACACACCACAACCGCAACTACATTGCGGCGGCGCATTCACGTTCGTACGTTTAGTTTTCACATATTTACAATTTCGCCACGACAGATATCTAACGCTGCTTGGGCAAAATGTCATCATCATCACCCTAATTATTTGCCACGTCGGAGGATTAAAGTACGATGAACCTGTCCTCACCGTTACGAGTTCCGTACGTGAAGAATCCGGAACAAGCTGACCTGTCTCCTCCACTTCATAATCCGAACCTCTAACAACCAACCAACCATCAGATTCCCAAATTACCCCTCTGCTCGTCGCTAATTGACCGATCCTGTCCCTGGCGAAATTCGAATTCGACTCGGACACTGGCTCACTCAACCCTGCCTCTTCGTCTTCCTCTACTACCGAGTCGACCCAGTCGAATACATGCCTCGGAGATAACGATAAAGCAGAAGACGAGAGGAAAGGGTGTTGCAACAGCTGATCGCAGCTCCATCGCTCACTCGGATCTCTTCTCAGACACTTTTCAAGAAAATCCCGGCCGGTTTCCGATAACCTCGCCGGAAATTTCGGTAACTCGTCGGGGAACCCGATCGTTCTCAGGGTTTCAGCGCCGTCGTCAATCCAAGGCGGTTTTCCGGTGATCATCTCAATGATCGTACATCCAAGAGACCACACGTCACTCTCAGGTCCTTGATATTCGCCGCGGATTACCTCCGGTGCCATCCACAGAGGACTACCACGTGGCAGTATACGATCTTCGAACCCGAATCCGTTTCCGGGTCGAGACTCTAAACCCGAACCGAAATCCGCGAGCTTGGCAGAGCCCGGATCTTCTCCCAGTAGAACGTTTCTTGCCTTCACATCGCAGTGAGCGAAGCCGCACGTGTGCAGGTGATTCAAAGCAGAGACCAAGCACCACGTGAACCGTCGGATCAGATGTTCCTCAAGGTGTTGACCCGCGACGTCAGCGAGAGTTCCACGTGGCATGTACTCAAGATGAAGGTTCCTGAACGTCCCGGTTCCTTCTCGGGTCACGTCGTCGCCGAGGAACCTCACGATGTGTGGTGAAGAAACAGAGCGGAGGATACGAATTTCGTTTTCCAACGACTCAAGCTGACGCGGGAGACACGTGAAACTATCAACAGATTTGACAGCGAATATATGATTGCCGTCGGATTTGTTGAAGGCGAGGTTAACGGTTCCGAAGCAGCCTCTGCCTATGACCTTGCCTCTGAACCACCATGAGGAAGAAGAAGATGAGTTCTTTGAATCGCTAACGTCGATCCTCATGACTAATTTATTCTATTTAATTTTTTTTTTTATGGAATCTTATTTGACGAACCAAAAGTGTCTCTCTCTCTATTTATATGCATGGAGGAGTCTGGGTCTGACTTGGATTCTTTACAAATGGATATACTTTAAAATATGCTTTGAAACTTTTCTGCCATCTTTCAACGTTGGCATTTAAGTGACGGTCTATAGACAAGAATTGTAGCTCATTTTTGAAAGTACAGAACACACAAGTCGTTACTCATTTACTAGGATAGGTACAATCGGTAATAGAATTGGAGAACGTGTTTCACATTCAAAAAATGCAACAATGTGAAGAGTTGTTTTTCTCTTTTATTGAATTGTTGTATATATACATTCGTTAAAATATGGTACGTACAAAAACACGTGTTCGTTGTCAGTAAGGTTTAAAAGATAAATTATAGATTTCGATCAGTCAATACTCTTTTAAGCCGTACGATATCATCAAAGTGGACATTCGCTGATACAGGGGAAAAACGTTTAAAATCATTGAAATCTGATATGACAACTTCACAATAAAAGTCTGCTCTGTTCTATGTTTCTTGCATGATGGGAAAAGATGTGTATAAATGGTAAAGATTCATCTACGGTTCTCATATATGTTCCTCATGATAAATGTGGTCAAGGTTATCTGTTTATTTCAGCTTCCGAATTAAAAATTTCACATAGATAGGAGAAGCTTTATCCAAAAGAGACGTCAAAAAATGAATACGGGAAGTAGCGTGTAATATAACAATTATAAAGCTAACAGTTACCTCGTTTTAGAATCCTTCAACTTTCACTCATTTGAGTATTCTAATGAAACGAATCTTCAACAAGTCAAGCCAAAATTGATATTAATTGGTATGTGTCGTGTCAGATTACAAATGAATCATCAACGGGATTACAATCCTCAGACAGGGATAACTGTTTTTAATATTTGTTCTCATCATCCACAACACAACCAAATCTGAAAACGAAGAAAAACAAAATTTTAAAGAAAAATCAGACAGAAGCCTCAGACCGTCCTAGTCAAAGAAGATATTATTTCAACACTCTTGAAATTTCAGCAAACCATTTTATCCAATCTTCATTGGCATCTTATCAGATTAACAAAACAAAGACCGAATCATTCATTATATTATACAGCGGAAAAATAAAAGATATAAGATCTAAAGAAAGAAGAACTCAGTCCCTTAGATGTTCATAATGAAATGCGATCATTACCGCAATCATTACAGGTCTGTAAATTGACTCATCATTGTTCTTCCACAATACAAATAACAACAGATACAAGATATGTAGCTGCTCAAGTATGCTCCCGAATCGGCATCGACTAGAATTAACAGTAAATGCTGGAATGATTAGAGAGAATAAATGAAAAACGAGAGCAACACGATTAATTTTGCTTCAAGGGAACGAATCGTATGGGAACGGACAGATCCACATAGACTATCTGATGAAGCCAAATTTCAATTTCCGAAATCAATTGATAAAAAATACTAGATCCAAGGAAAACCACAGGAGATTAAAGATCTACTAACAAAGATAAAAGCTATGAATATACTTCAGTTTCGAATGCTGCTGAAAAGACAGCGTTAATCGACTTTATTTATAAACAGGGTTTAGGAAACTTGATGATGAACGGCTGAGGATTTTTGACGCTGCTGTTGGGAAAACCCTAAAACGCTTCTCAGTAAGCCCATTTGAGTGTATTTTTTTTCAAAAGCCCAATAAAGTAAAAATACGAAGCCCGAGATAACAAGGGTAGAGAATAATGAAATGTTTGTTTGGTCGTATCAAAACTGCCACACAACTGTGGTGTTGCATGAAATAAAAATTATATAATCATTAGAAAGAAAATTTGCCTCAAAGTTTCTACAATTGAATGCATTCCGTAAACTTAAGGATTCTCCTGGAATGCGTTAAAAAAATTCCTAGCGAATAATTTGATAAAAAAAAAAGAAGCTAATAGAAGAGAATGGTATACAACAACTGATTCCATGTATCAGGGAGACCAGGCAAGCACCAATGGCTACAATCTGCAGACTGGTCTGGTTTAGACCGCTGCGAACCGCTGATGAGACCGCTGTAGACAGAAGGGTGACCGTCTTTTCTGAGGGAAGAGAGGAGCGTTATGTCGAGAAGAAAAGCCGGGTTGTGCATCCCGTGAAGCACTTCAACGATCACTGATCTTAGCTGATCTGTGTAAGAACTCACTGGGTACGCCGCTCCTGTGATCGGCTCTGTCTCTCCGTAGCAGTTCTTGGATCCAGAAGACGATGATGCCGCCCAGTCACTCGGGCTGATGATATATGTACACAAGTGGTTTCAGGACAAAAGCATCATGGAGAAGTGAGTTAATTGAACAACTTTGAGTCGAGAGAGAGAGAGAGAGTTTTACTTGTCGTGTGTTGGAGAAATGGAGAGGAAGAAGACTTGGGTTCGGCTTCTATCGACGTGGGTTTCGACCCAGTAAGCCCAAGTACGAAGAGCCTTCTCCATTGCGACGAAACGGTCCATGTCTTGGTAATAAGAATTGCCTGATTGAATCAAGTCCCATCTGTGGTGTGTTCACAAGGAGAGAGGTCAATTGCATATATATATATAGTAAGTAAGTACACTTCTTATTAGAGACTGCAAGATCAAACCATTGCAAAAGAGTTAATTACCCTTGCATAGATCCGGTGTGGCTCCACCAGTGACCGGTGTTGAAGATGAGGAGATCAGCATCGTGCCACGCATTGGCATTGCCAGAGATCTCTTCCAGTTTCAACACTCGCTTGCCTTGAACAGCGTCTATGTCCACCAAGAACGGAGCTTTGTAAAACGACATCGTTATCCCATAATCCTAACATTAAAAAAAAAAAACAGTTTCCCTTATTTCCATAAGAAGAAAGAACTAGCTTTGTTTCATACAAGAAAAATGTGAGACATGGAAAAAGAAGAAAGGGTACCAAGAATCTGAAGGTGGAGAGAGGGAGGCCTCTGGTCATTTGAGTCCTAGTGGACGGTGCAGATGAAACGATGAGGCAGATCAACGACTCCCATTGATTCTTCCCCAATGAATCACCCGCAAACATTATTGTCTTGCCCTTCATTCTCAACAGAAACGCAGCACCATTGAACCTAAGCATCATCATTTCGTTTAACGATTTAACTAACACATAATTTAAAATCTACATTTTGAAGAGCGAGAAACTAAAACAGAATCTCCCAAAATCTAACTTCCACACGAGCTTTCAATGAACGGAATTTTAAAGTGCCATTATGATAGCTTATCTAAGTATAAAACTATAAATTTCATATGAAAAATCGAAGTTCATTACGAATAACGACACGAGAAACTGAAGATTAACCACGGAATTGAGGGAGATTCGTGAATAAATTAAACAGCTTGGGTAAACCCAGAAAGAGTATAAGCATACGTGGGCAAGTTGCAATTCTGGGGTTGCCATCGATACTTGAGGTAGTCGGAGTCAGGACGTCCGTACATCTGGCAATCGAACTCAGGCTCGACGACGGCGGGACAATCCGCCGGTTTGTAGAGAGGATAAGAGCTGTCACGGACCCACGTGCCGAGGAAGAGAGAGCACGTGCTCCTGTTCCCTTGGAAAGCCGATGGTCTGCTCGAGCTGTATTGGTTGCCGCTGCTGCTCCCATGGCGTTTCTTCAAGCTCAGTATAATGGCTGAAGAAGATGGTTCTTGCTGAAGCACTAGCAGAACAAGAGAGATAATGGCGGAGACTGAGATGCGAAGAAGAAAACTCATCCTCTGCTTTAACGGAACAAAGAAAAGGAGAGATTTCCCCAACACCTCAAAAGGAAAAGATGTAAAATAATTGAGAGAGAAAATATCTTAAAGAAAAATGTTTTGGAAATTTGGATCCATTTATCGGTGTCTCTGTGCAAATGGGCATGGGTGTTCACGTGGGTCCTCTTACTTGTGTAAATATTTTACAAATTTCAAAATTAAAATATTATTCGGTGATAAATTTTTGGACAATTTTTATAATTATACTGGAAAATATAATAGAGAAGTTAAATTTTGCTCACCCCTAACATTTTTTATATGAATTTTCTGATTTTACTGTTTTGTTATTTTTTGACAGTTTCATGATTTTTAGAAAATGTCTTCCAAATACTATAATTTAACATCGTTTCATATGATTTATATGATTTAGGAAAATTTATATTTTTTAAAAATTTTTTGAATTATGGAAAGGTTTCCTGAATTATGGAAATGTTTCCTGAATTGTGAAAAGACTTCTAGGAAGAACTTCCTAAAACTTTAGATTATTTTCATAAATTTACTCTTAGTGACATTCATACCATAATTTCCGCTGAGTTCTTTTTTTTCATCATTGTTATTGTTTTAAATCGGAGTTTTTGAGCTTTTCACCCAATTATATCATATTTATTTTTCACTATGATTTTGGGCTTTAAATCTTGAAATCACCTTTCCATAAAAAAGTCACAAAGATTTAAGAGATTCACAATCACAAATCACAGTCCTAAACAAAACAAATGATTTAAATTTTATACTCCCTCTATTTTTTAAAGTAGGATGTTTTAATTTTTTTCTTTGTTTTAAAAAGATTGATGTTTTAAGTTTTAAATAACGTATTTAGTTTTTCAAAAAACTGTTAACCAATAAAGAAGAGAGAAATAATATTAATATATTATTAAAAATAAAATGTAGTTAAAAATTAAAATAAAAAATAATTATTAAAATGTATTTTAATATGTGTGAGGTGTTAAAATAACAAACTAAAAAAAACAGAGGGAATATCTGTGTTGGCCATTGATACATTTGTTTATACACTACTATTTTTTTCTTTTTTTATTAGCTAATGTTTTGTCTTAGTATAATATAGTCAAGTTTAACATGTTCACACGATTAATTAGATTTATAAACGCATCCACACGATAAATAAATCACAAAGGCAAAGAATACTTTGCTTACTTACACATGCTTCCCCTTTTCCAACTTCATACAATAAGAAGAAATCAAGTGTCAGAAGAGAGGTAAGCATTTGTTCCTTCGTTTCTTTTAATTTTCATTTTATTTATACATTTCGACACCTTTGGGTTGTTCTCACCCAACTCAAGATTTACACCTACCATTTAATCGTAAAATCTCAACCTTTGTTTTCCGAAAATTCTGAACAAAATTCGTGGAAATGCTCACCTTGGACCCTCAAGTGTTCCTACGTCATGTTAACCTCATACATTTTTTCCTTCTTCGTGTGTAACACTTTAGAATACGGTTCTCTTTTAACAACCTTTGCTGATGTGTTTTTAATTCCCTGAAAAAAACGACAAAAAATCAGATTAAAACTTGTATGAACCTATGAATAAGATTGATGATTTTCTAGTCACATTCAGAAGCCTAATTAATCATCTTTGGACTCAACAAGTTGCCAATAATAGTCTCTATTTATCCAGAAAGCGAAAATGTAGTTACAGTTATATGATATATCACAGAGCCTTGTAAAGCATCAAACACACAACGTTACCATGTTAAGGATCTCTTGATTTCTATTAGGAAGTCTTTTATCTTGGTTACTTTTCAGACCCATGTAAGACGTTTGCGTATCATGTTTTCGTTTTCATGTTTTCTTTGAATTAGTGATTGAGAGGAGTGAGAGTTTGAACAACATACTCTGGTGGATTTTTCGTGGAGCTAGAATCCTCGAGTTGCTGTTCTGCCTGATGCACTTCTGATCTATCATCAGAAGCAGAATTGTCTTCAATCCTGATGATGTCACATTTTGGTTCACCCAGAGACACTGCATGAGATAATGAAGATCTGAAGTTTAAAACCTTATTCAAGATGATTGAGTTTGGAAGTTTACCCTTCTTTAATGATAACATAGGATACATTGGGGACAAACCTGTACTTGGAATTGGGTCTGCCACGCTGCTGTTGATCAAGATCTTCTGGCACAGTAGTGTTCGTCCGAATTCCAAAAAGGTAAATTGCAGAAAGTCTTTCTTTTCGGGGATTTTCATTTTTGAAAAGCCAAATGAGTTAGTCCATGTGTTCAGCACGCATGGAACTGCAGGCAGGACCAGCCTCTCAACTCCCAAGCCAATGAGCACCTGGAGAACACAACATTTTCAAGGGAACAGTTAGAGGTCTTCAGGACAAGCAACTTGAGCCGAAAGGGGAAGTGAAGTTTTCAATAGTAAACACCTTTTCGAGTTCATTCATCATAACACGGCACATCCCGCGCTGGCGATGCTGGAATCTAGTACCAATGAAAGGCATTTCTGCGACCTTTTTCCCAAAAATTCTTAAAAGAGAACAAAAGGAACAAGTCAGGCTAGGGCCAAATACAAGATTTTAGAGTTTCTGTAATCTTAGGAGACAATTTAAGCTTTATGAAACCTACCTGACAGTAGCTACGGAAACCAATTCGTCGTTCTTTTCTAGAGTTACAGTGTAAAATCCACTGAAGTTCAAACGTTTATATTTGGACCTGCAGTTTTCGTAGACTTAGGGAGTCTGATGCGAAAGAATGTCATAGAAGGCTCTTATATGGAAGTTTATGGTATTCTTTATTTGTCTCTTACCATCTGCTAAAAATAACATCTTCAGCAAGATCTCCCCCACCATGAGGTCTTTTCACTGGCTCGAAGAGTTCATGCAACACGTCAAGAGCAACACTGAGCTTGCAATGATTTTCCGCCACTGCCTCAACTTTAGAAGCGTCAGTCTCAACTGTATCTGGTTCCAAGGACTGCAACAGTCTCCATGTTAAATTCTTCTCCCCACCCACCTCTCTCGGCTTTCCAATAAGCTCACCGAGATTTACAAATATCTGGATTAACATTTATATGCTGAGTATGACATGCAATAAATTTGTTAACAAACACGAATGGAAAATGGGAACTGGATTTATGTACCTCTTCACAGTCCTTGCTGCAAAACCACTTTTCTCCCAAAAATGTATCCAATGAATCACCGGCACCATCATAACGCACGCAGCTAGGGTGATCTATATGAATTATATAAAAATCAAAACTTTAAATCATTCAAATATTCTGTTGAGCCTTTGTATTAGCATGGGGAAGAAGTCCATACATTTAAGTTCGCATTGCTTGCAACTGATAAACTTTTCCTCCTTGGCATATTTGCTAGTATCCTTGAGAACGGATTGTCCACAGGCACCACAACAACATGACGCGCAGAACCAGTCACCATCTGGAACGTCCTACAAAATTCAAGCGAGAAAGTGTTAAGAAACCACGAGTTAAGAAAAGCTGTGAAATTTCCATTCTGGTCTTAATTAAAATTGGTGAAAGAGATAGAACCTCCAGCCCAAGACAATCAGCATGGAAAGCGGCTGGACATCCATCACAAAGAATAAGCTTCCCGCCATAATGACAAACGGAGCAAACTGTATCGTTCTCCCTTTGACGCAATTTCATCTTCAGAATATCAGGTGGTTGTGTTTTCTTTCTTGTTTTGTACGCTTCTACTTGGCATTCTAAAAGAGATCTTCCATCGTCTAGGAAGATATTGGCTGCTGCTCTGCAGGATCCACCATCAGCATGAACTTCAAAGCCACTTATGGTGAAAATTCTACGGCAACAACTGCATTTTATACCCTCACGAGTTAGTTTTCCCTCTTTTCCAACAGTGTGATCCTTTTGGTTACGGCATCGTATATTCTCCCTTGGTAGAACCACATTGTTGTCGATGAGCCAGGAAAGAATAGTACGTGGACTATGATGCCTGGAGATGGGAGTTATAACTCGCTGCACAATGTTGCTTGATCTTGACACACGGTTTTTACCACGACCAACTACTCGATTCTTGATATTCCTTAACATTCTTGAAGTTTGCCCCCTTCTCATGCTCTGATTGACATTTCGCAAACATACAGTCACTTCGTTCTTCTTGGAGTTATTTCTAAGGTTAGGTTTATGTTTAGGCTTACTTTCCATCCTTGCGATTTGTGGCTTCAGCCTAACACAGAGTGTTCTTTTATGAGCCGAGACGGCATAATTGGGATAGACATTGCGGCTTTCTTTCTTAGAGACCTCCTCTTTTCCTTGCGTTTCACACTCAGGCAAGGTTTCAGCAGACGGCTTCCTTCCATCACCATGAGCGACACTTCTATTACAAACAGGCAAAGCCAAAACAATGCTCCTCGTCTCCGGGGTGTTTTCACAAGGCAGAGAACGAGGCTTATCCATCCTCGGAGGAGTCGGGGATTCATCACGTTTTTTCAATATGAAACATACTTGGCGAAGAGATTTCTCCGTTAGCCTCCCATCTGGTGAGATGTAGCGAAACCTTTGCCTTCCAGCTTCATCTACCATTTGTTCTATGGTCCATCCCATATACGTAAGATGCATCTTGACATGTAGAGCCACTTTCTGCGACGTTGTCCTAATGTAGCTCGATACAGCTTGTGGGCATGATTTAGCAACACAATCAAAAGGTTGCCAGCTTCCAAATCTCTTGGGCAGTATCATCTTTTTATGATCGGCAGAGGATTTGTTGCTAGAAAATTCTGCTACCCTATTAATGTAACTCTCCTCCGACCTTATGCCAGAAACAGAAGTTAAGACAGACAAGGACAGGCATCTCTGGCTCGCCGGATTGTAATCTTTGTCAATGCAGGATAATTGTTGTTCTTGTGGAGCAATCACTACCACACCACTGGGACAAGCATTGGTCTCATTCAGCGCTTGAGAATTTTCTTTTAAGAGCTCGGACTCTTGCTGTGGATATCTTTCGGTGTCATAATCATTAAGAAACTGATTCATGGTGATTTTAAGATTATCATAAATTACCTCCAGCATCAAATCTTCCCATAAATGCCGAGTGGAGCAAGTCCATTCCCGGATCCTCGCAAAATCAACCCTGTCTCGTATGTCATACCAAAGTTGCTTCACCGACACAGGGAGAAAGTTATCTTCTCTGTATTTCTCAATCAAATCAAGAAACACCCATCTCCCACGACACTCCCACGTCTCTGTAACCTCATTCCAATCCTGAGTAATACGAAAAGAGTGAAGGCCAACATCCAGTTCATCACCCAAATCAGGGAAAAACACTCTCCTCTCCTCAGAACCAACTTCGTGGTCGAAAAGCACACCTTCCCACCAAGCCTCACTGATAAACACATCGACGCAGAGCCCATACGCAAGGTTTAATCGATCAACTTCCAGATTTGGCGGCACAGGTCGTAACCGTCCGCGTAGAGTATCAGAGACGTCTATACAATCAGAGCTCAGCCCTTCTGCTACCTCCGAAACATCAACAGTTTCCACAAGATAATCAGTGCCATCATCAGAGAGGATGTGATCATATCTGATACTACGCCGGCGTCGCCTCTTTGAGACAATTACAGTTCCTAAATGCCAAGAACCCAGAAACCCTTCCTCCACACTTCTTACCTAAACAAGCCAAACATTTGCCTTCTACGATTAGACGCATAAAGCAACATTGACTACATCAAACAGGTGGAATTAAAAAAGCTCCCAAAAAGCAAGGATAGATGTTTGCACTAAGAATAGAAACTACAGAATTTGTAGAGTTTGACTTGTAAAAAGCTATGCGTATATCGCTACCAAAAGCGGATTATAATGGAGAAACAGACAATGCAGCTTTCACGAAAATCGAATCCAACAACTAGGCTCCACGATCAAACCCGAAACGGGAAAGGATACTAAAATAAGCTTCAAAAAGGGCCGAAATTCAGCAAAAATTTCCAAAGTAATCGGCGAAATTAGGAAACTCAAAAACCCTATAAACCCTACAGTACAATTAAAAAGACCCGTCGTTGAAACGGAATAGTCAGTGGGGAGGGGGGGAATTCGAGAAGCAATGGGTTTACCTCTACTTTTTCTCCAACGAGAAGCTTTCTCCGGCGGAGATTTCGTCCACCATTGCTGTTCCAGCCGAATATCGGCTCTTCCTCAGTCGCCAGCATTGAGATCCCAAAAACTTCGAGTGAAAAATTGGGAAAAAAAAACGTTGTCTTCTGATAATTTATCGGTTCTTTCGGAAATCCGAGAAAATAAAGGAGGTTTTCTCAGTAAGAGACGAAATTTAGCAGCTCCGTTGTGTGAGTAGAGCAGCTTTCTCCCCAAGTAACGCTGTTCACTACACCTATAGTTTTTAATCCAAATTAAACATCTAATTAAATAAGGAGAATGATTATTGTCAGTTAATTTATTTGTTGGCCTTGGTTTTGCTTTTACTGATTACTAGGTGGTTGCCTACACATATGTGCGGGTATAATTTTATATATATACATAATTAATTGTAATATTTAAATATTGATTAGTTTTTTAAAACATTGGTATATTTGTATATATATTGTTTTAATATTTCAAAAACTTCTTTCTAAAACAATATATTTTAAAAACTTTATTTTTATAATGCTTGTAAGATTATATAATCACAAATATTATGTTAAATAATAATTAAAATTTTATAATATTTTTTGAATATTTCTATAATATGCTTTATTTCTCCTTACACAATCTACAATATGTTTTTTTGCGTCTTACATAATATGAATTTGCAAATACATATATAATATATTTTAAGTATATACTTTTCTTGATTTATTGCATATTAAACTGAAATAGTTTTTACCATTTTTACTTATTCTTAAGAGCGGATAGATGGTTGGCACGCATGTGCGGACATACCAACTATTTCACTACACTTAAAATAGATAAATATTTTTTAAAAAATATAAATTTTATAATAATTAAAATAAAAATTAGTCTGTAATCAATCTTAACAAAATACATGCACGAAAAAGTTTGCATGTGACTTCAACTAATGTACAATTAATATTTATGTTTGTACGCGTATTTGTAAGAAAATTGAAATATGGCTCTTAGGTGTTAAAAAGTTTTTAAGTGACTTTGTAAAACAAAATGCGTGAGATTTATTTTTTTATATTTTTATTTTTATTTCTTATTCATATTGTTTCATCTTATTATAATTTATTCTTTTGTTCAGTTATTATTTTTTTTTATTTATGTTCTCAAAATTTTGATATACAATGAAAATAAATTTATGTATATATATATATACATATGATATAAAATTTATTTTTATTTAAAATATGATAAGAGATAAGATGAGATGGTAACATAAGTTATGTACATTTTAGAAAACAACAATAAAAAGATGATAAAAGTTATAGAAAAATATATGGTTCTATTAATATTATAAAATAATAATTAGTATATACTTTATTCATTTAGTAAATATTGGTTTGAAAAAAAAAATTATTTAAAATTACGTTTATTTAAAAAAATCAATAAAAATTGATTATTTTTTATTATTTTTAAACATTTTATTCTTTAAATTACTTTTATCATGATTGTATTTTATTTAAAATTGTATTATTTAATAATTTGTTTATTTAAAACTTGTTTAGATGTTATTAATATATATTTTTAAATTAATAACTTTTCGAAATAAAAATATATCATACTTCAAGTATTATTAATAAATAGAATTTTAATTATTCTTTTGGATAATTTAGTATTATTTTTTCGTTTTATATGAAATTATAATATATATATATTGTTAAAAAAATTTCGTAATTATATTTTATGAAATTATGAATATATGTAAAAATTGAAATTATAATAACTTTTATTTTCTGTTAATTTAAATTTGTTAATTTTAGTGTTATAAATATAATCTAATTTATTTATGTTTTAATTCAACAATTTCTATAATTTTTATTCAACCAATCAAAACATTTCGTTTATTTTAGGAAGTTTGACATGTCACATTTACATATTATCAATTAAAAGCACTAATTTTGGTTGTAGTGTTGACAAATCAACTATTTTGAATAATGTTACTTCTCAAATAATATGTAGTGGACTAGTTTTATGGTTTTTGATAATCTCAACGAGAAGAATGGAAATTTGCTGGCCGAACAAAAATAGAAAAATGATAATTTGCTAATTGACAATAGTCGTGTGCACCATTTCGTTTCTTAGTTAAAAATCCCAAATTACCCAATAGGGCTCTGTCGCTTCCGAAATTTAATGAAGGTAGCTTTTCTCTCTCTTTACTAAACTTGGTACAGTATTACTCTTTCCGTGGAAAACCCATTCAGCATATACATCACGATTCACGAGCACTTGCTTGAAATCAGAAAGTCAAGGTTATTGGAAATCATAAAATCAAACATTATTGAAAAGATTGGAAAAAGATTTGAGCTTGTGATAGATAGTAGTTTATAACACTCTTGCTACGTACCAAATCGCAAGAGTGTGAAGCTCGTTGTCATAAGACCTTAAGAGTGAGCCACAAACAACGTGCAATGGATTTGGTCTTCAAAATTCTATCGAGTAACATTTTGATCATAGTGAGACACTCTTGTTACTTACCAAATCCCAGGATGTTCATTCCACTGCTGATAGCTAGTTTTAGAGTCTTAAATTCATCGAGGTGATTGACCACGCTAAAACTACAATATTTTCATACTAAAATTAAATATAATGCATTTCAAAAACCTCGATTAATTTATTATTCATCTTATTGAGATATATTTACCAAGACGTTCATTCCGCTGCTTCTTCGTTAGCTGGTGAGTCTTAGATAGACACTAAAACTAATTCAATACTTTCACACTCACACTAATGGGCCAATTATAAGTTCATTATTTATGGGCCTTTTGACAGGTCATTATGCTCGTATAGCCGGATTCGTGTCGCTATCTGCTCTCATATGGCCCAGAAGTGGTTGGCGCTTAGTCGGAGAGAATCATTCACTGCTTCAAGGACCATAAAAGCCAAGATGGTCTGTCCACTAAGGTTCTGCCATTTGTGTAGGCCATTCGTTTTGTCGTCACCGATGTCGACTAATAAAATAGCAATGGTTAGTCGCTTTCAGTAGGTCCCACTTGGTTCTTATTCCATTCATTCTAGTCAGATTATGGATTCTGGTGGGTCCATTTGCTATTGGTACACTTTAGACTTTTTTTTTCTTCTTCTTTTTTTCGCTTTATATTCTAAAACTAATAATAATATATCCATCCCGAACACAAGATCCTGACCCTTTATCAATTTGATGTCAGACAAAAATAGATAAGATCCTCACCGTCGGTTTTATCTTTTTTTGCATTTTTCATACTATCATTAATTTGAGTGACTCATAACAAAACTTTTAAATTGATACAAACTGGAAAACCAACAGTGTTATGTTATCCATCGCATCAAGTGAAATAATACAATTTAGTGATTAATTATTTTGATTTATTATTAAATAGAAAAGATTTATCGCTTTAAAATTGAAGATTTGTTTGTGATATAACAAAATCCCCAATAATAATAGAAAAATTCACTGTAAATGAGAAGGGAAATGAATATTAAAAGGTTTATCAGCAAAAGAAATAAAATAACTAAAAACTAAAGAGTTTTGAGAGATCCAGTGTGGAGCAGCTCCGTTAATGCCACTGCAAAGCATTGATGGGTTTGGTTCACGCATTTGGATTTGGTCTGGTTGCGATACAATATAGTAGTCGTTCAAAACAAATATTATATATTATATATATCATACTTCTTCCGTTCCATATTGTATGATGTTTTGGATTTTTTATTTTGTTTTACAAAGATTAATTTTCTACATTATATTTAATATATTTTTATTTCTAAGACAACTTTTTAGATAAAAAAATATAAAATATTAATATTAAATTAATAAACAAACAAAAAGTAAATAAACATTATTTTTTTAATATCTGTGAAACATCTAAAATATCATACATTTTGAAATGGAGAGAATACAAAATTATCATGGATCACATACCATTATCTTTTAATCAGATCAATTAAAATATTATTAATATAATAATACAAGCATAAGGACAGTCGGACAGAACATACAAAGTTTGGTCAGGTTTGTTCGAATTTCGCCACAACCGAACCGAAACTAAATAGTAGTACAGTATTTTAATCTTTTAGAATATATATGTATTACCTAATCGACTTTTTTATTGGAATTATCGACCGAAAAAACTGAACATAAAGGTCAATTTGTCGACTTTATCGAACTTAAAATAACAAAATTTCTCAATCATCTAAACTTTATGATAATTTTCGTGAATAACTCAAATCAGGCTACGACAAAAAAAAGTTGCCATCAAACCCATTCGAGACGGTTCCGATTCTGTGTTTTTGGTATATATATTAGTTTATTCTGAGCGGTGACAGGCCAATTAAAAAGCAATTGTCGTATAACTTTTTCTCACAGACGGTCGTTTTATCTTTAGCTCGTGAATGGAGAAAAAAAGTAAGTAGCTCATTTTAAAAACATGCTGACGATGCATGGTTTCCACGTCATCCCACCAAAAACCGGAGAAACGCGTGAAGCGTGACAAAACCGAGGAACATCGATCCTCTGCGGTGAGGTTTCACGTACACCTTCGCTTTCTTCAGACTTTAGATATTTTTTGAGAATTAAAAGAAAAAAGTTAATGTGGACTTTTTTTAATTGAGAGGTGAAAGAAATAAATAAAAAAGAAATAAAACGGAAAAAGACGAGAGAGAGAACGAGGAGGAGAAGAAGAAAGATGGAGATGGTGGTGGGTTTATTATTTATTTTAGTCTTGTAATCTTCTCCGTCTTTTATCTGACTCTCTCTATCATCTTCACCTTAAGAGAAGAAAGTGACACGGAGGAGACGAAGAATTTAAAATAAAAGAAACATAATTGGAGGAAAAAAAGTTTGATTTGTTTATCAATAAATTGGGTAGTTTAAAGGAAGTGAAGAGCGGTTTTGGTGGTGGTGGTCGAGAAAAGAGAGAGCTTTTTCTCTGCGATCAGATTTCTCAGAGGTAGAAAAACCTTTCTCTTTTGTTTGTTTCTCTGATTACTAACAAAAAAAAACTCTGACAAAAATGATGAGCTTCGAAATTTGGGAGTTCTTCCATTTATGGATTGACTAGTCGTCACTGAATATTAGTTTCGCTTGCATAGTTCGTTGTCCGTAACATGTGTTTTATTCTATCGAATTGTTACTTCTTTTCTGTTTCTCAAGTTGTTTTGTTTTTAATTGATTTGCTGATTCGAAAAATGAGTTATTAACAAAAGGGCATATTTGTGTCCCCATGATTAGTTTTCGATGTTGCAAAATGGTTAATAATGGATCTGTTAGTGTTTATTTTTGGTTGTGTTTGTTTAAAGCTGGAAACTTTGTATCCCAAGTAACAAACTCTTCCTTCTCTCCTCTCTCTCTCTAAGTTTTAATTAATCGGTTTCTGCAGTTTTAAAATTCTGTTTTCATGAATATGTTTATGTATACCTTTGATCAGAAGGAGAGATTCATCGGCTCTGGATTTCAATATATTTCTTCAATCTTTGCAGTGACATCAAACGAGCGGGAAAGATTTTTGCTTTTGCCATGGGAGAGGATGAGCTGTCTCACATCAAATTCTCTCCTCTGCTCGAATCATCAGCCTGCAATGATCTCTCCGGATTCAAGTCTCTGGTTGAAGAAGAGGGTCTCGAGAGCATTGATCGGACTGGTTTGTGGTACGGGAGGAGAATAGGATCAAAGAAGATGGGATTTGAGGAGAGGACGCCTCTTATGGTTGCTGCCTTGTTTGGAAGCAAAGAGATCGTCGAATACATCATCAGTACTGGTCTTGTAGATGTGAACCGCTCTTGTGGCTCTGATGGTGCCACAGCGCTTCACTGCGCGGTCTCTGGCTTGTCTGCGAATAGCCTCGACATCGTTAACCTTCTGCTGAACGGGTCTGCTGATCCGGATCCTTGTGATGCTTATGGTAACAAGCCTGTAGATATGATTTTCCCCTGTTTGAGTCCGGTTTTTAGCGCGAGGAAGAAGGTCTTGGAGCGTTTGTTGAAAGGAAGTAATGGTTTGAATGAAGCGGAAGGGCCAGACGAAGAAGCAGAACAAGAAGAACAGAGAGAGGTTGAGGTTGAGGTTTCGGTTTCTGTTTCGCCTCCTCGAGGGACAGAGAGGAAGGAGTATCCTGTTGATCCAACGCTTCCTGATATCAAGAACGGTATCTACGGGACAGATGAGTTCCGTATGTACGCCTTCAAGATCAAGCCGTGCTCTAGAGCATACTCGCACGATTGGACCGAGTGCCCGTTTGTTCATCCGGGTGAGAACGCGAGGAGGCGTGATCCGAGAAAGTATCATTACAGCTGCGTCCCCTGTCCTGAATTCCGTAAAGGGTCTTGCCCCAGAGGCGATTCTTGCGAGTATGCTCACGGTATCTTTGAGTGCTGGCTTCACCCTGCTCAGTACCGGACTCGTCTCTGCAAGGACGAGACGAACTGCTCGAGAAGAGTTTGCTTCTTTGCACACAAACCCGAGGAGCTGCGTCCGTTGTACCCTTCAACCGGATCGGGTGTTCCTTCCCCGCGGTCTTCCTTCTCATCTTGCAACTCCTCTGCTTTCGACATGGGACCCATCAGCCCACTTCCTCCTCTGAGTCCTAACGGCGTATCAACCACACCTCCTTTGAGTCCCAACAACGGTGGGAAAACGTGGATGAACTGGCCTAACATTACCCCTCCTGCACTGCAGCTTCCAGGGAGCAGGCTGAAATCCGCGTTGCACGCAAGAGAAATCGATTTCTCTGAAGACATTCAAAGTCTTTCTACTCCAACGTCTAGATGGAACAACACAGCCGCTTCACCTCCGTTCTCTGGAAACGGCATGAACAGGCTTGCGGGAGGAGGAATGAGCCCGGTTAATAGCCTTTGCGATATGTTCGGGACAGAACGCAGCGTTATTAACCAGCAGATGCATTCCAACAGCCTCTCTTCGTCGCCTGTGGGAGCCAATTCTCCCTTCTCGTTGGATTCGTCCACGGTCTTGGCTTCAAGAGCAGCTGCGTTTGCTACACAACGAAGCCAGAGCTTCATAGAACGCAGCAACGGGCTGAATCACCATCCGGCAATCTCGTCCATGTCTACAACTTGTCTAAACGATTGGGGCTCATTGGACGGGAAACTTGACTGGAGCGTCCATGGAGACGAGCTACAGAAGCTCAGGAAATCCACTTCTTTCCGTCTCAGAGCCGGCGGCATGGAATCAAGATTTCCCACGGAGGGGACCGGGCTCGAGGAACCAGACGTCTCTTGGGTTGAGCCGCTGGTGAAAGAGCCTCAGGAGACAAGACTGGCTCCGGTTTGGATGGAGCAATCGTACATGGAGACAGAACAGACGGTGGCTTGAATCGAAGTTTTGAACTTTATTAACCTTTTCAACAAGATGCAGAGAAAGAGACAGAGAAATTCCTAGTTCGTTGCTAATCTATTACATTTTATTTTTTCAATGCTTTTTTTTTTTGTTTGGAATAAAAAGAGAACGAAAAATATTGGGGACTAAGAGAGAGTTTGTTTATCTGTCTCGTCTCCATTGAAAAACAGAGGTGAAAAGTTTCAAAACCAAAAGAAACCTCAAGTCACCTCACTTCCCTGATTCTTTACTATTCACAATGAGTAATCGCTTTTTTCTTTTCTTGGTAACAATTACTCTGTTATGTTATTCTGCTGTTTTTGATGAACTAAATCAAAACCGGTATTAAGCTAAGGAAAGGAGTCTGAAGACTTGAAAGTATAATTATAAGACAGAATTGAAATTTCTTTACACTTGTGAAGTTAGGGAAAGTGTTGTAATTGTTTCTTCTAAGAGTTGATCTAAGATATTTGAGACAATATCTTCGCCTATGAGTTCTTCTAGATCTTCGAGCTTTGAAGCTTTTCCGTAAACCCAATTAGACCCTTCAAGCTCAGATACAGTGAGACTGCAAATCATGAGCCACATCTCTTGGTAGCCATAAAGTCGGACTTCGGACTCTCTTGGTCTGTTGGTTAATGCGATGTGATCTTCTTGAATTGTTTCATTACTCTTACTTGATTCTAGTTCCGAAGATAACCGTCTTCTTGAAGTGTTCCCTGGTACAATAAAACAAGTACGCTTTAGCACAAGAAAAAAAACAAGTACATGCTAAACGACATTTCAATTTTGAATCTGAATATTTGACCAACCTGGTGATGGGGTTACTCGAAAACCAGCACACCGATCATAATCAAGAACCGAGACAGGGCTCCAATCATCGCAGCTTCCACACTCTTCTTTCGTTGACCTCACTTCACAATTGGCTAAATCTCCATCTCTGGACCAGCGACCATAGCTCTCGATCATATTCTCCTTCTCTATGTTCTGTCTCAACTTAATTCTTCTTGCTTTTCTTCTGTTCTTACGTTTCTCCTTTCTACGTTGCTTCAATTCTCCAACCTCAAGCCTCTCGCGTCCTGGTGAAACGTTCATGGCGTTCATGTCGTTCTCTTTACCCTCTACTATGCGTGTTTGATTCTCTGTTTCCTTCTGACTCTCTCTCGTTTCTCGTCTCTTCTTACATTTTCTTGTCCCCAGCTGATTCAGTTCTCCAAAAACCTTCTCATTTTTATCCTTCTCGAAGCTGAGAATGAAGAAATTATCGTCTTCAATCTCAACATACTCCAAAAGCTTGTGCGAATCCAGTGTGGACTTTACTCTTCTATGCTTTCCCTGAACCTCATCGTTGTCTCTCTCCAAATCACCAACTGAATTCACTGAACGGCTCCTTAAGACGACTCTGGTTTTGTCAATTACGGGAACTGAATCCAAACCCATGAGCCTCGCCACAGCTCCTGGCTCATCTCCTCTGGCTCTGGGTGGTTCGGAGCCGAAATCAGGAGAATTGTAACCCGGCTCAGTGATTTGATCAGATGGGTACGTCGAAGAGGTACCGGAACAGAGAACTCTTCGAAGAATCAAAGATATACAGCCGAAAGTATGAGCCTTTGAGCTGAGTGGGAGAGAAGACTTCATCTTCATGGTCTATGCCTAATGTGTCAGTGTCTCGAAACTAACGGAGAAGTAACGTATAGAGAAAATAACTTTTTCTCTTTGCTTTTCTTCGGTTAAGTGATGGAGAGCAACAATAAAGTGTGAACAAAACAGAGCGGGATCTAGGATTTGAACTACTCTTCTCTCAGTCAAAAAGAAAACATATAAAACAAAAATAAATATTCAGCCTTTTTTTTTGTGACTGAGAGAAAACAGACAACAGTAGAGATGCTGTGCACTGCACGCGCTTTGACAAGTCAATTTACCGGAGAACTCCATGTCGTCCGGTGCCGCTTTTGTGTAACAACCTCTGTCACTTTTCACTTTTTCCCTTTTTTGATTTTGATATTATTTTTTACAGCTGAATCAAGATAAACTGTATAAGTAAGTGTTAAATTTGCACTTCAAAAATATCTGGGCCTAATTTCATAGAAAAAGAAAAATGTAAGCCGCTTTATGTAACTTTTATTAAATTGAGTTAAGTACGGGGTGTAAATGTTCTCAAATATAAGTACGGGGTAATTAGGAAAATTTGTATAAATCGAAGGCGTCAATAATAAGTGGGATAGTGGTGTCACAGGATCCAAACAAGGCATAAATATATATTTATCTCCTTCTTCTTCTTCGATCGGCTTTTACACTTCTTCCCTCGTCTCTCTATTGACTCTGTTCATCGGAGTTTTTATATTCGCCATGGACAAGGCACAGTTGATCTTGTTGGGTCTACCGATATTCTTATTTTGTTCGGATCTATTCAACCTTTTCACTCCTCCGCCACCGAAACCTCAGCATCACCGTCCCCACCAACCACCGCATATTCCTCAACAGCAGCGTCCGTCTGCGTTCATCCCTGAAACCCTAGATTTTCCTTTACAGGTAAAATTTCGTTTATTTCATATCTAATTCACCCCGCTTTTTTTTTAATCTCTCAGTTATCGCCCTTGTACCTTCCTCTTTTGCAGAAATCAAACAGCTTAGGAGGAGCAGTTGGATATGGAAACACCGTAGAGATCAACTTCTGCGTCTCCTGTTCTTTCAAGTAAAATTTGGATTTCTTACTTTGAACTGCCTGGATTTGTAATCGGGGTTGAGGATTTCGATTTGATGTGATCATTGCTTTCTTACTTGTCTTTGTTTCAAAGCTTCGGTTTTTAATAGTATTGTAGTGTAGTCATAGAACCTACTACGCAGCAGCTTCTAAGTGAGGTTCTCATGGTCTGCATAAGAAACATTAGGCCTAGTTATAGTGAGATACTTTGGGCGTTATAAAGTATTGAGTTTCTTGGAATTTTTCACTGGACATATATGTAATGAATCCTGCAAAGTCCCTGATTCTGTTTCGTATGTGTGAATGCAATACGATACGACTTCTTCAAATTACTCTTTGACGCATCAGGATCCCGTTTCTTGTTGATGTATGTGAACTTCTTCGTAAAATGCATATAACGCTAGCATTCGACAGTGTGATTGGTGTTCTGCACACATTTTAAAAGCTTGGTTCTCTGCAATCTGTGTTTGTAGGGGAACTGCAGTGACCATGAAGAAGATGTTAGAGACGGCTTTTCCCGGTTTAGATGTGGTTCTCGCAAACTACCCGGCGCCAGCACCAAAGCGCCTTCTAGCCAAGGTTGTGCCGGTTGCTCAGATGGGAGTGATCGGTATGATAGTTGCAGGTGATCGTGTCTTTCCCATGATTGGAATCACGCAGCCACCTGCTTGGTTCCACTCCTTGAGGGCCAATAGATTTGGATCCATGGCTTCCACTTGGCTTGTCGGAAACTTTCTGCAGTCTTACCTTCAAAGCTCAGGCGCGTTTGAAGTTCTCTGCAACGGGGAACTGGTTAGTATTCATTCACACATATCAATGTCTTAGAATTGACTGCAGTCCACGATTTGTTAAAGATGAGTCACGAGTAACTTGTACGATCTGGTACTTGTGTCATTTACAGGTGTTCTCTAAATTGAAAGAAGGTAGATTCCCGGGAGAGATCGAGCTGCGAGATCTCATCAGTAAAACTTTAACAGGGCCTAGCATCGTCGCAGGTAGCTACTGAAGTAGTATCATCAGAAGAAAGAAGCTTTCGATGTGGAAAAGGCTTCGCAAGTATTTGACACGCAAGTATTTGAACACGATCTCATGAGCCAGAAAAGTGTCTTTTTATGTTTCTAGTTAACATCATGTTTGAGCATTCCCGATCTTTTCAGTTGATGTAGCACACCTTGTTCGCTGGGTTTAACTAAGATTTTACTCTTTGATTCATTCATTTTGTCTTAGAAGTTGGAAAATGAGGCATAAAACCAAAAGCCATCTTCAAGAAAAATAAATGAAGAAATTTGTCTGGAAATGACGAGAAATTTTCATATTAAAATCAAATATACAGATTGGAGAAAATTATAGAAACTCAAGAGTTTCATTTAGTATCAGACAAACTGAACAAGTAAGCTGCTGTTTTCACTTCTTCCCTTTTCGAAGAACTAACGTTAGGTCAGCCTCTGCCGCCGGGACTGCGTTGGCCGGTGGCCGGAGGAACGCCGGGATCGTGTTTTGGGTTCGCAGACGGGTCACCGTAATCCTCGACGTTCACCATCAACAACCTCCTTTCGATTCCATTCTTCACAACGCCTAAAAACCATACGAAATCAATCAGAAATCTAAAAGATAAGATTGGATCGAAGACAACAAAACAAAAAGAAGAGATCCGGACCTGAAACGGAGACAGAGTTACGGGCTGCAGATGTAATTGTAAGCGTGAATATGAGACACACAACTAGACGAACTACAAAGTTCATCTCCCTCTCTCTCTTTGTCTGTAAAAATTAGAAAGAAAAAGCTTTCATTTTTTTTGGAAGTAAACTGAAAAATCTTCTGCTATAGGTTCGTGTCGTGTCCGTCGTATATTTATAAAGAAACGACAACTGAGTGTTTTGTTGTGTTTATCCAAAACTGATTTACTCTAAAATCGCAATGAATTTATACGTTTTCTTATAAACTCATTTTTCATTAGTAAAAAAGAGTAAGCGGATATGGAAAAAAGTCAGAGGGAGACCAAAAAGATGAGGACACGTGTCATGGTAAATGCGGGAGTGGGAGATTACGTGTGCAAAGCGTGGTGCCACGTATGTCACATCATTGCCAAGCTAGTGGAAGTGTGGCTGCATAGGATAGGGACTATCACTGTGTATTTTTGTGGTTCGTCAACGCTCAGCACATATGGAATTTACGATGATACCCCCAACCTCCTTTGTTTGACTTTGTTTCCCATTTATTGTCAAACGGGCCACACCCGACCCGCCTGATCCATTTCGCCGTGGGTCTAAAACCTTTTGCTTTGTGAAACATTGGTACTAAAATAGTATGCAATGCATATATGTACCCATTCGGATTGAATTTGGCAGATGCTGGTTTTCTAAAAACGTTTTCTTCTATAATTAAGTTACTGTAAGCTGTAACCAGTAACCTACACCAATCTCCAAAACATGTAGAATACTATATATACTTTAATATATATATAAAAAATTGAAGTTGAGGTCCAGAAGTTTTTATTGATTCAGAAGACGGTTGATATTATAATACATACGAGACAAACGTAAATCATTTTCCCAAATAAAATTAAATCTACAACACAACAAAATTAACTCTTTGTACTAATCTCTAAACTATCATAGTTTTGCCATAGGATCCTTTTTGTAATAGTGTAAAACTTCCACAGTAACCCACTGTAATTAAATTTTTTTTTTTAAACTACCACAGTAACCCACTAAATTACCATCAATTAATTAAAAAGTATATAATGATATATTTACAACATTTCTATAATATATGACGTTAATTAAACACAAACCTAATAAATATGTATTATTTTTCCTTGCTCTACGCAAATTTTCATTTACATTTAAACTATTTTTTATTTTTATAAAACATTTAATTTTGTTGTATTTTTTTTTGGCAAATTGTTATTGTAGTGTTATAACCTTGATTTGCCGGTAAAATGAAATCGGAATGGCGCGCACACGTGAGCTAAGATAGCTAACACTCAAGAAGAATATAGTGAAACAGTAGTAGAAAACTAGAAATGCACAAGAAGTTCTGCGAATTCAAGAATTAGTCACCAAAAAATTTACTGCGAACATTTTGTCGATATCGAATCTCGGAATCCACTCAGGCCAATTAAAGGGTTATATTGTACAACTTGTACAGTACAGATAACTCCGACTCACACAGTCACAATCAAAACTTATATAGAGAGAGGCTAACAACATATTCTCGCTCGCACTCCACAATCGACTAAACCTGAAACGGATCATATTCGCTTATGATGGATTCGTTGTTACAACGACTTTCCACTGCATGCTGCGATAAGTCGATTAGGAATAAGCTGAACCAGTTTCTAATTATTTGGTTCGTTTAAATCGGCTCATTAACCGAAATGAGAACCAAAAACAACTATTGTATTGGTGTAATAAGAAGTTTTTATTTAAATCAACCAAAATATAGAAACAGAAGTTTTTATACATTTAGAAATTATTGGAAGTTTACGGTTGATGGACCGACAGGTATGAAGATATGGTACACGTATCCATGTAGCATGCACCTTGCAGGTCAGAATTTATGCCTTATTTGTGCTACAAATATAAATCCGTGACAAGTGACAATGTCCCTCATATCATTAGGAAATAATATATTATAAGGAAATTTCATATTGAGGGAATATTAGATTACAGACAAATAATTAGCAATTATCAGTAAGCGTAGGTAAAATGCGCACACACCAGATAACCCATACTTCAATTGTTTAAAGTAATTTATTGGAATGTGTGAAAGAAAACAAAAGATAGAGAGATCTGAGGGAGGGAGAGAGAGAGAGCTTAAGAATTTCATCGGCGGAGAGATGAACAACAGCGAGTCATATCCACCGGATTTCCGGCGTGTAATCAACGACGGAGATTCTCCAGCTACGGCAGAGGTCGAACCGGTTCTTGTCCAGGACAAGGATATCCATATCCCGGTTATCGATTTTGAGCGTTTGGACAAGGACATGCTAACAGAGGCATGCAGGGAGTGGGGAATATTCCGTCTGGTGAATCACGGAGTACCGTTGGCGTTGACGTCACAGCTTCAGGAGATCTCGGAATCGTTGCTGAGTCTGCCGTTTGAGAACAAACGGGAATTGTTCGGCGCCGTTAACTCTCCGTTATCGTATTTCTGGGGAACACCTGCTCTAAATCGTTCGGGAGATGCACTCAAGAGAGGAACTCAAGCTCCAAACGTAAGCATGGTCGAAGGTTTCAACGTTCCTCTCTCGAAGCTTCCAGCTTCTACTTGTTGTCATGATGATGCTCAACATTTGAAACTAGAGTCTTTCAGGTAACTATTATCAATGGCTATTCAGTTATTCTAATTCATCAGTCAAACAGTCAACAACACTCGTAGACTACAAGTTGAAGTACTCAAAAATATCAACATACTGTAGCTAACTAGGGTAATGTACAAAAGTCTATATATATAGTCTTTACTATATAATAAAAGGGAAAATATATGAAGTTCGACGAACGTGGTCATTTAATTCTGTATATTAAATTTCTGAGATGGGTATATAATATAAAATCATATATTTATTTTAGTGCGTTGAAAACCATTGAAGATATATATTAGTATAAGATATTGTAAATATCAGAGATAGAGTTTGTGTGTGGGGGTGTAGGCTGTAGAAGTGACGACGAACAGTACGTCGTGACACGTGCATGGGGGTATTGGGGTTTTTGATTGACAAGATGTTTACTTTTTCGTTTGGCTACTATGCTTTTTAAACAAAAATCACTATACAATCCGGGTTACTGCTGATGTGATGAGACGTTGTCTGAAAATTAACCACTTAATTGAAGTTTTTGGCCATTGTATTTGTTGTACTCTGTTCACTAAATTCAAATAACTGTTTCCCATTATTTGAAAAATGGTAAACAATAGCGGTTTAGTAATCTTAGCATCATTTTATATAATTAAGATCAAATCCGATGTTGTTATTTTAACTTTGAAGTAAACGTCCAAGATTATAAAATTCCTCAAAACAACCAATCTAAACTGGTCAATTAGTTGAAAGATTTATCCTAACAAACGAAAGAGTAACTAAGATTTTAAAAATTTTGATTGGCCAATGTACATTTTATAAATAAAGAACCCAAATTTCTACTAATTCTAGAATGCCACGCCGCACCCGCACATGCACGTAATTTCCCACGTAGTGTTGATTTCACCATTTCAATCTTGTTGTAACGCCTGTGATGTATTTTGACAAATAAAATCTTCAAACCCTAGTGTTCGTATATATATACCCCCCAAAATAATGATATATTTTGGAGAAAAAAAAAAGTATATGTTTGAATAATTACAAAAGCTTAAGACTGCGGATTTACTTGTCTAAAATTCACTACCGTATTCTTTTGTCTGTGTTGTGAGTGTGCAGAGTGCTGATGGAGGAATATGGAATGCACATAACTAGAGTTGCTGTATCCTTGTTTGAAGCTATAGCACAAACACTGAACCTAGACCTATCCGGTGACCGGAGATCACAATACTTATCGGAGTCAACAGGGCTCATACGGGTTTACCGGTATCCCCGGAGCTCCTCCGTAGACGAGGCAGCCGGAGAAGCCCTGGGAATGGAAGTCCACACAGATAGTTCGGTGATCTCGATACTGAAGGAAGATGAAACCGGAGGGCTTGAGATCATGAAAGGTGAAGAATGGTTCTGTGTAAAACCTGTTGCTAATACCCTCATCGTCAATCTGGGAGATATGATGCAGGTAAATTAAACATATTCATCATGAGTTTAGTCCAAGTATTGTATTTTTTTCTTTGACGTATAATACGAACTCATAACATATACAGGCGATGAGCGATGATGAATACAAGAGTGTGACGCATAGAGTGAAGAAGAAGGATATGACGAGAGAGAGACACTCGGTGTGTTATTTTGTGTTCCCACAGAGCGATTGTGTGATAAAGTCTTCGAAGTATAAGCCATTCACTTACTCAGAGTTTCAAGCTCAAGTTCAGGCGGATGTTCAGTCTCTTGGGACCAAGATCGGCCTTCCTAGATTCATCCCAACTTCTCCATTCTTTCTCAAAGAGAGAGCTTAGTTGTTAAATTTTGGGTGAGATATCTATAAAGAGCAATTTCACTATTATTATTCATAAGTTGATCTGTTGAATGTTAAAATAATCTTTCTTCAACAATAAAACGACGATTGATCCACTACATTTTTTTTTTTTTTTGTGATAGTGATAATTGCCATAATAAAAGCAATTTGGCTTTAGTGTCAGTTGCCATAATGTAATTTTGCTTTAATTTGAATTTGCCATAATGAATGCAATTGATATTAGTGGTTAGTGGACCACATCAACTGCTCAAACAACTTTTTGAACAAATTGTTGATACTAAAATCACAAATTTCACAATTTTGGTGATCTTATACAAATTTTTCTTTTCATCTCTGACAAACTTACCGAAACTTAATTTATTGACACGAGTGATGAATGAACATCATCAACAAAGCGACTAACGAGGCTCCAAGACAAACCGCACTAACAGTCTCACGTGCTTGAAGACCTCTCCGGCACGATCGTGGAGTCGGACGGCACGAATCCCGGGCTTGACCTCCAACAACGGAAGACATGTCTGACCGGCGAAATCGTTCTGAGTGTTACTGTCGTAGTCCTTGACTGTGATAGACAGAAGCGCTAACTCAGGAACACGCAATGGGAACTCGAACTCTTTGTCCCAAACCGGAAACCATTCGTCCGTATCTGTTTCTGTTCTGTAACTTGTTGTGTCCAAAGGTACCCCTGCGATTCCGATCTGAAAGAAAAACAACAATAGGTAAGCCAGGTGACTTGACAGGCAAGAAACCTAATTAGGGTTCTTGAAAACTAAACTTATTTAGTTATGTTTCTTAGCTGTTTCACATGAGTGAATACTTGCCTTTGCGTAGAAATCGGGAGGAGAGTATCGATCAAAGTGATCTTGAGGAAAATCTAGGTTCCACCCTTCTCCAGTGTAGATCTTCACCTACTCATACACAATAGGAACAAAGCTAAGATGCTTTCTTGTATATCAAGAAACAAATGTTGAAACTTAGACAGTGAAGAAACAGAGACAAGGACAGAACCTTAAGGGCTGTCTTGATCGGGAGGTTTTGACAGCAAGGGTCAAAGATTTCACCTTTAGGACCATTGGAGAGCAACACATCAGGCTTTTTCACATAGCCACATCCACCGTTGGCTTTAAACATTCCTTGCATCATCCACAAATACTTCCCATGACTCTGCATCAACACAAAACCAAGTATAATCGATATATGATCTAAATCTTCTTTGTATTCAAAATCTCTGGTTATAGCAGAGAGGACAGTGCTTCACATCACTTACTTGCATATTAAAGGCAACCATTTGAGCACCATGAATCCATCCAAAGAGAGGATCATAGTTAGATGAGTCAAATCGTGTAGTCTTTGGAAATATCCTCAGAATATTCCGCTGCGTGAACTTTACTATATCGGGTCCACGAGTTTTCACCAGAGTCTCAAGCCACTGCTCGCTCATGCTTAACCGTATGACTCGGTTAGGATCTCCGTTCAAGCAGTTCTTCAGTCCTCCTTTGCGGTTCCCAGCGTGAATCGAGATCAAGTCTCTGTATTCGATCGCTACACTCTCCTCGTCTTCATCTTGAATCTCTTCTTCTGCATCTGCAACTTTCTGTCACAGCACAAAACAAAACTCTCAGACGACATCAAGAAACACTAACGGTTTTACTTTTGCTCTGTTTTTGTTATGCTTACTTTGGATTTTAAGGATTCATCTGTTGTTGAACCTTGAGAGTTTTGGGTCTGAAGATACTCTTTTGGTGGCTTTGTTGAGATCAGAATCTTATTCTTGAGCGATTCTGGTGAAGGAAAAGACTCTGTATGTTCGTCCGTACATCGAAACAAAGTCTCTCCAAAAGTCTTGCTCACCATCTACAAACATTTTTCACCATCAAATCGAGCTCAGTGTTCTAAACAAGATCCCATGATTTATTCACAATCTTACCTTAGCGACTTTCTTTTGAAGATTTGGAGGCAAATGGTCTTCTAAAGTAAGCACAACAGGATAATCAGACACCTGAAACGCGTTTTCCTTTACCGCGTTCAGACATTTCTGTAGATCTTCGGTACTTGTCAACGTCCTGAGATCATCAACAAAACAAATCAAGAAATTGTATATAGTCTTCTACAAGGACTAAATTATTGAGTGAATCAAGAAGTGTTATAATAGTAAGATTCAGACCCGCCATGACGAACTTCAGCTTCGTTTCCCGAAGAGCTAGGCCATAAATCAAGCTCGATGACACGAACTCCTCTTCTCAGAGCTTTCACAATCGGTTCGATGCTGCTTGTACTGTTGAGCTGATTCCCGGTCAAGTAAGAGTTATGTCCCGTGTACAGGAAGTAATGCGACAAAGGCTGATTCATATCTTGCCAAACCTGAAAACCAAAATTCCATAGAAACAGATTCAACTAAACGAAAAATCATTCTCTCAGAGTAAACAGATCTTATCCTAAACTTTACCTCTCGGGTCAAAGGCAGAGGAGAGTTGAAATCGCTGAGGAGATAACGGTAGAATCCTTCAAGATGAATCCCACGAAGGTGGAAAACGCCGTGATGTTTGAGTCTGTGAAATATATCTTTCACGTAGTTTAAATCTGCGTGTTTTTCTCCTTGAACTTGGATCACGAACCTGAGCATCTCATCTGCAGACATCCTGCCGTTTTGGGAGTACTCGTCGAAGAGTGACTTGATTTCTTCAGGTGGCTCACTCGATTTCACCTTGAAGCTTCTCACACAGCAGAAACACACTTTGAATGATTCCTTCATTTTGTGAAAGTTAAGCCAGACAGAGAAAAGGAACAGAGAGATTTTATTTGTTGTTCTTGTTTGTGAAACACATGTGTGATGTATTCTTCAGATAAAGTGAGCACTTGTTCTGATGTAATTATCTCAAGGGACCTCAAATAATAGTGATCTGAGAATTTTTCTTGTTACAGAAATAAATAAAAAATTGAAGCAGAGAAATGATCTGTCGGTTGCCTGAATTGAAGTTAGTATTTAAAGCCAAGCAGAGCCGTTGACTAAAAGCAGAACCATTAGGTGATTGACCAAATGTTTTTTTTAAAACGTTATAACCAGTAGCTGAGAAACTGGTGGTAATCTCTTGACCGACTTCACCATATAAAAAGATCCAAACTTGTTTGTTTTATGATCATTTATTATCATGTGAAACAGAGCATGTAGTGTCAACTTTATTGAATTTATTATTATACGAAACGAGATACTTTAATGTCAATACTATTGAATTTATTATCCATACGAAACAAGATACTTTAATGTCAATTCTTTGGAATTTATTATCAACATCAACACTGTTGATAATGCGTTTGGACGATTTTTTTCACATGATTTTCGCCTAACAATAATCACATGATTTTCGCCTAATAATCACATGAACCGCTATATCAATACTTTTGATAAAAAACATATCACATGGTGCAAGAAAAGAAAAGGAAAAGAAACAAAATGCTCTAGTACCAATTTTAACCAATATGGTTTCTATTTCCTTTTTTTTGTCTTACATACATATTTAGGTGTAACGAGATGTGACCTATAAAGGCCCATTAATAAAGCCCAAATCACTCACGCATCAAATTGTATTTACATCTCTAATCTCTCTATAAACAGTTCGTATTTCACAAATTGTAAAAATGCGATTCGACAGACAATTTCACAATACTGTACCACCAAATCGAAGATTTCAATCACATCCACTCTCTCGTTTTTGTTGTCTCGGTTGCCTCAGAAGCTCAATCAACGCCTCCGCCTTCTGCTTAGCTCGACTACTCGTGCTTGTCTGCGACAGAGCCACCACCGGAGGAATCGCTCCTTCGCGAGCCACCATGGTTCGATACACCACACTTTCCTCGCAGAGCTGCAACAGTATCGACACACCCATCTCTTTCTGCCTCTGTGTTCCGACCTCCACGATCTCCACCAGCATTGGAACTCCTCCTTCCTCCACCACCGCCGGCTTCGATTCCGGCACAGACATCAGCAGGTTCATCACGAACGCCGATTTATCCACCATGTTCGATTCCAAATCCGCCATCAGCTCCACCAACGGCTTCATAATCCCCGATTGCACGGCCCTGATTTTGTTCTCCTTCGCCGAGCACAGCGAGTAAAGAGCCGTCGTCGCGTCCTTCTTCGCTCTGAATCCGCCGGTTTCTAGAAGGTTCACGAGGAGAGGAATCGCTCCCGACCTTCCGATCGCGATTTTGTTGTCTTCGATCTGCGATAGCCGGAGCAGAGCGCAGGCGGCGTTCTCTTTGGTCGTCGGTGTCCCCAATTTCAACGCCCTAACGAGCGGTTTAATCGCGCCGGAAGAAGCAATCAGCACCTTGTTCTCGTCGCAGAGGGAGAGATTCAAGACGGCGGTGACTCCGTGCTCCTGGAGCAGAGAATCCGAAGACGAGATCAGAGAAATGAGCGGTTTAATCGCGCCGGCTTTAGCGATTTTGATCCGGTTCTCCGGTTTGTTCTTGGATAAGAGCCTGATCTCCATTGCAGCTTGCGTCTGCTCATCGATCGAACAGGAGGAGTCGAGATGCGCTACGAGATACCGGATCAAATCATCGGAATTCTCAGTGGTACAGGAGAGGAAGAGTCGTCGGCTCTCGGAGGAAGCCGTTGGGAATTCAAACTCGCCGGATCTGTCGCTGTTACAATCGCTGAAAGCAGAGGAGGAGGAGTCGTTAAGACTTGAATCGCTGAGTTTCCGGTCCATGATGATGGAATTTGCTTCGGCTCACAGAGAGCATCAAAACGCGGGTGAGGAAATAATTTGTGTTTGGATGCAATTGCAAGCGAGAGAGAAATAACCTGCACATTTAAATTTGTTTTTATTCTTAATTAAAATGAAATCCCACCAATACGATGATTCAGTTTCAGCGTTACAAAAGTCAAATTTCTTAATCATTAAATAAATAACTACGTTGTCTAAAAAGACCAAGTCAACTAACATGTTTTAGTCATTGGTAACGGAAACATTCGTCTTATATAAGAGCGAAATGGATAATTTTACCTTTAATACTTGTTGCTGAAAAAACAAATGTTACAAAGCAATAAGATAATGAAATATTATTATTCATAATTAATAGTAATAATTTATTGCTATAACATGTCATTTTGTTTCATGCCCTGTTGAGAAAATTCAAAACAACCAAAGAAGCAAAACAATCTGAAGCAAATAGCCACTTTTTTTTTTTGCTCGGAGGTCCTGTCCCACTAAACACAGTAGGAAATTAAGTTTTCAGTTTTGGATCTTCAACTTTTTGAGAACGTGTTAAATCTTTGGAGACAAATTCAAGATTCTAGAAAACATATATGAATATTAATTTCAGAAGGTTCAGGCTAATAGACCAAGCTTCTCAAAAATCTCAACAGTCAACATCACTCAGTCTCATAAAAAACACAATAGTGATTTTTTGCTTGCGTTTACATTTACATTTTGCATTTCTATGTTATAATATTATAATCACAGTAACATGGAAAGGCAAAGAAACAATCAGAAGCGTACGTAAAACTTGATATATATAAATCTTTATTAACCGGTCAACAGTTAAGCAAAACTCAACATCACAAATAAACTCATATACTATTTGCTTCCAAAAAGATATCCAACCATAGTTATTTGATTCGTTATTACTTATAATTTATATGTACGGATATTGTGTTGATTTATACATATACGTTATTAGTGTTGATTGATTTTTTAATCTGCGGTAAACGCTTCTCTGCTACAATCTGATAAAATGAGGAAGAAGAAAGAAAACTCTGTTTTTTAAACAAACTGAAACCGCATGAGAAGTGTAACTGCAACTAGTCTCTCGCCTTTGCGATCATACAAAGGAACAGAACGTATACCCTGTCTAAGCTCTGACACAGGCAAACATGTCTGTCCCGAGAAATCGTCCTTCTCTGGCATGTTGTAGTCGTGAACTTCAACCCTGAGCAACGCGAGCTCCGGTACCGTAAGCTGAAACTCAAACTCCTCGTCCCAAAAAGGCTCCCAAGTGTTTTCTTCTTTCTTCGTTTTCTTCATTACCTTATCAGCTCTCACTCCTGTTATCCCCACCTGGTTTCACACAGTAGTGCAACCCACATGAAACAGAGAGAACCATAAGAGAAAGAAACAGAAATGTAGAGTCCAGAGCCAACTAAGTTGCTTACCCTTGTGTAGAAGTTAGGAGAGGACCAAGCGTTGAAACATGCTCGCTGGAAACAAGAGTCCCATCCTTTCCCCATGTATACTTTCACTCTCAGAGTTGTCTTTAACGGTAGTTTCGCTTTCGGGTCAAACACTTCTCCATTTTGAGCTTTGTTCATCATAAAGTCCGGTTTTTTCACGTACCCGCATCCACCATTCCCTCGAAACATACCATGCATCATCCATAGAGCTCTTCCGTAGCCCTGTAGATGCAGAGGCCCAAGATGCATCGGGTGTGTTGAGGTTTCAGTAAATTTTTTAAAAAGGCCTGAGAGGTAAAAAAATTGCAAACCTGCATGTTGCAAGCAACCATTTGAGCTCCGTACATCCAACCGCTGAATGGCTTGTAGTTAGAGGAGGTTACTCGAGTGGCTTTGGGATATATCCTCAATAGATTCTTCTGTGTGAACCTAGATTATGATTCTAGTCAGCTTAGAGCAAAGAAAAACAAAAGCAATATACCTTCTTTAAATGGGCATGTGATGATACTTACTCTATGACTTCGGTTCCATACATTTCAGTGGCTTTCTTGAACTTCTGCTCCCTCAAACTCAGCCGTCTTATTCCACCATTATCGATCGTTAGTGCTTCCTTCAACCCTTTTCTAGCATTTCCGGAAGGAATCAATATCAGGCGACTGTAGGTGAGGAGATCCAAGTTTCTGGATTCTTGATCAAATCCACCCTCTTCATTTTTAGCCTCGCTTGGTCCTTTCTCAGTCTACACAAGTCATTGCAAGCAAAGAGGAAAAAATTAAGATGACATTGAGAAAAAAAAAAAAAAATCCTAAATATGGATTATAAGTACCTTCTCATCGCCTACTTGGTCGGCTGAATCATCTGATGATGCCTTTCCTGATACATCTGACTCGGAGTCCTTTTCCTTATTCAGGTTCCCTTTGGGAAACTTTGTGGATATTACAACTTTGTACTTGAGATCTTCCGGCGAAGGAAACTCTCTTAAATCGCCAGACTCGGAAAAATACACCATATCCATGAATGTCTCTTTCATCATCTGTAGCAGCAACAGAGAAAAGGAACCAACAGTTTCAATATTTTCAAGAACTTCTTTAACCAACACGGCAATGATCCTTCAGCGAGATCAAGAAAGCACCTCGGCTGCTTTGGCTTGAAGATGTGGGGTCAAATGATCTTCTAAAGTTAAGATCACAGGGTATGCAGATGCAGAAAAGGCATGATCTTTAATAGATCTCAAGCATTTGATCAGTTCCACTGGAGGTGTCCATGCCCTGACAAGAATCAAAACATTCTTGTTTTATGAAAATTTTAGAAAAATGTCACAACATAGATCATAAGACAAGGACATACCAGCCATGGAGAACAAGTATGTCGTCCTTTGTAGAGTTTGGCCACAGGTCAAGCTCAAGAGCTCGAACACCTCTCTTCAACGCCTTAATGAGAGGTACATCGCTGCATTCGCTGTTGATCTGATTCCCAGTAAGATAGGAGTTATGGCTCGTGTAAATGAAATAGTGAGACAAGGGAGATGCCATGTCTTGATGCACCTGAGACAACAAAAACTCAAAGAGTACTGAACCTTTTCATGTTGCAAGAAAAACAAAGACATTAAGATAGAGAGAATCATTTACCTTACTAACAATTGGATGATTCAGATCATCTGAGAACAAGAAACTGAAGAAATCATCTAGGTTCAGTGTATGCCTCAAGAACTTAGTGATATGATGTGTTGCACTTGTGATTCTTTCTATGATCTTCTCTGCATCTGAAACCAACACTTCGGTCTCCTTCTGCACCTGAACCAAGAACCGATACAGCTGCTCTGCCGTCATGTGGTTCCCGCCCTCCGTATACTCTACAAACGCCGCAACTACATCTGGAGGTGGAGCTCCTCTGTTTATCCTCATCTTGTCACTGAAACACAAACTCATTTTGTATCTTCCCATCTCTCTCTTCATCTCGAGAATAGGCAACAAGATACTTTACAAGCTTTCCTTTCACCAGCCAATAGCTATTTATATTCTCTCATCTCCAGGATTCTCTTCAAAAAGTTCCTGCAATTTGGTTAAATAACAACTCCTGCATATTTGGCATCATCTTCATACTCATCAACCAAAATATATATATATCTATCGTTCTTTTTCTTCTTCCATACTTTATAATAGTTATATAGTGATATGCCTCCTTTTGCTCAGTGCTCTTAGCTTTCCTCTTCTTGAAAAAACCTCACTTTCCAGTAACCAGCTTAAACAAATACTATGGTATCTAATTCCAGAAGCATATGATGTTTCTCAGGGAAGCTTCATGGGCTTCAACGATTGGGTTTCTCACACTTATCATTTTCTTTCTTTCCTTTCACATTTCACGGTACCCAAAACCTCTCGAGTCATTGTTAAAATGCTGCTAAAGTAGTCTTTGAAGAATCTCAAAAACATCTCTTGAGTTTACCAAACTCACCCAAAGATAAAATAGAATCAAGAATCTTTCTTCCTTCACTTATAAAAGCATATATGGGTGGTGTGGTCTCTGTCTACGGATTAGGAATAAATACCTTTAGATTGTTAAATGTAAAGCAACACTAATATCTTTGATTAGTTAGCTATAAAGGGATTCATATAGCAACAAAAGATCCCAGAATATATACTCTACTTTAAAATTTCACGTGTTTAGTGCAGCAAGCAGAGAGACAAGGGATTAAACAACCATTAATGTAGTAGCTAAAGATGCGAAGCTTCCTGATCTATAAGTCCTCATGCGTCTAAATAAGTATTTTAAGCTAATCCAATACCAAATGATCCAGAAAAAAAAGAATAAGAGAGATTATGTATGAGATATGCTTGTTAATCTTATTATAACTTAACAAGAACTTCTTAGTTTTTGGTTCTTATTGAACAAAACTTCATCCCAAGAAACTAGTAACATATTTATAAACGACCCATAGAGAAAAGGAATGCAAAAGACCTATATATATCTCAGGTAAAATTGGGATTGTTTTTATTCCTCAGATGAAGAGGCATAAGACGCATAAAACACAAAGAGGATACACGTAACAAAAAAATGGCGTGTCTCAGACAAACTCAAAGCGCATAAGAAGCCGCGTGAAGCTGTATTTAACTCCCTTTCGATTGAAAAGCGGAACAGCGCGTATGCCTTGCCGTAACTCGGACACAGGTAAACAAGTTTGGCCTCCAAAATCGTCTTTTTCATTAGCGTCGTATTCATGCACTTCAACGCGGAGCAGAGCAAGTTCAGGAACAGTTAACTTGAATGTGAACTCCTCGTTCCAAATGGGTGTCCACGTATCATACTTTACTTCTGTTTTCTTCATCGCCTCATCAGCAGGTGCTCCCGCAATACCCAACTGTATTCACCCAAGAGTTAAAATTCCATTCAAGATCAAGAAGATAAGAGAAACAAAGAAGAAGAGTAACGCATACTCTAACGAAGAAGTCTGGAGGAGAATAGAGATCAAAGTGAGTTTTGTTGAAGTCCAGGTGCCATCCATCTCCCATACATACTTTCACCTGCCCATTGTTAGATGTTTAGCAAGATAGTATTAGGAGAAGGAACCAACGGATGTTCAAGTCTTTAGCAAACCTTTAAAGTTTTCTTTGGAGAGGAGTTCTCGTTGGGATCAAAGACTTTTCCATTAGGACCTACATTCATAAGAAAATCTGGCTTCTTGACATAACCGCACCCTCCATTGGCTCGGAACATTCCTTGCATCAGCCACAATGCTCTTCCATACCCCTGCATTTATGGTTTCTAAAGTTTCAAAACGGTAAAAAAAAATCTAGATGACGATACAAGAAAATGAAGATCTGAGACAAACCTGCATGTTGAATGCAATCAATTGAGCTCCACTCATCCAACCGATCTGAGGTTTATAGTTTGAAGAGTTAAACCTTGTGCCTTTGGGATATATCCTCAGAAAGTTCTTTTGCGTGAATCTGCTCACATTGTGAGGTTCCTAGATAGGTTAACTTGAGATACTAGAAGCAAAACACAAAAGCTACATAGATAGTGCTGGTTTAGTAAGTGATACCTTATAACATCTGCGCCATATGTTGCTACAGCTCTCTCAAGTAATTGCTCACTCAGACTAAGTCGTCTGATTTTGTTCGGATCAACCTTTAACGCCATCCGTAATCCCCCCTTTGGCTTCCCTGCATGGATGGCGATAAGGCGCTTATATTCTGGTGCTTGCAATGGGCATGACACATCAAAATCACGAGAACCCCTCTCCTCATCATCGTGGTTGACATAGTTTATACTGTTTGAGACCTGAAAAATCAATCAAAACGAACATGCACATTCAAATCAAAGCCGTTGACGCAAAGAGGATCTTGGCCTATTAAACTTGGGAGAACATTACTACAAAACCTTGTCGAGATCGGATTGCGTAGAAATAAGATCTGCTGGCTCTTTCCCCCATACATCCTCATCTGAATCTTTCCCTTTATCTCCATTATCTTTCTCCTTCACATCGTTAGCTTCTAAGTACTCCTTTGGAGGTTTCGTTGATATAAGAATCTTTTCCTTCAACTCTTCCGGTGAAGGAAACTCTTTGCAACTCTCAGAGTCATGGTAATACAACATATCTCCAAATGTCTGAGTTATCATCTGTATACACACACACACACACACAGATGGAATCATAAACTTTTAAAAGGACTGAGACTATATACTATATATAGGATGAGAAGAAGGACAAAAAAAAAACCAACCTTGGCAACTTTAGATTGGAGTTTAGGAGTGAGATGGTCTTCGAGAGTAATAATAACAGGATACTTTGAAGTAGCAAAGGCGTTAGCTTTAATTGACTCCAAGCATTTACCCAACTTAACGGCCTTGGTCAAGGTCCTGCCATGCTTAACGCAGACATCATCGTTGCCACGTGGCCAGAGATCCAGCTCAACCACTCTCACGCCTCGTCTCAATGCATCTGCAATGGGAAGGTCACTGCAGTTGCTACTCAGCTGATTTCCGGTTAAGTAGGAGTTGTGGCCTGTGTATATAAAGTAATGTGACAGAGGAGCATCCATGTTATGATGGACCTGAAATATATACACCCAACTTTAATGGTTAAAATCACATTTCAGAATCTCTATGCAACCTTTGCACTTAGGATCTCCACAAGTAATCAACTCCCTAGAGTAGAAAGTATCAAAAATGGAATTTTCTAAATTTAGACCGGTGAATCGAACATTCAGAATCCCAGAATTTCAGTAGCAGAGTAAAAAGGGAGTTTTTATAGGAAAATCCAGAAATTAGCCTAAAAGAAAGAGAGACAAATAGTGATGAGAGAGAAAAGATAATACAGACATTTTTTTCCGGTAAAATCAACAGATAAGATTTCCAAAAAGTCGTAATCTTTCTTTGTCAATCTCGTCAATAAGCGAACATCATCGACCCCAGATTCCGAAAATCCGATCTTTGCCCATTTTTCTCGCATTTTCACAGGAACATGAAGAAAGAAAAAAAACAGTTGACTCGGAGAAAAGTTTGAACCTGATCGCCGATGGGAGGATTGAGATCGGTGGAAAAGAGAAAATAGTTGAAATCCTCAACAGTGAGGTTTCGTCTCGTGAACTTTGCAATGTGGTGTTTCCGGCGAAGCACCTCGTCAACGATCCTCTCCGCCTCCTCCAAACTCGATTCTCCTCCTCTTTCCTCCGCCATGAGCTTCTGTAGCTGCTCCGGCGACATGTGAGCCTCACCCCCCGCGTATTTCTCGAAAACATTTCTGACGTCATCAACCGGACCAGGCTCGGTCACCCTGAACTTCCTCGTGAAGATCAGACACATTCTGTAACTACCCATATCGCCCTGACTCTGTGTCTGTGTATGTATCTGTGTATGTATATCGTCGTGTTTAGATCCAAGAAGGTGGAAAGGTGATACCTTTTCTGCTTCTACATAAATACTCAGATCATTCCTAATATTTAATGTTTGTTTATTTGGAGAACATTTGAGAGCCTCGTCAAACCTCTACACGCTCACATCTGAACACAAGAAAACAAAAAAAAACTTGTTTACTGAAAATCTCTCGTTTTTTTATCTCTGTAATAATTTAATAATGATTCTAAACCCAGGAAACAAAATGACTAATTTAAAAGGAGTAAATCTTTCTTAGCCTCATGTTAAAAGAAAATATGTAATGCCGAGAAAATACCACCAGGTGTTAATTGTTTTTTCCCGTAAACAAAAAGATAAAGATATTGTTTTGTTTCATTTTTTTTTGTGAAGTGTGTGTGAACATGGAATATAGATATTTTGTCAAAACCAGATTTCAGATATGTTGAAATAACAAGGCACCAAAAAAAAAGTATTGGCTTTGGCTATATTGGTGGGGCCAGTTTCAGAGCTTAAGTCTTTGTTTTGTTCTGTTTTGTCTTTATAAATTCACTTTTAGGCACAGAACAAGGAAAAAAATAGAAGGAATAATCTTGCTTAGTTACTAATGATAATAGCAATGTAAAAAGATATGGTATCAGTAGTCTATCAAACTATCAATTGAGAATAATCTTGTATTAATGGTCTAGCTACAAGAAATATACTGAAAGCTTGGACCAGAAAAAGTTAAAACAATATTTAAATAGAAGTCAAATTTTAAATGTGAATGAAAACGTGCTTAGTTATATGATACGGACATTAAATGTTTATTAAAACCACTTAGAACCAGAATTATGTCATGATTATGGTGTGTTTTGACTTTTCACTAAGATATGAAAAAGACTTTTGTATGATAAAAAAATTATTATTATTCGACCCGATCATCTCTTACGTCAGACTTTTTGTTTTTGTAAATGTTATCAATTATTACATAAAAGTTAACAGTTATATTACAACTTTGGTTTATATCAAATTTAATCATAAAATTCTTTAACAGCATAAAACAACCATTATGTCGGTACCAGCCTACCAGGTACAGTTTTCTACCGACATACGAGGTGAGTAATAGACTAATGGGCTGTAACTAAATAAGTGAAGAGCCCATTACTGTTCTAGAAACATCTGGGGCCCAAATTATGCTATCAATTTACAGTACGATTGATTGTATACCGATAGCCAGGTGGCGGAATCTGATTGGCTATCGACGTGGTTTTGTTATGCGCAGGTGGAAAAAGAGGTCGACAAACAAAACAAAAAAAGGGACTCTGGAGAGAAACACATTTTGCACGGTGCGAGATGGCGAGCTCAGTGACGCTGCTTCTATGGAGTCTTCTTCTTCTCGGAACCCTAAGCGCTATTGAGGTACATTTTGTCTTGTTTTTCTGAGCCTTTTTCTTCTCAATTATTCGATCGATTTCAGAAAATATGTTTTATTGTGTTCTTAGATTTTGCACGATCTAAGATAATACCGAATTCAATGCGATTAATTACGTTACATTTTGTCTTGGGATTCCATGTTGATTTTTCTTTGATTCGATGTTTGATACAATATTATTTTCTATCATCGCGAGTTCTATAGTGTGTTTGAGATGTGAATTCGGAAGGAAGTCGGTAATCCAATTTTCTCAGTGGTTGAATTGCCGACGTGAGAGATTTAGGAAAGTGGAACAATAACCATGAGGTGTTTCGGAAATTCTGAAATTGTTCATTACGATGTGATTAGATTCAACATCTTTGAATTGGATTTTACGGAGAGCTAGCATGATGTGTGCGTAATGTTGTGTCCAAAATCTATTGGAATGATACGGCTTCTAGTGTTTTATATTGATTTCCGGATGTTTGGTTTCATGTTTCAGGCCAAAAAGTCGAAGGAGAAGGAAAAGCTAAAGGAGATCACACACAAGGTTTATTTTGATGTAGAAATTGATGGAAAAGAAGCTGGTATGACCTTGATCCTGAGTTTTTTCTTCTTCTTATGATGCATGTTTGTGCACTTAGTTCTTGTGCTAAGTGAAATTGTTTTTGATTTTTTCGTTATTGTCTTCTCCATTGTTTTCCCCTGGAGTCTTTTCTCATATATCGACTGATGATTTGTGTCCAGGTCGTATTGTCATGGGTCTATTTGGCAAGGCAGTCCCCAAAACTGCAGGTACCTTTAACCCTTGACATGTTTTCTTTTACCATTTGGTTCTTGATTGCAAGTTTAGTGTATGATCGAAATATTCATAAGAGGACTTACTTCCTGAGTTTTTTTTTTGTTTCTACAGAGAATTTCCGAGCTTTGTGCACAGGTACGGAAACAAAATACTAATCATTCTCAATCCTATGTCCTATTTTTCGGCCATCACTTCTTATTACAGCAGTATGGATACCTTGAAATGAAAGCTTACATAAACCGTATTCTCATTTATACACAGGGGAGAAAGGAATAGGTAAGAAAGGGAAGGCTCTACATTACAAGGGGAGTTCGTTCCATAGGATCATACCAAGCTTTATGCTTCAAGGAGGCGACTTTACACATGGAAACGGAATGGGAGGAGAATCTATCTACGGTGAGACGTTCGCTGACGAGAACTTCAAACTCAAGCATACTGGTCCAGGTGTGTGCTTCTTCAGTATTCTGGGTTTAACAACATTAACGGCTCTTTGCCTAAGTCAGGTTTTAACATGAAAACAATTGTTTCCCACAGGATTTCTATCAATGGCAAACGCCGGTGAAGACACCAATGGATCGCAGTTTTTCATCACGACTGTAACAACAAGCTGGTGAGTACAGAATCAAACGGATTTCAAACACGTAAATGATATGTTGTTTTTTTTTTCCTTCTTTTGATTAGAAAGCTCGGAGCATTTTTTTTATACAGGTTGGACGGGAGGCACGTAGTGTTCGGGAAGGTAGTGACGGGAATGGATGTGGTTTACAAAATCGAAGCTGAGGGGAATCAGAGTGGAACTCCTAAGAGTAAAGTTGTGATTGTGGACAGTGGTGAGCTTCCTCTCTAACTCAACTCTCATGGAGTTTTCTCCATTGATGTGAGCTTTAGTGCTTGATGATTTACTTTTTTTTTGTTTAAACGACTCTCTTAGCCACTTATGCAACGTTCTACCATTCTGACTTTTTTATGAATATTCTGCCTGTTTATAACTCAAGCAACATTAAAAATAGAATTTATGTCTATGTCTGATGCACAAATGTCACCGTACAATGTTCTTCACCGATGAGCCTAGAAGAGTTGTTTTCTAGCTTCTTACACACAGTATTATCATTATGTATCTAGAGTCCGTACCATATTCTTCGTCGTATCCCTATTAAAGCCTGGAAGAGTTGTATTCTCGTCAATATATTTTAAATACTTTCTTTCTAAGAAACGGTACTATTTGAACCAAAGTTAATCAACGAAAAATATACATTATGTTTGCGTTAACCAAAAGTGGTTCATAACTCTTGGATAGCGTGAATAATAGAAAAAGGATAATTAAGGAAGCCGAGTTTTGCTTAACATTTAACACACAGACATCAGATATAGACAAACAGTCATAGTTCCAAGATCTAAAACTAAAACCTGAGTTTAATCTTAGTTTTAACTTACTCGGTGTCACTCTCTGTGCCTAAGAAAGTGAACTCTCTACTACATCCCTCAAGCTTGATCAGCAATGTCCCTCTGTTCTCTTCACTATACTTAACTCCTTCTCTTTCTAGCAGCTTTGTCACCTGATCGTCAATAATCATTAATTACCATAATTTCGATACTCAATTCTTCTTTTTGTGCACGCAATCAATCAGGGTTATCTACGTATATTGGTTCTAGAGTTTGAATCCCATTCGGTTGAAATGTGAAAGGGTGTTGAAGAAACTTACCGTTTGTTTCACTTTCGACTTCCCAAACCCATGAGACCCACATCCTGTGATCACTCGTAGTGTCTGAATGGCTGGATCATTTAAACAATTGTTACAAGGAAACGAATATCTCGGGGTTTTATAAAAACAAGACGAAGCGAGATGACCTGTTAAAGAAGAAAAAGCCGTGTTTGGTGAGTTTGGTGAGTATACTTACAAGGGACATATGATCCGAGTAAGAGATGCATCTTCAATAGCTTCATTGCTTGTTTAACGTGCTGACCATGCAGATCAATGGTTATCACATTCTCTATACCTTTGTTTCTGCATATATGTGGATGCAATAATGGGTTAGTCCACAGTAAAATGAAAGGTGAAAGCGTATCAGCAAACTTCTACAATGCCTTAAGACGGCTAACCTCGCGACGAATATATCTTGGCTTGCCCTCTCATCTGCCCGTTCAGCTAATTTAGATGCCGCTCTCCCCTATAAGAATAAGAACACAAGTTTAAGGTCTCACGTCCAAAAAAGTTGCCCTAATAGCATGAAAAATAGACCATGAGGTGCACCTTATCCGAAAGGTAAGCCGCATGAGCCCTCCCTCCTTTCGAATATGCTTCTGCAGCCTTCAACAAAGTGACAAATGCATTAGTTTGTATTCTGTTGAGGAGGAATTCCCCAGTGCTAGAGATATAGACAAGTAAAACTTACTTTTTGATAGTAAGACTTCGTAACATTCCATTGGTCATTTGCATCTTTTCGAAATTCATGATATCCGTCATCCTTCACTGCAACACATGTATGGATTGATTGGTAACACAAATTTTGACTAAGATAAATTAATTCACGAGTTGCAACACAAACAAGCAGTCGAGACCTCCCAAGTTTTTGCCAATGACACCATAGCAAAAACTGCGAAGTGTTTCATCGGGTAAACAACATACATAGAAGCTCTTAGCCTGCAAACTCACGGTAAAATGAGCCTGCTATTTGCAGCCAAATACGCAAATACTAAAAAATCAAGTAGCCATAGTAAAATACCAAAAGTATGAGGCTGAGACCCTTCCCCGCTAGATGAAGAGGCATCAATGCCAAGTGACTGCATTTTCTTTGCGACATTCCTCCAACTCATTGTCTTTGGTTCGTGTTTAGGACTCTGGGGAACCTTGAAGAGAGACTCCAACACCTTTTGTGGAAGACCTTGCTCAGAACTTCCTTGGCTAGTTGCAAAATTATCTGCAGGACTCGTGAGGGCTTTTGAGTAATCCCTAGCATGAGAAGAAAAAAAACAGGCAATATGTTTAGTTATAACTTCTTCCCAATTTTGAATAAACGCAATTATATTGTGATGTCTTAGGAGTAATTTAAACATCATGTGTTCATAAAACTGAATCCTCCACCGTCAAATAGTTCGTTTATTGCTCTTTTGTAGAAGATGAAAAGGACTAAATATAGGATGAACAAAGGAAAAGTTGCACGGAACTAGTTATGCTGTAACTAGTGAATAGCAATAACCAGAAGAAGGCCTAAGAATCAAATGGCAGTACCTTTGACTACAGCCTATACCCCAGAATAGTTCACTTTCGGAAGTATCAGTATCAAATGATGTCTCTGCCAGCTGCTAAATAATGTCAGGATATTTAACTTTATTCTATAGTGATATACAATACAGATCTGTGAGGAAAACAAAACAAAAAAGTAATTACTTACACTATCGCTGAATCCTATGGCGGAACATCTACCACTTAATGAATCATCAGTTGATGAAGAAGACATGTCAAGCAAGACATTCAAGGCCTAAGAAGAAAAGAATATTAAGCCTTAAAATAAATAGCCGGGCAAATATCAGCATATTTCAAGGGGGGGGCTCTCCTGTCAATATACCAATACTTCCCCATGTACGTTTGAAGACTATCTGCTTACCATGTCGACATCGTAGCCACATTGACCTGCAAAAAGAGAGACACTTTTATGTCAATTTCTCAAACAATCAAGTATCCACTGTTTGAAATCAATTTCCGTATCAAAATAGCGATGATCATAGCACTTTCGGTTTGTTATATAAAACCTTAGATAAAGTATGAAGCAACTGTAGAGTAATACGCAATCCTACAAAACAAACATCTTATCGTAAAGGAAGAAACTAGCTGAAGAAGAAGAAGAAATACTCACACAGCACATCTCTAACAACAGCCATGCTAAGATCGCAATCATCTCCAAGCATTGAGTTTAGGAACTGTTCAGCTTTATCTCTATCTGCAGCTTTTTTCCCCTTCATACAGAGCTCTTTAGACCTTCCCGTAAGCTCCTTCCGCACAGGGTTCGGCTTCATGTAATCCTTCCCAATCACAGAAGACACCATCCCTGTGGCAGCAATAACTCTATTCTGCTTGCTTCCTTTAAACCACCTCTCCCTCGTTAGGTCTTCGCCGCAGCTCGAGCTTGAACCAGTACCGTACTCAGAGGTAGACCCGGTTTCCTGACCCGAAGACCCACTCGTGACAGAGCTCGTAGACGGGTCATCGCCGATTTCCACCAGATCCGACAAAATTTCGGCGGCTTTGTTCAGATCTCCGCCTGCGTCTTTATAAGCAGCCGTCGCTTCCTCCACGGAAACCGAGCAAAAGGCCTCCATTAACGACTCGATATTTTTTTTTCCAACTTTTTCTGATTCCAACTTTCCTGCATCGTGCCTCCTCTCCTCGTCCAAGTCTTTATTGTTCCCGTCGGACGCCGCTCCATCACCGGATGGTTTCACGGCACAAGACCTCTTCTTCTTCCTCTTCTGCTGGCTCTTGTGCTTCATTATCGCACGTATGTAGATGAGAAATCGTATCAACGCCGTATGAAAATCTACAGCAAAATTTCCGATCAGCAGAACGAAACGAAACCTCTAAATTCCGACGGGGAGCGTCGGAGAGAGGGAAGAGGAAAATTAACCGTAAATCACGATTCAGAATTTGGGTCGTAGTAGAAAGACGCCAATATCAGAGGAATTGTCTTCATCCAGATTTGATTGGGAATCGGAATCGCCACGTCAGCCACGCGCTGATGGTGACAACGTTTCTTTTCCCGGTTCAACTTTCAACCAATTATAATTAACTTTCCGAATTTGATCTTCTTTGATTTATTATTAACTTCGGCTCATTTACTCATGCAAAATAGCATAAATAGAATATTTTCAAACTTATCCAAACTCATCTCATCCGAACTTTTTTTTTTATCAATTTGACATTTTTACTTTCAAATTTGAAACCCAAACAACTTGGTAAATGAACTTGTGCGTGTGAAGATGCTGGTCGTCGCTAAAATAAATATCCAAAATCCATCAATGTGTAGAAGAAGCTTACAACTCTTGCAAGAGTCTCTTTGTTAGTTAAAAAGGATGATGATGATTCATGAGAATCTTCGTATTCACAACCACCGATCATCACAGGTCACAAGACTCACAACAGTGTCCACTGACCAGTAACTTTGGTTGAAGTGGAGAGTCGGCAGAGGGAAAGCACGAAAACCGAGCTGGACTTAGACGCGCATGGAACTCTTCGTGGTCACTCTTATGGCTGCTTGATAGATTACATTGCTTCTTCCTTCTCTGTACCTCATCCTTCACTCTCTGTATCACAAAGAACGAAACTATTATAGTGAGTGCATAGAAAAAAGGGAAATAACCGATGAAAAGGATGAATCCTTGTGACTTGCACACAGACACAAACGCATTAAGGTTCACTTGCACTCGCCAATGGCCGGATTGCTATCGAATACGACCCTCATTTCAACATATAGAATTAAAAGATACACATAATGTTTTCCATTGATCGGATCTAAATTTCGTTTTTGAGAGTAAGGCGCGAGGTGCTACTAGAAGAAACTAAACACTAGCAAAGAATCTGGTTCCGATACTTAACTAGGACTATGGTATAAACATTACCATACCAATCTTTTTAGAGCATCAGCACAACACATCAGGCTTAACAACATATGCACATCACTATCATCGGCCACTACCATTCGTGCAACACTCACAGCTCGCATTTCAAGTAAACTAAAACGATAATCAAAATCAAACCTGAAGCATCATCAAATCGAACTTGGGCTGACCAATGTGCTCAACAGTAATGGAACCGAAGAGGTTCCCCAACAATGAAGCATCAGAAACATCCAAACCCTCTACAAGCCCGACCACCAAACCTCCGAGGAAGCTATCTCCGGCGCCGGTTGGATCCACCTGCTTCGCCAGGAACGGAGGAACCACCGTTTCCTCGTCCTTGTTATAAATCCTACACCCTTTCTCACCATTAGTCACCACCACACAGCACAGTTGCTTCATTTGCTCAACGTCCATGAAAAGAGCTTCGTCTGACGAAGCTTTCAAGAATCCGATTCTATGCAGGATGTGATGGAACCCACTCTCTTTCAAATTCACGAGCTTCACGGCTCCGTCGACGGGATCGAAGACCCTGATCAGAGCCTGAATGTCCACAGCCACCACGTCGCAGATCTCCACCATCTTCTCCAGCGTCTCCGGTAGAATCTCGCCGCCGACGCCAACAGCCATCCCGAAATCGAATCTCGAATCGGGGATATCCGAAGGGAATATCGGATCACATGCAGTGACCCGTTTCAGTACCCGATCGGCGTGCCCGATCCCATCGATGCCCAGATCGAAATACGCCTCGAAAACTGTGGTCTCCTTCTCCGGGACTACGATCGGGGCGTGGCTAACCTCGTACCTGAAGTCGCATCCGACTTTGGAGACCAGATCGCAGGAGACGGAGGAAGAATCCAGGACATTAGAGATGAAGGAGGCGGCGCCGCCGAGGGTTTCAGCCACGACGGCTCCGTTTTGGATCAGAACGTCGTGGCAATAGTTCCCGACGATGAGAACTCGGCGATTGGGAATTTGACGCGGCGAGTGAGGCGTTTGCTGCGACGGAGGAGGATTCAGCGTCATGATGGCGGCTATCGCAGAGGATCATCGAGAAGGTAAGCTTAAGAAGGTACCGAAAGTGGAAAGAAGAATCATGGAATAAAACTAAAGACGACCCAACAAGAAGAAGAAGCAGTCTACGCGAGAGACGGAAAGAGCCAAAAACTAATGGCTATAAGCTTTATACGAAACGTCTTGAGATTCGTTCTTCTCTCTGTCTTATGATATGTGTCGCGATGAAGATGACGCGCGCCTCATTCAGCTCCCTTTTCTCTTGTTTTTTTTTAATCACAAACATCTCAAAAGATAATTAAAGTATGGAGTACTGTTTAAAAAATGTTGGCTTCTACGAAACTAGATTCTGCCCAGGTTTTGTCAACTAGCTGCCTCATACGTAGAGATTACACAGCTCTGTGGAATTATTTGATGTTAACCACTTCTGTTGTCGAGAAGAAAAGAAATAATCAAACAGAGACAAAAGTCATTTTATTTATAAGTGAATCAAATAGCTTAAAGACGTATTACATGATTGCTAGCTATTACGAGTTATACAGAGCCATGAGAAATTTTGTAAACTCAGAAAGTTATAAGCCATGGTGACTTTCGAGTTTTATAATGGGTGATACTATAGAAACAAAGAGTAGGGCAATACTTTGTTTTAGTCAGAACGAATTCCACCCATGAAGCTCCTCGGATCTGGACAGTTACCCGTGAACTGAGCTTGTGAAAAGTCAAATCCCGGGTTCTGCAAAAACCGACAGAGACACAAACATTTGAAAGAAAGCTGAATCAAAGAGAAAAGAGAAGCTTCTCGACCTCAATACGAAAGTAAATAAAAAGTCATGCACACAAAGTTATATCCAAAAGGCACACATGGATCAGACCCATGTGTTCAGTCTAGCCATGTTAATTTTCTCAGTGCATTTCCGAACCGTTAAGACTATTGAGTGAACAATTTCATTACCATATTCAGGGAACCACCATAGCTTACACTTTAGGTTAACTCTACAAGCAGCTCTATCCGAATTGTTCATTCGTGAACATTAGAGAGATTCACAAGAAACAAAACTAAGAGAGCTTGAACAAAGAAAACAATCAATGTGATTAGACATGAGTCATCCAAAGTGGATCATCTGTGCCAAAGTATTTCTATTTTGACATAGATTCATTCTACCCAGTATATAGTGCCCAAGATCTGCTATAGATATCAAGCAGATGACCAAGATTAGCCTTCCACTAGTAAAGATTTTTTTTACAAACAGAAACCATATCAAAGCAAGAAGAATTTACGCATAACTAACCTCTTCTTGAAACCTCTGCAGCATGAGCCGCTTCTGTTCTAGATCGGTGGCGTAAGGATCCAGCTGACCCTGTCCTAGAATCGGTGATGCCCATGTCTGGCCTTTCTCCCTCTTCTGCAGGGTGATGTGCATTATATCATCCTCTGCCAAATCGAACAGAAGAGTTCAGATTAGCAACTATAAATCTAAACTTACAGATGCTGATAATAACCCATTAATATACAAAACACGAAAGATAAATGGAGCGTGGATAGAAAAATCAGATGAGATCAAAACACGATAGTTGCATAACATTCCATCATCCATCCTATACTCTCCAATTTTCAATTCCAAAACTATATGTACAGTCTATACCAACCTCGGATCACATTTTCAGGTTTAATTATCCTCTCTAGCAATGAAATGGGTTCAAAAAGTAAGGTTCATCTTATAAAAAGAAACCTAACCATCAAATCTTTCTCGGGAAAACAGGCGCAAACACAGACACACACAAACAAACAAAATATCGGAATACCTAAGGTCCAAAACGAGCAATCTGTCTTCACCGGAGCACTAAGATCATGCTGAAAATTGACAAACATTAGTCAACTGTGACGAGTTATATATACCACACTTGATTTCTCCGGTTAGTGAGAGAAACGAAATCCAAAATGTTGAAAGGTAGTAGTAAAAAGAAACTGACATTGAGAAAAGGAGGGTTGCCTTTGATGCCAACTTCGAGATGTTTCGACTGGATTTTGCAGTGGAAAGCTTTTGGATGAACATTTGGCGGCAAAGTTATGTACAAGTTCACCTCTTCCAGGGTTTGATCCCACTCAAATACCTTTTGCCCTATAACACCGGAAATGGAAGAACAAAATCGATCAAACCTCTACGGTTTGCAGCTAAACATACCAAATAAAACAAAACTGCAATAACATAAGCAAGAGAAAGAGAGAAACCATTGTGAACGAAATCGTGTCGCTTTTCTGGCGCAAGCTTCTCCGCCATAGCTAGGGTTTTTTTGTCTCTGTTCCCGGATAAATCGAGCTTTCAGAGCTGATTCCCAAAGCAGATGCAATCCAATCGATGGAGACTCACTCACCTGTCTTCAAATCGAAAATCGCGAGTTTCTAGTAGAGATGATATTGATGTAGAGACCTAAACCGTCGGAGCTATCAGATCGCGCCGGTAAATTACGCCGAGAAGAATCTGAGATGATGAACTGTTGTGCAGCGTCTCCAACCACGTGTCCCCCACGAGTCAGCGAATTCTTGGGATCGAATATTATCGATGACTCTACTAGTTGGGCCGATCTGTTTAGCTAGAAGCCCATATTTTAGTTATGAGGTCCAAATTATTTCAGTTTAGGGCCTACTGTGTCGTCCTCTGCTTTTATTGAAAACTAGGATATAACTTGCGGTTTATATAATTTAATTTTACAAATGTTAGTTTTGTAAATATAATTTTAAAATGTAATTTTATTATTCTACAACTTTTTAATCAAAATAGTTAATTTACAAATAATGCTAAGATGTTATAAAATATGATTAGTTATTTTTTTGTTAATCGTATACATGTTTTTTAATCAACAAATTATATCATAAAAGTGTATTTGATTTTTAATAAAAAGATAATACATTAATATTTTTCTTCTTCTTTATCTTATTTATTATTATTTTTTTTTTTGTTCTTCGTTTTAGAAAATCTTTATTAATGTTCTTTTTGTACGTTTTTCTTTTTCATTATTCCTCTTTTCTTATTTTTAATAATTTTCTTCTCTGTTTTTTTCTCTTTTACTTTTTTATTATTTTTTTATTCTATTTTATTCTTTTTATTCTTCCTTATTTTCCTTTTTCGTTCTTTTTTATGTAATTTTTTGTGCTTATTCGTTTTGTTTGTTTTTTAATTTCAATTTTTTTATGTTTTCTTTTCTCTTTTCTTCTCTTTTTTTATTTTTTTTTCTTTTCTAATCTTATTCTTTATTTTATTTTTCTTCAAATTTAGCAAAACAAAATTGAAATTAAAATTTCTTATATTAAATAATTTTATTTAATATAATATAAATAATTATTGATCTAACATATTTTAAGGTTTTTCGGTAAAATAAAATTTAAACTCTAAAATATTATTTTTTAATTTTGTTTTGTCATTTTCTATATATAATTTTATAAATTTCGAATTAAAAATAAAGAAAATAAAGTGCTTCAAAAAATTTAAACAAAAATAAGTCTTTTAATAAGAAGGATAACAAAATATTAAGCCCATAATGAGAAAAGTAATAAAATTTAAGCCTTTGATAATTTAATGAAAATAATAGATTTAATAAATTTTTATATAACTAATAGAAGTCTAATGGCATATTAAGTAAATAACACATGAAGCAAAGGTTAGTCTTCTAAAGTGGATTCTCTTTTAATATAACTAGATGAGTACCCGCGCAATGCGCGGATTTTTGTTTCAAAATATTATTTGTTATAAATTTAGTTATAATTTATTTTATTGTATACTTCTTTTTTATGAACTATAATAATATTTTTTGTCTTTGATTTCTAGTCGTCCTATGATTTTAACCTGATTATGCAACCTCTTTTGACTATAGTTTACAAATATGTTATAATTAAAAAAATATATTATTACATATTTTGACTATAATAAGAAAAAGTATTTATCAATTATTTCATATTTTATTATTGAATAAAAAACTTAAATTTTTAATGATAATTTATTATATATGAGTTTTTCCTAAAAATATTGTGTATTTGAATAAATATATTATACATATATATATATATATATTTTATCGATAATAACTATGTATGTGATAAATGTTTTGTTACCAGAAAATGTAAATTGTATTATGCATTTATAAATTATATATAAATTTAATTAGCATGTAATTAAAAGGTAATTAATTAATATAATTTTGGTTGCATTAAAATAATAAACAATTAATTATAAATTTTAAAAAGACAGATGTCACTCTTTTCAATACTGATGTAGTACTCAACCGGAGAGAGTTGGCCATCTTTTATATTATAGATACATTTTTATCATAATTTACTCTGTCACGGAAGTGTTTAGCTTTTATGTGATAGAGCGTTCTATTAGAAAAGTCATGAATTAATTTCATTAGATAAGTAAGAAGTTTAAGAAATAATTTCTTTTAATTACTTTCATCTATAAAGATTATTGGACTGAATCTTTTGTTGGTTGATAAGCTGGTTGGAGAGAGTTAGAGTTGAAAACAATCAAATGAACTTATTATCAGAACGCATAGAGGAAATTCAAAGATGCATTTCTGCTTGTGAAAAAAAAGGGAATATCCAAATTTTTAGTGGAGCTAATAGCATATGAATATGAATAATCCTTTTAAATCGCATTATATAACACTCTTTCACAATTCCACGAATCGGAGCTACTATTCTTTGAAATTAAATAAAATGTTGATTTATTCAATGCATATAATCAGGGGGAAGACAAATACTTGAACCAAGAGTCATGTGTAGTTCTACCACAAAACATGGTCCATTTTAAAGCTTTGAACAAAGCCAAGTGTCTCGTTTTTAGCTTTTCAATGTCTTTGGGACCAGAGATACACTGTACCCATCTCCCTTTCAGTCTCTCCAACGCAGACCGGACAACTATTGTCATTCGTCACTTTTAATTCAATTTTATCATACTAAAAAATAAGTTTCATGAGCAGGATTGACGTTTACGTGATATGCCGAAAAACATAAGAACAATATAATTTTTAATTACTCCAAATTTTGATCCATCAAAAAGCTTTATTTCACAATTCCATAAGTTTTCTCAAATTTTATAAATTTGTCTCATCGATGTTGAAACATTTCCTTATTCCGGAAGATTAATAATAAAAGCAACTCAACCAGTTCCCAAATTTTTATAGGCAATGCTTTCCGCCATTTTGTTATACCATTTTTTTTTTTTTTTTTTAAGTTTCACGATATGACAAGTGGAAAACTAATAATCATGGTCAACTAGTAGTCATATCGTTGGCCATTCCATAGATCTAGACTAAAAGTCTAGATCATCTAGTGCAGTTAGATCTCAGATTGGTGTAGATTGTGGTACATGAGTTTGGGTTATATATCACGACGATAGTGTAACTAGTTCATTGAATCAGTTGTCGGTTAATATTCTGTTTTGACCGGTACGTAAGACTGTTAATTAAAAGAAATACTACCATTATTAGAGACCCACTTGAAGCGTATTACTATTTCTTTTTATAAACCGGCCGGCAACGTAACAGCCACGGCCATATTCTGCCTCTCGCATTCTCCACCGTCCGATATTAAGAAGAGGACAAAATGCTGTACACGATAGTTCATTTTAAAACTATAAGAATTGTGGTTTTTGTACGTAGCAAAGTACACAGCCACACATTAAATATACTGTATAAAAATAAAGAATCATATTACACGATCCCCAATATAAATAGATTATTCCTAAAACTATAGTACCAGAAATTCTCGGGTATGGGAATGGCTAGGTTTGAACTTCGAACCATATCAATGATCACTCCACTCTTGCAGCACTGCTCAACTCAAACACATAACCTAAACCTAGTCCTTACGAAATGCATGTATCTTATTGACGTAGATGTCTACACTGGAGCGTGTATGTTCATATTTTCACGAATTTAACTATTTTTTTCTTCGCCGTATATCACTTGGTTTTATATGGCGAGTTAGCGTTCTCTATCACAAATCAATGTAGAGAGAGATCCGGTTACGTAGTAGATGTTAAAAGCCTAATAATATGTAGTTATGCCGTGACCGTCCACAAAATAATAACTAAGAATTTAAATTTGACATTTTTTCTAGTAGGTATGCCCATATAAACACGAATATTGCTAGCAGTAGTACTTATGCCATCCACAGAAATAATATTTGGATTTTTTAACTCCATGAATTCCGTAAATTTTCTTATAAAAACTGTAACATGCATGAAACTACAAGCACTGTTGACTTTAATTTATTTATTAGAGAATTGTGCTTTGTTATGCTAAATCGTAGCTGTGTCTAAAGCAACTTGCTTGGATATTATAAGATAGCCTTTTAAACAGGTAGGCATGGCATCGAGTCTTGAAACTCTACGATAACCCGTTGAATCAGTCCCACAACTTCTTCTCTAATCAATATAGTACATATTTAATAACGTAATACAGTATATAACATCCATCGAAGCTCACAATGTTATTCAAACTCCAGAGCTCTCTATTAAACACAATGGGGTCTGAAAATGGCAGCTTGATGAGAAGAATCACAGAGAAAAACGAAGACGAGAACGTGGCGTTAATCTTCGGCGTCACCGGACTCGTGGGTCGGGAGATTGCAAAGAGGCTATTAATGTCGAAACCCAAATGGAGAATCTACGGCGTAGCGCGAAATCCGGAGATCAATTCCACGACGAAGATAATGTACAGTTTCATCTCCTGCGATCTACTTAACGCGTCTGAGACCAAACAGAAGTTGTCTCCGTTACAGGACATCGTGAGTCACGTGTTCTGGGTCACGTGGTCTGGCGAGTATCCATTGGATAGCGACGAGTGCTGCGTACAGAACAGGACGATGCTGACAAACACTCTGGACGCGATTCTCCCAAACGCTAAGAGGCTAAAGCATTTCTCGCTCCAAACGGGGATGAAGCATTACGTGTCTCTCGTGGGAGAGATGCTGTCTCGTGGAGAAGGTTCGAGTTTGTGTTATTACAGCGAAGAGTGTCCGAGGAAGAGCTCTGGGAGAAATTTCTATTATGCTTTAGAGGATTTACTGAAGGAAAAGATGTCAGGTGATTCCGTTGTTTGGTCGGTTCAGAGACCCGGTTTGCTGATGGGAAGCTCTACAAGAACTCTGTACAATTTCATGGGGAGTCTGTGTGTTTATGGAGCGGTGTGTAAGTATTTGAATCTTCCTTTTGTGTTTGGAGGGACAAGAGAGTGTTGGGAAGAGAGTTACATTGATGGGTCTGACTCGAATCTAGTCGCGGAACAGCATATATTCGCTGCGACTAGTGGGAGAGTACGCGATAAAGGTGAAGCCTTTAACGCACTTAATGGGGTAGGGTTCACCTGGAAGGAGATTTGGGCGGATGTTGGGAGAAAACTTGGAGTGAAAGTTAACGAAACTACGATGTTTGATGAAGGTTTTTCGTTTGCGAGAGAGATGGGTGAGAGAAAACACGTGTGGGATGAGATTGTGGTGAAGGAGAGGCTTGTTCGAACCGATATTGAGGATTTGGCGAATTGGGTTTTCTTGGATGCTCTGTTTAGATGTCCAGTTAAGCTTCTTGGAAGGAGAGAGAAAATAGATAGGTTTGGGTTTAAGAGGAAATATAGAACCCTAGATTCGATTTTGTATTGGATTGATGTCATGAGAGATGAAAATCTCATTCCTATGTAAGACAGGTGCTTTGTGTTTTACACCCTTTGGGAACACCTAATTTCAAAAAATGGAAATATTAGCTTGAGCAGTGTAAATCATGGCATGTATATGAATCAGTAAGTTAAGTCCTGTTTGTTTTGGCAACATATAGATTACTGATGAGTGAGTTATTCAATAATGAGTTTTCCACAAGAGCTAAATTCATTATACCAAAAATCATAATTAAGCAGGTCAAAGAGATTGTTGACATGTGAAAGTAGTGGCAGACCATACTTCAACAACAAGGTAATTGGCTGGAGTCGGTCTGTTTATAGTTTTGCTACATAAACAATACAGATCACTTCTGGCTGTCAAGATGACGTAGAGTAAGACTTTTCATCCCCTGTTTCCTCTCATCACTCCAACAAGAACAAAAAAACAGGGCAGAGCAAAAACAGAAGAGAATATTCTAGGATGACATAATCTCATTTTTACTGCAATTCGTACTTTATATACATGAAAAAAGAAGTCAACAAGAAGGTTACACAAAAGCCGATCATGCCCCCAAAGAGAAAGAAAAGCAAAATCGCCGGCCAAAGGCAAGACAGGGCATACTACTAAAACAGAGCAACCTACAAAAGGAAAATCAAAGTAAAACTGAGTTAGTAATACATAAAAGACCTTCTTTCTCCATCTTTAAGTTTTTGTCTTGCGAGTAGACTTGTTTGTTTTTGCTTGAGACTTGTTGACTTTAACGTTTTTGCCTTTAGAGCTAAACATGTCATCGTCGTCTTCATCATCGCTGCCACGCTTTTGTTTCTTTCCTTTCTTCTCGCTGTCACCGTAACATATAACAATCTTCTTATCCTTCTTCTCCTCAACCATCTCTGCTTTCTCCTGTGGCCGCCAAATGAACAGCGATCTACAAAAACCAGATTAGCAAACCAATGAGAGATCGGTCATCAAAACAGTTTTTACTAATGGTTACTCTTCTATCTGCTGGGGGTATAAACTCTCGGACCTTGAGCTTCCTGAGGCTAAAACATCTTCGCGCGGATGCAACTTGTTGACTGGAGTAATCGTTGTTATGTTTGGATCCATAACCTCCGCAACCAATTGTCCATTGCTTGCATCGATGAAATCTATCGGGTGAAGAGCAGCTCCGTTGTAGTTTTCACTGATGTAACGACCAACTACAATGAGTGACTCTGAGGTATCCTGTGGATTTTCAATATAACAAATGCTATAAAAGGGTGAATGATGAAAAAAATGAAACCTCATGTAGAGAGAGAGAGAGAGAAGTAAAAGTAACAAACCTTAGGATCCCATTCAGCTTTGAACGGCGTCAGATGCCGATTGAAATCATGGCTATGAACAATCTCTCGGCTTGGCGAATCCAAGTTCCCGAAGATGGAATCCCATATTCGAATACGGTTGTCCTGAGAGGTTGTGAGGATTTTAGTGCCTGATGATGGAGAGAAATAAGCAGAGTTGACTACTCGTTTGTGTGCAAGATCACTAAGAGAAGCTCCAGGTTCTAGTTTACGCATATCCCAGATTCTTGCCTGAAACCATAACCAAGCATATCCATAAGATTAACAACTTCCAACAGAATTCAGATAATATAGCACCAGAAAGCATGATCTTGTCTCTCTCTTTGAATAGACTTACAAAATGATCGTTCCCACAACTGAGAAGAAGCTCAGGCTGAACCGGGTTGCAGTCAAGGCAAACCACTTTGGTACCTTGCTTGTGTATCAAAATTGGCTCACCCGTTGTATTATTGGAACGATGGTCGATCCTTTTTGCACCAACAAAACATCACGAGACAATAAGTCCGGCACTCATTTTGACAGTAACAAAGAGTCTCGTCTAAACAATTTAAAGGGGATGAAATCACTTACATGTGAAGAAACCCGAAACTATCAGCAGCTAGCACTACACCTTTCTCCGAGTTTACATCCATACCGTACAACATTTTCCAACTGGTCGGACCCTATAAAACGATAATATGTGTCATATCAGAAGAATGGTGCAGAGAAGAAGAAAATCAAAGATCAGAGAAAAGAGGCGATGGTGTGACCTGCCATCCATCGGGGTTGAGATCAAGCAAAGTTGATGAAGTTCCAGTTTCCATGTCAGTGTAACCAACTGTTCCATCAGAGGATGCAGAATAAACCATGTCATCATTTGTGGGACTAAACCTGCAACAACGACAAAAGCAGAGAACTATTTGATTAAACAAAAGACATGAGCTTAAATGAAGAAGTAAAACCACAACAGAGTTGTGATCTTACCGCATGTTATTAACTTGTACAGAGTGTATGTTTCCATACACACTCTTCTCATAGACTTTAGCAAAATCCCAAACTCCAATTTGCCCTTTCTATCATAGTGTAAACCATACGACCAACAGAAACGATTAGTAAATAGGCGCAGAAGTTTCTGTAACATGTGAATGCTGTTTAGTCTAAAAACCTTATCTCCAGAGAGAAGAATGTTGTTCCTTGTTGGATGGAACTCCAAACACGTAACACGCCTGCTGTGGTATCGAATAACTGCACAATGCACGTGATCCGGAATCACATATGGTGGCTTGATCTGTATAGAAAGAAAACAAAAAAAAAAAGGAACAGATACTGTCAGTAAATCTCATCAGGCATCAAAATCACAACATCTTACGAAGGAGTCTTACCGGTGGAATTCTCTGTTGGAGTTGACGCTTGAACACAAAGTCTATAGGGTTCTTTGTATTCCTATGAGAAGTTGGGAGTGTTCCTTGCCCAGTAACCACTCTATGGGGACATGACATTGTGGTGTGGCCTTCAATTTGTGCAGTACAAAAAAGTAAATTAACCGTATGTCCATTTTCACCATCATCTAAGCTAACATTTTGAGCAAGTACCGATAAGAAATTGCGGATTTTTTTTACCAGGCATTTTGCATAAGAAGCAAGGTTTCATAGGACAATCGATATATGTTGCTCCTTTAAATCCAGCTTCATGACCAGGCTGTTTACAGACCTATAAATCCAACATGAAAGCAACAACAACAAAAGAAACAGAATTAAACAAGCAAAGCCAAACACCAAAATCCTCTGTCTCTGCATCTCATTGAAGAGCCCTAAGTAACAATGAGGTGGATTTCAGGCACTTGTTGTTAAATTCACAAACTTTTTTGATTCCTGTGATTTGTGGAATTGGGCCTTATACAATGAAAACAGAAATCAAAATCCAAAGTCATAGTCTTTTGATTCCGTAAAGCCTACCCAGAACTAGAACTGAAATCATAAACCAGATAAAGAACTCAAGCGGCTAAAACAGTCGCATTCGAAAGTTAGGGTTTTTCCAAAAGAGCGTTACTTTGCAAACTTTCTTAAGCTTAACGGTAATGGGTGCTTTCCCTTTCGCTTTACTCTTCTCCAATTCAGTTTTCCCTCCATTTTTGACCGGTTCGTCTTCTTCCTCCGACTCCGATAAGGGGTAGTTACCTTCTTCTTCTTCTTCTTCCTCTTCCCCTTCTGATGAACTTGACTCGGAATCTGTATCTCTAGCGACGACGATTTCTGGGTCATTTTTTCTTCTGTTCCTTGTTGAACCCATTTTCGGTAAAATTATCAATACCCGACAAAAAGAAGAGAATACGAATCAAACTGTTTTGTTTCTTTATGGGTTCGATGACGACGTAGCCGGCGCAAACTAAAGCCGGTCAGGTCGGTGAACGGTTAAATTAATTTTATGCACAAAAAACACTTCGTTGCCCCCACTATAATTGACTATTATACCCTCCACTTTAGAGTTCATATCCTTATCTATAGGGTAATTTTGGTATTTTAAGTGAAGTTATCGTGGCGGGAGAAGTTAATTCGTGGCGAATTACTGGCCGGAAACAAAAACACGTGCCTCACGTGCAATTGCAGAGATGGGCCCTTTAATTCAGATCACTATTGGGCTCTGGACCCAATTTACATTATCTCATAAATGAAATTGAATGCAATATTTGCGCTACATTTATTTGCTTGCTGCTATGATTTTTTTGTTTGACTTCTGGTACGAATTTTTTAATGCATTTCTTTTAATTTCTCAACTAGATGTTGGATGCAGATATATGACTTTTGAAGTAAATTTAATAAATATTTAAATTATGTAGTATAAACAGATTTATTATATATTATATTATAAGATAGTTTATTTTCTGGTACATATGTATCATGACTTTATTTCGAAAGAATAGATAGTCCATTTTTTATATATGTATAGAAAAGTTAATTGTCTTTTTTTTTCTAACAGAAAAGCTAATTGTCTTGCCGATGGATTAGTTAACTCTGTTTTTTTCCTTTCTTTAGATGTCCAGTTTTTAGATTCGGTTCCATCTAGTTTAGTTTTGATTTTCAGTTACGATATGATCGGTTCTGCGCGCCCAAGAAAAGTTTGTGTGTAGCTAGTTTTTATGTTTTAAATAAAATCAGGAGACAATGTCTCCCCCACCCCCTCCTACCAAAAAAACTATAGTTATATTAATAATATATTGTTTATTTATGTGTTATGAGGATTGAAATTAAATTTTGTAAATACAAAAATATAAAATTAAAAATAAGATAATATAAGTTACGTGCAACTAATTTAATATTGTAGACACACGAGTTGTTATTGTAAAATATGATAATATGTTATTGGTTTTATATGAAATTTATGTCTTTTAATATTGTATTTAGTTTTTTTCTTCTCTTTCTCCCTTCTTATTCTTTCTTCTTCATTTCTATTATATGTTTCTTCTCTTCTTTTTTCTGTTATATGTTTTTTTTTTTTTTTTCTCTTTTCTTCTGCTTCTTCTTCATCTTTTCTTCTTCTCTCCCTTCATTTATTTTTGTTCTTCTCCTTTTCCTTTTTATCCTTTGTTTTTCTTTTTCTCCGTTTTTCTCGTTCTTCCTTTTTTGGATTACCAGGAAGGTTTGGGCCGAAGTCTGCAATCTCTGCAGGTCCGAAACCACATCATGTAATATTAGTTTAATCCTAAGCGCCACTCGATCATGTGATCTCTAAGCTTTGTCTAGATCCTTTACCAGTCAAGTTAACGACTTTTGGTTACTCCTTCGTCTTCTTCTCCATTCCTTCTTCTTCTTCTTTTTCATTCTTTCTTCTCATTCTTCTCCTTCTCCTTCGTTGTTCTTCCTCTCCCTTCTTCTTCTTCTTCTTCTTCTTCTTCTTCTTCTTCTATGTATCCATATTCTTCTTCATCCCTTATTCTCCTTATTATCTTTCGTCTTCTTCTTCTCTTCCTCCTTTATGTCTTCTTCTTCTTCATCCATTCTCTTTCTTCTCCGTTCTTCTTTTCCGTTTTTTTCATCTTCTATATTGGTCTTATTCGTCATCACTTCTCCTTCTTCCCATTTGTTTTTCTTCTTTTCCATCCCTTCTTATTATCCTTTCTTTTCCTTCTTCTTCTTTATCACTTATTCTCCTTCTTCTCATGTTCTTCTATATTTTTTCTCTTTCTTCTACTCTGTTGTTATTCTTTTTCATCTACTCTTTTTCTCATCCATCCCTTCTCTTTATTCTCCTTCTTCTTTTTCTCCTTCTTATTTGTTCTTTTTCTTCTTTGTCAAACAAAAAATGATAAATTTAAAACTAAAAAGATTAAAAATAACAACTATATACATAGTAAACAAACTGAAACAAAATATTTAATATATAAAAAATTAATTTTGACTAAAAAATATTGATGTTTGCAAAGATATTTTTTTTTTTGAAAATCTAAATAGGGAAAAAAATTAACCAAAACAAATTAGAGAAAATGAGATAATGTGAGTTACTGTTTTTATTTCTCTTATAGTTTATTGAAATACTATTATCATAAATAGTTTTATTATGTTAATTGTAAATTCTGAAATCTTTTATTAATTTACTGACTTTACCTGTGATTAATATGTTATTACATCTAGAATAAATAATTTATCAATATTGTTTGTAATATTTTTGAAAATATGCTAAAATCCATAGTTTTAAGAATATGCTTTAAATTTATGCAGTTACTGTTTCTTAATTACCAAAATTTTATTTTTATTTGGGAAGCTTGCCCCATAATTTTAGAAATCGAATATTAATAAAATATTACAAAATCGATTCATTAGATATTTATAGGACTAAATATAATTTAAATAAAATTATATGATTATTATAATTTACTGTTAATTAATCATAGTTTTTTTAAATTTGATCATGATGCTTTTAAATTTGAAATTAATTTAATCAAAATTTTATTTAATATTAGATTGTACTAAACATATAACAAATAATATATAATTATTAATAACAATTAGGTTTTAGTTTATTTTCCTATAAACATATGTGTTTGGTTATATTATTGCATAATAATAAAAATATGATTTTTGTTTTTCAAATATTTTTTTCGATTTTTGTTTTATATTTTGTAAATGTATATAATTTAATTATATTAATTATAATTTTTATTTTCTTATATTGTTACATAATAATAAATATTTGAAAATTATTATTTGTTATTTTTTCGCAAAATATTTTAAATTGTATAATTGTTTATAATTTAATCTTATACATATATACTAATTATAATTATAATTTCGTTTTATATAAACTTGGATGTAATTAATTCTAAAATTAATTAAAAATTTCGAAATAACTATTTATGGAAATATATAAATTATTTTAATGTGTTTGGTAATTAGAGTTAAACTAATCTAAATAGTATTTGAAAATTAATGTGTTTGGTAATAGGAATATAAAATTAAATAAATAAAAAATAAAATGAATATTAATTAGTTGTATTAACAAATGACTAAACTACCATTAATGAAATTTTAAAGAAAATATTAAAATGCAATGGCATTTCATGTAATATTATAACACATGATTTATGTTTAAACATTGAAGTGATCCTCTTTTAATAGTGTAGATATTGTTGTCGGATTATATATTTCTTTTTTTAACTATAGAAAATAATAAAATTGGAAATATTAGGAGACGTGGACGAATAGGAACTTATATAAACCACACAAAAAAAGGCAAAAAAGAACAGAGCTTTCAAATTTCAAACGATTTTTTTTTTTGTGGCGCTAATTCCGAAATTAGCATCAGACGTTGTTTTCAATCACTCACCAGAAGCATCTAATGGCGGTTCCATCTTCTCCATTCTTATACAATCCTTCTTCCCTACCAAGTACTAGCCCCAAGCATTGAGTAATCGATTCAATAAGATGTTATCCTTGCGCGTTCCTGCTTCCACATCCTTCGATTTCCGGAGGTTCAACGCCGGCGCTTTAGAGCAGCGATGGAGGCTAGGTAGAGATTGCTTCCCCTCTCTCTCGCCGGGTTTCGTGGAGAATCGTAGAGGAGTCGGGTTCGGAGTCCGATCTACCAAATCAGAGATGGCGCCGTTTACCGCGGCGGAGGAAGAAACTCTGCCGGAGGGACTCCAGCCGGAGCTGATGCCGAAGCACGTGGCGGTTATAATGGACGGAAACGGAAGATGGGCGAAGAATCGAGGTCTTCAACCTTGGGATGGTCACAGAGCCGGCGTTGAAGCTCTGAGAGAGATCGTCGAGCTTTGCGGTAAATGGGGAATCCAAGTCCTCACCGTTTTCGCCTTCTCTACCGATAATTGGATTAGACCAAAGGTAAAACCTAATTTGAATATGACCTCTATATGAATCGAAATTTATATCTGATGCGATGTGAGTTCTTAGATTCTGATGGTTGTCTCTCTGCAGATCGAGATTGATTTCTTGTTGAGTTTATTCGAGAGAACGCTCAAATCAGAGCTTGAGACCTTAGCGAAGTAAGTAACATAGAGATCCATCAAGAAGCTTTGTGTTGTGGTGATCTTGTCTGAAAAAGGCTATATCTTTTGGCTGTAGGAACAATGTTCGGATATCGATCATCGGAGACTCATCGAAGCTTCCGAAATCTCTCTTGAAATTAATAAACGAAGTGGAGGAAGCCACAAGGAACAACACGAGGCTTCAGCTAATCGTAGCCGTTGGTTACAGCGGGAAGTACGATGTTCTACAGGCCTGCAGAGGCATAGCGCAGAGAGTGAAAGATGGTGAGATCGAAGTTGAGGAGATAGACGAGAGACTGATCGAGCAAGAACTTGAGACCAACTGTACAGAGTTTCCTTACCCGGATCTACTGATAAGAACGAGCGGTGAGCTAAGAGTGAGTAACTTCTTGCTGTGGCAATTGGCTTATACAGAGCTCTTCTTCGCTCAAGAACTCTGGCCTGATTTTGGGAGAAGCGGTTTTATCGAAGCCTTGATGTCGTTTCAGCAGAGGCAGCGACGCTTTGGTGGCCGTAAATCTTGAGTTTTTTTTTTCTTATGTAATAAACAAATTTGTGTAATAAAAACTGTATATGGTTTGTAATAATGGATGTATACACCTCAAGAACACTGCTTTCGCTTGGCTTTTGACATACGGCAGTTTCTTGTGTTGCAAGAAATCCGGTTTTAGTAACAAGCGTACAAGTTGAAAGGAGCAAGAATCACATCAAGGGTTTTTTTATTCAAAAACATTTCAGTTTTCTGATAGTTATACAATGATCTCCGAAACTAGGGGGAGTAGTTTAATGAAAATCTCACATGAATAGAACGGAACAGAGGATCAAACCCGGCAGCCAAATCGTCTTTCCCTGCGCTGATAAGAAGTCAGGGCCTCTAGAAGCTTGTCCTTATCGAAGTCAGGCCAAAGGACCGGGGAGAAGAAAAGCTCGGTATAAGCGAGCTGCCACAAGAAGAAGTTACTCACCCTTTCTTCTCCACTTGTCCTAATCAAGAGATCAGGACTTGGGAACTCTGTACAATTGGTCAGAAGCTCTCTCTCGAACAACGTCTGGTCCACGTCTTCCTCCCGGATCAGCCCTTGGTCCGATTTCTTCATAAGGCTCTTGCAAGCGTGCAAGATGTCGAATCTCCCGCTGTAATCTATGGCCAAGATGAGATGCTTCTTCTTGTAGCTCTTCGTAGCTTCCTCTGTCTCTTTGATTACACCGAGGAGAGATTCAGGGATATTTGCGAGATTCCCGATAACAGAAACTCGGATTTCCTCGCTGAAACAAAAAAAAAAGATTCTTGGTAAGAAAATGAGCAGATTGTGATAAGCTCTACAATGTTGAAAAAAGCTCATTCGTTTCTACACCTTTGGAAAAATTGGATCTTTGTCTTGAGGTATCGTTGGAACAAAGACATCAAGCATGATACTTCAACCTGTGTAATTAAGTTGTTAGACTTAGAGATATAATGATGTTAAAAAATATTTTAGGATAAATAAATTTTTTTTATGAAATTGTCACAACCTTGTGTCTCCCCCAATTCTCAGTGGAGAAAGCAAAAGCTGAGACAGTAGTTATCCCCATATTGAAGCAGAGCTCGGCGAACTCTATAAGCCGTTTAGCTCCGGCCTCGTGGCCTTGTGACGTCAGCAATCCGGCCTGTTTGGCCCATCTCCGGTTTCCATCCATTATCACTGCCACGTGTCTAGGCATCAGCTCTCCCCGAAGCCCTCTAAGCAGCTCCTCCTCTCCAACCACATTAGTTCTCTCATCACTACACAAACACCATTTTAAATTAAACAGATCAGTTAATATCTCTGGCTTTAGTAGATGATTATCACTCAAATGATTTTTTTTTTTCGACTGTGCACTGAATCTTATCAAACCCTATTTTTGACCAAAATATCTACATTTCTTGACAGAATCTTATCTAACAGTCTTGTTGTAGCTAAGAAATGTTATAAAATCTACTAGTAACTGTTTTAGTTACATTATATGGATATTTTTCTCTGTATGATACTAAAATAGAAATTATTAGCATAACAAATCGAAATTACTGTAAGCGAAAAACTACCGTTTTGGCAAGGAAAGAGGGAAGCATATATAGCTTGTGATGAAGAAACAAGGTATGAGAAACAGACGAAAGACGATAGATAAAAAAGAAGAGAGAAAAGACAACATTGTTTTTCTTTTTGGTTAAAGAAGAGACTAATGATGTGTTTGCGCTTAATATATCTCTGACTCTGGCTAAATCTAACTAATGTGTTTGCGCTTATGTAGCCAGAGAATATATTAAAGAAGAGACTAATGATGTGTTTGCGCTTATTAAACTATGTTCTTTTACATTTATTGATAAGAGACTCCTATGCATCACTAGGACTCGCGTAACCACTAACCACTCGCTTCCACGAATATTGATGCAATCGAACTGTCCGATATATAGTTTTAATTGAAGTTTCACTCTGCGTTAAATATGGTAGGTACTGAAAACGAGACGCAAGCTTGTCAGCCTGAACGTGATTTTTACGTTAATTAATTGCAATCTTTTTTAACCTAGAGTTTATAGGTTTTTTCCAGCTTCACTAGGCTTTGAAAACCCACGTGACCGGTTTCTTGTGTCACAAGATATCATTCTTAATAACAACTAATGCATACATACGTGAAGCAGACTAGAATCAATGCAACATATAGATATGGCCTTGTATTCGTACTGTCAAATTTCACTGGATTTACGAATTTCGACAGTACAATAATAGTTTGATAGAAAAAGGTCAGATGAACAAAACATGATAGAACACAAAAACAGAACAAACAAAAGAAACATAACATAGGATCAAGTGCGGATCAAACCCGACAGCCAAATCGTCTTTCCCTGCGCTGATAAGAAACAAGGGCCTCTAGAAACTTATCCTTATCAAAATCAGGCCAAAGGACCGGGGAGAAGAAAAGCTCGGTATAGGCGAGCTGCCACAGGAAGAAGTTACTCACCCTTTCTTCTCCACTTGTCCTAATCATGAGATCAGGACTCGGGAACTCTGTACACTTGGTCATAAGCTCTCTCTCGAACAACGTCTCTTCCACGTCTTCCTCCCGGATTAGCCCTTGTTCTGATTTCTTCACAAGGCTCTTGCAAGCGTGCAAGATGTCGAATCTCCCGCTGTAATCTATGGCCAAGATGAGATGCTTCTTCTTGTAGCTCTTAGTAGCTTCTTCTGTCTCCTTGATTACTCCGAGGAGAGATTCAGGGACATTTGCGAGATTCCCAATAACAGAAACTAGGATTTCCTCGCTGAAACAAGAACAAAAAATAGATTATTGGTAAGAAAATGAGCAGAGATCATGATAAGCTCTACTATAATTTAAAAAGCTTATTCGTTTCTACACCTTTGGAAAAATTGGATCTTTGTCTTGAGGTAACGTTGGAACAAAGACATCAAGCATGTAACTTCAATCTGTGTAAATAAGTCGTTAAAGATAATGATGTTAGAGTATTTCAGGATAATTAAAATATTTTTTTTTATGAAATTGTCACAACCTTGTGTCTGCCCCAATTCTCAGTGGAGAAAGCAAAAGCTGATACAGTAGTTATCCCCATACTGAAGCAGAGCTCGGCGAACTCTATAAGCCGTTTAGCGCCGGCCTCGTGGCCTTGTGACGTCAGCAATCCGGCCTGTTTGGCCCATCTCCGGTTTCCATCCATTATCACTGCCACGTGTCTAGGCATCAGCTCTCTCCGAAGCCCTCTAGGCAGCGCCTCCTCTCCGACCACATTAGTTCCCTTGCCACTAAAAAAACATATAGACCAGAGCTAAAGTTATGAAAATTTTAGCTAGAAATATCGTCAAGTTTTACTGGAAAGAAGGGATTTTACGTCTCCTTTTCATCTTTTTGAGATTCTTTCGCCAGAAAACATGGTCGGAGACGAGGAAGTAAAAGAAGAGAGAGAAGAGACAGGAAGAAACAGAGCAGAGGCAACATTGTAGAGAGAGTTTGCAAAAGCTCTGTTGTTTTTGGAATATAAGGTGTGAATATGTCAAGATTAAGTTCTATTGACTGGCTCTGGTTTTTTCTTCCGCATTTTTGGAAATGATTCCAAAAATGAACTTATTTACTACTCATATAAACAAGCACGAGTTAAGCATTGATAATCTGCATTTTTATATTGCATTTTAGGTGAAACAGAGCAAGTGGGAAGTTTAGTAACATCTCTGACTTAAGTAGATGATGTCCAATGAATGAAGTTGTCAGTTTCAATATAAATTGTGTTTGTCTACTACCATTCAGACGGGCCTGCCACTTAAATCTTGAGCCTCAATCGGATCAGGCCGAAAGAAATGTCACATTTTGTTTTGTCGTATTATGTGGTATGGTAAGAAGAGACTGCATGTTTATGATGTGCTCGAACAAGAAAAATTCGTATGACCATCTTTTGTTATGTGTAAGTGGTGTTCAGAAAGTTTTTCGTAAGGTTACTAGAGATGCTGTACCCACAAAGTTAATATGTGCAGATATCTAGTTTGGGATTCCTGCTAAAACTTTGCTTTAACACATCCAATATACATTTGAATGTGAAAACATTTACAACACTACATGCATTAGTTTGAGACCATCCTAAATTGTGTAGGCCCTCTGTTTCTGAAAGACATTTTTTTTTTGGAATTTTCACACATATATTCAATCATATATATAAAACATTTTGAAATTAGAAAATTTTGTATGATTTTAAACCAAGAATGTGCAATACTTTATATATGATACATATATGAAAGAAAAGTTATGTTAGAAAGAATCAAACAAAATAAGTAAAAGAAAAGGTTTATATCTATAGTATACTAATTGTTTTTTTTTATAATTATTTTCAATAAATACATTATGAAATCTACAATTTGTTATTGTTAAATAGTTAAAAAGTATAAAAGAAAACTTAACACATTTATCTTTAAAAAAATGATAGAAAAATTATATTTTAAAATAAAGGAAGTATAAGTTAGATATTATTAATTTGTGGTTGGAGCTAGAGCTGATTTCTTAAAGACACAATCAACATTGACACATACCATGTTATATAGCGTCACCAATCACTAATTCTAAACAGACATAACATTTTAAGTTTATACGTTAAAATGATATGGGTTTTATTTTTGTTAATTAAAATGATATGGTTACTTATAACATATAAGATAACGTGTTTTTATATTTTCTGTAGAAAACGACTATGGTTTACATAAAAATACTATCTAAAACATGCAAATAAATTTCAAAAATTCTATATAATGTTAAACAAAAGAAAAAAAAAAGCAAAAATACAATAGCATTTGGAACGAAGAAACGTAAAAACAAACTCAAATATTTAGATTTGAAACAATTGAACCACTATATGCGCATTACTTAGACATTTTGTTTATAACACATGAAATTCAAAGTTTAAACTCGTCGACCAAATCGCCTCTGCCTTTGCTGATACCAAGTCAAGGCCTCAAGATACTCAGCTTCGCCAAAGTCAGGCCATAGAACATTGGGAAAATAAAGCTCAGTGTAAGCAGATTGCCATAAGAAGAAGTTACTGATCCTTTGCTCTCCACTCGTTCTGATCAATAGGTCAGGGTTTGGGAACTCACTACACTTTGTCATCAACTCTTTATCCATCGCCGTCTCGTCAATATCCTCAACTTTGATCAGCCCTTTTTTCACCTTTTCCGCAAGACTTTTGCATGCTTGTAAGATATCAAATTTTCCACTATAGTCTATCGCAATAATGAGTTGCTTCTCTTTGTAATCCTTTGTAGCCTCTTCTGCATCTCGTATCAAACCTAAAAGCGACTCGGGGATTTTATCCCGGTTCCCAATAACCGAGATCTTGATTTTATCTCTGGGAAAAAAAATGAAATTTATTTAACATATGATGCATAAAAAAATGAGAGAAAAACAACATGTTGGGTACCTTTGGAAGGAAGGCATCTCAGACTTGAAGTGTTTCTCAAACAAAGCCATCAAACAGTTAACTTCATCCTGATCAAAGAAGAGAAAAACCCGAATCACAACGACAGAAATATAAGAACAAATGTTGAAATGTTTTTGAAAAATAATCATTAATTTTTTCATTTCTTTCTATAATCACCTCAGGTCTAGCCCAATTTTCAGTGGAGAAAGCAAAGAGTGAGACAGTGTTTATCCCCATAGCGAAACAGTCCTTAGCATTTTCCACGAGTCTTCTCGCTCCGGCTTCGTGACCTTGTGATGTCCCGAGTCCTCGTTTCTCTGCCCAACGTCTGTTTCCATCCAATATTACCGCCACGTGCTTTGGCATTCTCCCTTGTTTCTCTTTCTCTCCCATCGTACCACTACAAATTAATTAGTAATTAAGAACAAAAAGAAGCTTTGACTTTCATATAAAATGCTGCATATCTAGGCTTCAAATTGTTACATCATCGTACGTACGTAACGCTGAAGAAACAAAACGTACTAGAAAAGATAGTTCAAAACTGTACTGTCATTTTCTGTAACCATTCCGTGACCTAATAGAAGGTTCTAAACCCTACGAACAAGACTCGCTTATCTTGACATCATCCGATAAACCCAAACTGTATAATTTATGTATGATCTTGCCATATTGAGGCAGTCCTAATGTTAACGAGATTTTAAATTTAGATAATATTACTCTTCATAGAGGATTCTTCTAGTATATTAAATTACCATTGCATGAGACACGGTTAATTATTACTGTCAAAGTATATGTTGATAAGAATAAAATTTGTCGTATATTGATTGTAAAGCCTACCGTTTTTCTTTCATCTCTTCCTCATCATCGTATCGATAAGCTGCGAGTTTGATGAATCTAAGGATATTTGTCAAGGAGAGAGGAACACTTAGTCGCCGAGAGATGAAGAGTCCAGGAATGAGAATAAGAGCAAGGAAAGTCAAAACAACAGAGAGTAGAGACACCATTATATTTTGTCTTAATTTGCATCAATATTTGTTTGAGTCATTGGAGGACTCGTTTATCTACTTATAAAGAGAGCTTCGGGTTCAAAACTTTAAAGACGCACATCGGCACATGATCAAGGAACCTCACTCTCTCACTCGCTCTCTGTCTCTCCATGATGCTACGCTAAGACAGATCATAGTTATTAAGGTTTGATAAGATCGTACGACACTTAGAATTTACAGTATGGTTTTATCACGTGATTTCCTTATTAAACTAAGACGTATATATTATACATGAGCTGGGATTTCTGACTTTAGATCAATAAGTATAACTTTACATTACACCAATGAAGTCTCGTAAAAATATTTAAATATTGGTATCCCAAAAGATACAAACTTGATAATATCAGTATGTGTGATTATAACATTAATTACTGTCGAAAAGCTAGTCGTATTGATCGATATAGTCCTGCTCTCACAAATTTGTTTGCATGCATGATGCATATAGTTTTTTTGTCTCCCCTCCATAAAAGTAGAAAAATTAACCATTAATTAAGCTCCGTTTTGGGGGGTGCAGTGTTAAGCAAGGTCTAGAGGCTAACGCACAATAAAACCTGGTTCCCAATTTCAACTAGTCATTTAGTATGGGCTCAAAAGTCGCAAGGCTCTTGACGATTACTTGCAAGTTGCTTTTAGTTGAAAGAAATCGTCAAGCGTTTCAAGTTTTGTTCTCTTATATTAAATGTAATAGTCAGCACTACTAAAGAAATATTCAATACGCAAACTAAAGCCAGTTTATATATATTGGTTAAAAGGTTGATATTTGAAAGATTATATCTTTTTGCTTGGAACTATATAAATCCAAATGTTTCTACAATTTTGTGGATTACCAATCATAATCCAAATGTTAACTCCACTAACTTTCTAATAACGTGAAATTAAATTTCTGATACAAATTAATTGTACGTTCGTTCGAAGTTGCACTAGAACACATATGTATTTTTAACGTGATATAGACATATTACATATAGTCCTGGAATTTTAGAGAATTTGAAACAAGAAAATGGATTTCAAACGTTGAAAATGGATTTAGACAGTTGGCTTTTCGTGATTTTTCTTCTCATTTTTTTTAGATGTAATATATTTAGATTATAATTGGTAAATATGAAATGAGTTTGATGGAATAAAAATAAATATATCTATACTAAATAAAAGAAACTATTTAGGACTCCTTAAGCTATCCATCTCAGCTTTTCAAACTACTATAAAAATATGACACATCAGCAAAAAATAATAATATAAATTTCCACTTTATATTTTTTTGAAATACACATAAAGTAATAAATAGAACCAAAATTAATATAGTTAAATACAAAAGTAAATAAAAATAAAATATTATTTTTTTAATCAGTATAATAAATATTATTTAAATCTATAGCATCAATATATACTCTTTTTGTTTGTAATATAACAAATTAACAATAATGAAAATTCTCACTTTAGATTTTTTAAAATACACATAAAATAAATAAATAGAACCATTAAATTAATATAGTTTTTAGCAAAAACTAAATAAAACTAAATATCATTTTAATCAGTAAAATAAATATCATTTAAATCTGTAGCATTAATATATACTCATTTTTGTCACTAAAATTAATATAGTTACTAACAAAAGTAAATAAAATTAAAATATTATTTTTTGAATCAGTAAAATAAACATCATTTAAATTTATAGCATCAATATATACTCTTTTTGTTTGTAATATAACAATAATAAAAAATTTCACTTTATATCTTTTGAAATACACATAAAATAAATAAATAGAACCACTAAGTTAATATAGTTATTAGCAATAACTAAATAAAACTAAATATCATTTTCTGAATCAGTAAAATAAATATAATTTAAATCTATAGCATTAATATATATTCTTTTTTGTAATATAGTGAATATATTGGACAATAAATTGCTCTAAAAAACTTAAATAATAGTTAATAGAAACAAGATTACAAAATAATAATTTCTAAAATAAAATTTAAAACATTTACAAATTATAAAAATCTAAAACATTTACCTTTTAGAAACATACAGATTAAACATCACAGTACGTTAGATTTATGGCAACCAACAAGACAACGGAAGTTATAGGAAGCTTTTCAAAGCATCTATCTATATGAAGATTTCGATCATCGTTACTATTTACATTGCAGAAAATAATGGACACAAGAAGAATTTCATGCACTGATATTTATTCAATGTGTGTCTTAGTTGACTTAAGGTAGTCAAGTTACTACAAGCGATACATATCAACTCATGAGTTAAACGTTTTATATACAAAAATTAAGTTTTAGATGATAGTTAATTTTTATATATATCAAGTTAGTAAATTTTTAAATTAAATAATAATGCATTTTTGAAAAAATAACATACACATTTTTATGTAGAAAAAAATGTCTAAAAAAATCTCTAACCATCCACATCAACAAAATTCTTTATAAACCCAACTTGAATGAAAAACTAATATGGTTTTTTTTTTACTGGGTTAAGAAACTCTTTTAAAAATAATATAATATATATTATTAGTTTTTAATTATAAAGGCTCGTCAAAATATATATGTGTAGTTTAATAAAAATGTTTAAGTTAAATTACAAGCACAAATTTTTTACATCTTTTGAGTTTTGAGAAACTCAACATACTTTATTTAACATAATGAGTTAGTATGAAATTGTATTTGTATATGTATTACTTGCCTCATTCATCTATATTTTTATAGTTTACGTATACTTCATAGACCAAATCAAAATTGCATTTTATCAATATGATTGTGATTTTTTATACTATGTAAATGTTGTTTTTATTTATATGAATCATAGTTATTTTATAGATTTATAAGAGATTAGAACATTGAGTGTTGTTTGTATTTGAGAGTGCTAATTAAATAAAAACACTACACAAACACAGTTGAAATAAAAATAAAAATATAAATTAATTGGAACAATAATAATCAAATTTAGTCAAAACAAAAATAATTTTAATAATATTTTGAAAGTTAGTGAATAACAGTGAGTTTATATACAAATATTAAGTTTTAGATTAACAGTTAATTTTAGCATATATCAAGTAGATAATTCTTAAAATTATATCATGATACATTTTTTGAATACGTTAAAATATTTTTGATGTATAATCATATCAAAACAATTTTAAAAATTAAATATTATATTTAAAATATTAACTTAAAGTGAAAATAATTTAACTTATTAATAATCAAATATCTATATAAAAACAATCTGCGCGTAGCGCAGAAACATCTCTAGTATACTAAATGAAATGAGAAGTTTGAGGCTCATAAAGTCATCCACATCAGGTTTTTAAAACTACTCTATACTTTTGCCACATCAGCAAAAAAACATTAATAAAAAATTCACTTTAGATTTTTTTTCAAAAATATACATAGAATCAATAAATAGAACCACTAAAACTAATATAGTTATAACAAAAACTAAATAAAATAAAATATCATTTTTGAATCAGTAAAATAAATATTATTTAAATATATAGTATTAATATATACTCTTTTTTTCTAATATAATGAGTATTTTGGAAAAGAAATTACTCCAAATAAACTTAAATAATAGTTAATAGATAGAAGGTTACAAAATAGTAAATTCTAAAAAACAAATTTAAACATTCACAATTTAGAAAGATCTAAAATGTTCATCTTTTAGAAACATAAAGATTATATATATAACAAAAAAAAATTAAAATTAACACAACTGTATTTCACATACGTGGATATAAAATTGTCTATTGTCTCTACAACGATAAACTTATAAAACTTTATGAATATATTACTTATTACAAAAATATATACAATACATTTACAAAAAAATAGGCTGCCATAACTCCATCTTAAACATTAATATATTATATTTCTATATTTAAAATATAACATACAAATTTTTATGTAAAAAAAATGTCATAAAAACATCTCTAACCATCCACATCAACAAAAAAAAAATTTTCTTACTAACTCAACATGTAAGGATAACTAATATGATTTTTTTTTGTTAAGAAACTTTTTAAAATAATATAATATATATTATTAATTTAATTATAAAAGCTCATCAAAATATATGTGTAGTGTAAGAAAAATATCTAAGTTAAATTACACGTCAAATGCAAATAAACCTTTTGAGATTTTAAAAACTCAACACACTTTGTTTAAAAGAATGAGTTAGTATGAAATTGTATTTGTATATGTTTTATGAAATTGTATTTGTATATGTTTTACTTGCTATATTTATCTACACTTCTATAGTTTACATATACTTCAAAGACTAAATTAAAATAGCAGTTTATCAATATGATAGTGATTTTGTATACTTCGTAAATATTGTTTTTATATATATGAACAATAGTTATTTTACGAATTTGTAAGAGTTTAAAATATTGATTGTTGTTTCGTATTTGAGACTGCTAATGAAATAAAAACACTATACAAACACAATAATCAGGTGCTTTGGTTGTACTACTATATTTAATAAGTTATTTTATTTTTATTTAAAATAAAAATGAAAAATTATTTTTAAATTAAATAAAATGAAAACTTATAGTTGTTGAGTTCAATTATATATCAAATTTAATTAAAACAATATTTATTATAATATTTTAAAAGTTGGTGAATAACAATGAGTTTGTATACAAATATTAAGTTTAGATTAACAATTAATTTTCACTTATATTAAGTTAATAAATTTTTTAAATTAAATCATAATACATTTCTCGAATACGTTTAAATCTTTTTTGATGTATAACCACATCAAAACAATATTAAAAATAAAATATTATATTTAAAGTTAAATAAATAATTTAAATATATATTAAATAATTATAGAAATAATTCACGCGTAGCACAGATACATCCCTAATAGATACAATAGAGAACCTAAACTTAAATATGGCACAATGATGTATAAATGTATTAATCTCGTGAACTTAGGAAAATATTCATCCTAGTATTTAGTAAACAGAATTGCAAAGCAGAGACATGCATTGCTTACTGAAAACAGAATTTGAGCAGACGTATTCACCTTCCAATATAGACATTAATTAAACCATTCCACTTGAATCTTAGTAATGTGAAACCTTCAAGAAGGCTTCGAGGTCTTTTATGCCC